TTGGAATAATACAAGAGGGCTTTATGTGGCTAAGCTTTTACTCAAACATTGACTCTGCATTCAGAGCAAGACACTGGGAAACACAAGGACATTCAGCCTTTAGATCATTCATGGAGAAGCTATTAATCTGATGAGAGCATGACTCCTCAGTCACATGAAAGGACAAAATCTGCGTTGCCCTTTACCGGTGGACGACGACGCCGTCATTCTGCTTATTGAAGCCCCGACTCCTATAAAGTGCACAATATGGGACGCCGGGCATGTCTGAGTCATTCGAGTTCTTTTTAAACCCTGTGAAGATAAAAATAAAGATCGAAGAATGAAGAGAAAAATAATAAATGTTGGCACAGATTCAAAGACAATGCAATATTTCTTTTTTTCTTTTTACAATAAATCAATACAGACAGAGGCGGGGCTATCAATCCTCCAGGCTCTCTCGCCAGGGAATTAAGGACTGAGATACAATTTAAAACACCAGACTCGTTTCAGTTATGGAAGAGGCAAACAAATTACAAAATCTGTGGAAGAAGGTATTGTAAATTGTGTTTTACTGCGAAGGTTATCTTGTTACTAGTTCTCTCGTAATTGATATCTGTTCCGACTTTGCTTTTACAAGTTCTAAGTGTCACCGCAGTCCCTTATTTCCAATCATTGCACAGCCGTGTGGAACACAAGGAACACGAAACACTTATTAGGGAAGCCTTGACACACAGAACAGCTCAACATAGCGCCTGTCCTGTGTGTGGTGCTAAATTCAAAGCCACATTCTCTTACCTCGGGGGCACATAGATATATTGGGCTTTGGGTGTTTTATAAATATGACCTGTTTACATTGTGCTCTGATATAAACAACATAGCTGCATATCAATGATGTATGTGACCTTTTCTATCCTGTGATTTCTGTAAAACTGGCAGGATCGTGCGAGTGTTTCTATTATTATCCAGTCTGCCAGTAACCCTGGCAGCTTCTCAGTAAATGTTGTGTTGATGTCTCAGGTCTGGCCATGTTGCTGCCTCCTCTCCGCAGACCCCCGCTCGGCCCCCCATGACAAATAATTTCCTATTCGTCACAGAAACACAGCCATAAGAGGAACGTGTGCTGCCGCTCCTATCAGGCCAATTTAAGCGTATTCCCACTAGTGGGATGCAGTTAGTTTGACTTGGGGCTCGCGTTTAAGCTTTCATAATTGGGGACATGGGAAGGAAGGAGGAGGCCGAGGTTGAGTTTAGCTTTGCATAACAGTGGCTAAATTAATCTTTGGGTCCATTTTGAAGCCCCGTGGGAGTTGTAAGTGGGGGGCTGTCGTCCTTAATGACACACGGTGACCTTCAGATTCGATACTGGAAGGCAGCTGAATGTACAGCCTACGTCCTTCATTCAGGAACCTTTTATTCTCATGCGTGTATCCATTAAAGGCTTTGGCCCCATCTATATTCCTCTTGTCTTTTTTCAGATTAGTTCAGAAGGTCCTGATTTTGCATCAATTATCAGCTGATTTAACTAGCAGACATTTCCAACATGATGGAAATGTGGTCCTTAAATATAGTTGGCCTTGTGAGGCCATTTTCCAGGAAAGTGAATCAATATGTCTTTTTTAGGACACTTTGTTTTGCAAAAGGGGTCAATTTGTCTCTGCCAACAGCGCATAGATGAGCTGTGACAGCAAGGACTCTACTCTACATGCCACAAATTATAAAAGAGATTCATCTTTATTCAAGCAATTTAACTGTTATTAATGTTACCATTACTGGACGATAAAGTACAGCCTCTCGTACCGTATTGCTTAAATAGATTGTTAAATATTATATTCAATTTGTCTGATAAATTGATAAGAAAATGCCATGCAAAGGTCACACTGAAATGCCTTTTCTGCGTAGCCAAGGCTGGATGTCCCGCATTCCGTGTGCAAGCTTGAATGCTGACCAAAATCTATTAAACGTACGACATACGGAACGTGAATATGCAGCGAACAACTATGTGCTGTGAAATGTTGTGGGGTGACGACACGCGCTCTCTGTTATTGTTTTTGGTCGCTCTGTTGGCTCTGTCGCCATCATTGCCGTTGTGAGCTCTGTTAGTGACCTTAGCGCTGATGCCACCTCCATGTATGCAGGTGACACAGAAGCCATGTGCAGATCGAATAAGGTTAACAGAACCTTCAAATGAGGCACAACTGTTACACTTAATTACTAGTAACATGGCGAATGTTGTTCATTTTGAATCAATCCCACAAAGAACCAACAGGCACTTAAGGTGATTAGATTTTCTCACATATTGTGGCTTTTTATTTATGACACTTACTTTTTTACCTACCCAGACACAGAGCTTAATTGGAGTTGTCTTTTTTTTGTCCGTGCCCTGTCCATGATCTTTATTGCATCTTTTGAGATTTGATTTAATAGCTGCTTTAGTGTTTCAGATTATTGAGATAAAGAGGGACCTTCTGAGAGTTAAAGATTTAAAACGGGTGTCTTTTTCTTATGTGTAAACATCTGATTAATGATTGCTTGTAAGAGGCGAGTGGTCTACTGAGTGCAAATCAAATGCAGAGAACATCAGTACTTCGATTAGTAACATTCAAAGTAGTTTGTACTCTTTGTATGTTTCCTGACTTCAATACACAACTTAATTGACCAAAGTAATTTGCCCTTGGGCTGTAACAGGAGCTATTTAGACTATTTAGTGTCGGCTGTATGATTACTCCTGAGTACATGTGATTTAAACGGCTGGCGGTAAAAGCTCACTTTAACCTTCAAATCCCTGCAAGCCACTAACTATCTATATTCATCTCCCCGCAGTGTGATAACGGATTAGAGCAGTCTTTTTCTTCTTCTTCTTCTTCTCTTAAAACTGCTAATTAATAGATACAAATGGCACTATTTCCATAACGTTTCTTCTGGTTGACGCCCTATTGTAAGATGATGTGTGTAAGCATCATTAGAGCGTAACATTTAATTGGATTAGCACTTATGATTTCCTGCATTATCAAATCCTGCCGAATGAAATGACTCATCTTGCCCGGACACAGTGGAAAGATTAAACTGAGGTCAGCAGCAGGATCACTGGTGTGGATTGGAAAATTAGTAACTATTAGGAGTTAAACTCTCGTCTTTCTGTGTGAAGTCACACAGTGTTTGGTCTTGTCCATTCGTTGCTTTCTATTATTGCTCTGTTTTCCCTAATGCATCTTGAGTAATGGCTCTGAAATGCTACACCGAATCAATGCCTGGTGACTTTCCCTCTCTAAGGCAATTTACTTGGTAATGAGTCGGTGCAGAAGACTGTCTCTGTGCGCCTTTGGAAGATGTAATCTGGTTCCCCAATTGTTCAGTTGGGTTAAAAAGACTTGGTCCGCTAATTAATTAACCATGCAACACTGAAATAGGATTTCACTGAAGGGCTTTATTTGGATAATCACATCACCTTCCAGTCAACTGTCCCTCATTGTTTGTTACTGAACTTTGCCCCCATCTTGGACAAAACCAGGTCATTCAGCGCACCGTATGAAGCCTGCACACGTACATGTCTGTGTGTGTACGGTCATTCCCCATCGTCTCTATAAAACAATCTGTATCAATCAGTGTTGATCTAAATGACCTGGCGTGTCAACAGCAAACCCACAGGAGAGTGGTTTTCATGGCGAGAGATAAGGTCAGAAAAGCCATTTTGGGTATCATAAAGGAAGTATTGTCCAGATATTGATGTAATTTATTACCTGACATGGATGGTTATAGAGGAGTTGGGGAAAAAAGGGGGAAAAAACTCGGCCCTAATGCTCTGAAATGGACGGTAGCCATGATGGAACAATCAATTAACCTTGGCCTGGAAGTGAACTGGTTGATATTTCAGCACGATTTGATTTGTTGACAAATATACCATCTGCTGTCTTGTGGAGGAGGGGAATGACACTGTGTCTGTGCGTTTGTGTGTGCGTCTGTGCGTTCAAGGGTGTGTGCTTGTATGTGTGTTTTACCCGTGTTGTGGGCACATAAATGTAATGGAAATAATTACATTTTAGGACAAACACTTTATAGGGTAAATTTAAGGTTACGCCAACGTTAAGGTTAAGTATAGGGTATATAGGATGAGGTTTAAGTAATGCCCCTGTAGAACCATCAAAGTAACCAAATATAATGCTAAAATAACTTTTTCACAGTGATCTTCAGGAGTAAAAACAAGATTTTACTCAAATAAACAGTGCACCCATCAGCTAATATTAATGTCAGACACTGTAGCCGCAAAGTCAGAGCTGCACCTGAGATGCTCCTCGAGATACAGACGTGCCCCTTCAATGTGAGGCAGAATCCACAAACAGCCTCTCCTCTGGTAACCCCTTCCTCCGCTGCAACACTCAGTCTAATTAGAAGATCGCAGGAAGCCAAACAACACAGCAGAGAAGCAAAGAATATTCAGAAGACTTACCTAAGCATATTGCTGGCATTCTTCTCGCCTCTATGTCCTTGTTTTTTTTTAAATTTATTTCCTGAATATATAATAAGAACAACAATAGACACAGTTAAATTTATGTTTTTCAATAGATGTTTTTTGGCAAACTTTGTCTATCTTTAAACTGCTTAGTAATAATACTACTAAGACTGCTTAATACTACTTTAACGACTATTCTGAAATCCTCTCCCTAGCAGAAAGCCTTTAGGCTAACTTGCAAAATTAAATACCGTATTCAACTTGGCTGGCTGCAAAGAACAAAGAGCTACCATGTGACTGGGCCAAGTGCAAATTCTGTTATTTTCCCTTATTATCTCTCCACTTCACATGGAGCATGCCACATGCAGCTCATTTTGAAATGCACACCATTGCTGTTTCTCAAATGATCCCATATCATTATCATTACTTGTGCACCTCAATATTGGGATTTCATGTTTTGCTTTCATGCATTGCTTGATTTGTTTCATAATCACAGATATAACTTATCTTATGTGTAAGTTGTCGACTCAGTTACGGGACTGAAGTGGCTGATATCTCTCCTCTGTCCCTTCAGGTTTTGGGATGACAACGCCCGTGACGGTGGCCGGCAAAGTGTTCCTGATCTTTTACGGGCTTCTGGGCTGCGCTGCCACCATCCTCTTCTTCAACCTCTTCCTTGAGCGCATCATCACGCTGCTGGCCGTGGTGATGAAGGCCGTGCGGGAGCGGCGAATCAGGAACAGCGGTCTGCTCCCGCCGGGGATCCGCCATGACTTCTCGGCGTACTCCCTCCCCGGCTGGAAGCCTTCCGTCTACCACGTCATGCTGATCCTGGGCCTGTCGGCCATCACCATCTCCTGCTGTGCGTCCGCCATGTACACCCCCGTGGAGGGCTGGGCTTACTTGGACTCGCTCTACTTCTGCTTTGTCACCTTCAGCACCATCGGGTTTGGGGATTTTGTCAGCAGCCAGGGCGCGGCTTACGGACACCAAGGCCTCTACAGGGTGGCCAACTTCTTCTTCATGCTGATGGGCGTGTGCTGCATCTACTCGCTCTTCAACGTCATCTCTATCGTCATCAAGCAGGTGCTCAACTGGATTCTGGAGAAGATGAGCTGCTTGTTTTGCCAGCGCTGCAATAAGGCCAACGTCCTCCTGGGCAGACGCAATGCCATCCGCCCCGGCTCCAAGGGGCGCCACGGTCGCCCACATGACTCAGATGGGCCCGGCGATAGTGATACTGAGGGCCGCAGATTGTCGGGCGAGATGATCTCTATGAAGGACTTGGCAGCCTCTAACAAGGTGTCGCTGGCCATCATGCAAAAGCAGCTGTCCGAGTTGGCCAATGGGTATCCAAGGACGGTCTGTGGCAGCTCCCGCCATAATGGCTTCTCTGGAGGGGTGGGGGCGCTCGGCATCATGAACAACAGGCTGGCGGAGACGAGTAACTCTAGGTAGAGGACGCAGTCAAACGGGCACTACGGGGTCTCTTGATGCTCACACCGCGAAACAAACGCTGAGGTCGATTACCGGTGAAAAGATATGAGGCTTCTGAGATTAGATGTAACTTGTTATACTTGAAACATGGGATTTTTTGTCGGATAGCTTTGGTTGGAAGTACAAGAAGTGGTGGTGGTGATGGTTTGATGATGAAGAGAGAACCGCAAAGTCAACAAAACTTGGGGACCATCCATCCCTCATTGCACTCACCTCAAACCAAACCCAGAACAAATCACTGAAATTTCAGTTGTTGTGTCGAGGTCTGTTACATATGCTCAATATACCAGAAATGTACGACTTAAATGTGCTATAAAAAGAGCCGAGGTCGGCATACAATGCAATCTTCATTGTTTTGGGACAGTTTATCTAAATGTACATATTGAATGCTGATATAAATGAGACAACTGTGTTCACAGAATGACATGGCACATACCGATCTATGCATTACACGTCTCATGCATTTTTTGCACCATTTCTAAACCTTCCATTGACTGTGCAAACTGCATTTCCGTCTTTACACGAGGCATGTTTTACCCTGTGGTGATTGAGGGGCAGCTAAGCGTGGCTGTGACGTAGCTGATTGTGACAGGGCAGCAGTGACAGGTGGTTCTACAGTGCGCCGCACTGATGGGCTGCAAACGAGTCATTTTCAATTGCTCAAGATAAAGAAGAGAGAACGGTTGAAAAATGGAAATCCATTTTTTTGTGGGAGAGAAACTGGCCTTCCTATCAGCCCGGAAAATGCTTCTGCGGCCAAAGACTTTGACTCGGAGGGTAAAAGAAAGCACCACCCAACTCCCACTCTCGCTTCTATTTTTTTAAACTTACTGCAAGAGAAGAAAAAAAATTATAACGGCTTGCAATGCATCATTTACTCTTTGACTGCAGAATGTAGACTAGTGTCTCTGTGGAAACTGAATACATGAGGAGTAGGTTTATGTTTGTTTGAAGTGAAAGGGAGAGGACGCAAATAATGGATGGTTTTATCCAGAAGGTACAGCAATTTAAATAATACGGAATGAAAGTAGGCAGGTCTGTGTCAGATGCTTGAGTTGGAAACAAAACCCTGAATGATTCTGTTGCTCTGATTTATTTTCATACGTCTTCGCAGACTTGCTTTCTTCTGGGAAACACGGCGTGACCCAGAGGCCTTGCACAAGTCGCTTCTCCCCGGTTTTGGTGTAAATGTGCAGCCAACGTTTGGATAGCTGGTGTTTCCAGAGGATGCAGTGCTACCAGACCACATGATAAATCTCCTAGTTTGCTGGTAACTATCCCTTCCAGGGCGTGTGTGAGTCATAGCCGTGTGATATGTGTATTATTTTTGTCAACCTGCCAACAAAGAAGGAGTCGTTGATAGTTTAGCTAAGTGGTGAAGGAGGAGAACACAGTAGAGATGCCTGGAGGTAGAGAAGGTGGTGTCAAATGCATGGCCAATCAAAATACATATATTTCAGCCAAGTACTCAACTATTCTTGGCATCCATCTTCACCATGTAAAATCCTGGCCTTTCACTTCTTTTTCTCTGTCATCTCTGCATTCACTTAACAGAACCCTCCAGCCTCCTATTTCCCACAGATCTCGGCTCTCTCCTCATGCTCATCACCCTAACACTGTGAATATGATGAGACATGCCATACATGTAGATACACATACATATATAGTATTGGAATGTCTTAAAAAGCGCTTTTACAATACGGCGTGAATTGGATTTGAATCTATTCTTTATTGATTCTCATCCTGTTCGCACACATAGATCTGAATAATTTCCTTTACTCCCCAGCCTCATCAAGAGGAATAGAGAAAATGACTCAGGTAGTTAAATCTTCAGGCTTGCCTTAGTTTTCCCTGCATGTTGTTGTGGTAAAGCCATATAAGATAGCTGTATATAAAACAGAGGACTCTTTAAAGTCTATTTTTCTACATATAGCTTGTACATGTGTATAATTGAATAAGTCATTGCCTAATGTCTCACAGTCAGTCTGCAGAGCACTAAGATGCACCATACAGAACTTCAATACCCTCACAAACACATGGATACAACGGGTAAATGTGAAAATCGTTTTTCCAGATGTTTAAAAAAATAGTTTGCTGTTTTGGAAAATACACATAGCGATATTATATATAATATATTTCGTGCGGAAAGCTGAATGGGAAGATTGTTGCCACTCTTACAACTACAAGATAAATATGTACCTGTAGCTGGTTAGCTTAACTAACTGAAATACTTTTTTACTGCGCGTGTTTTTACCAACTGAACAGGATAAAATAAATAAAGTTATTTATTGATTCTTTCTGACGGCATCTGTAATCACAATCCGATCAGTGCAACACAGCAGACATGCAGTGTCAAAGTCCAAAAAGGAAGAAGACTTGGGAAACGTGCAAATGTGGTTTGAAGACTACCTCAGACCTCTGGATGACAAAGTAAATATCACAGTTACTCACGCAGGAGCAAAGTCTTTGAAGGCTGAAGGGCTTTTTTCCCTTTCCAGTTGGTCCCAACGTGTTCACTGAACATGCGGGCGAGGAAGCTCCATGTAACATGTTTTGTGTCATCTCCTCTGAAGGTTTGCGGAGGGAGGAAATAGATTTTCAACAGTACTATTATATCAGATCCAGAATGTTTAAAAAACAAAATCCCATCAAACAGCGTATTATTTAGTGTTGCTGGGTGACTCAATGAGTTACTGGCTTGTCGAAGATTGTAGTCCAGCTGTGGAGGTGATGGAGTATGTGGGAGAGGTGGAGGAGGGGCAACTGTCCCGCTGGCGGTCGGACCTCTGACGGTGTGGTGTTCCTCCTTAACAGTCTTTATTTTAATGCTAAGGTAACACCCAGCTGGCTCAAGTGCGTCTACCGGATCACTAATGAACTAATTATACTGTATTTTGTTTAAGAAATCCAAGAGGTAAAATATGTTCCAGATGTTTATGCAAAGCTAAGACGACCCGATGCTGCTTAAATCTTCATATTTACCACTACAAGAAACACGCTTTAGGATTATGTGGTTTAGCTAGCAGTGTCAGGGGGGGCATAGCAGTGGCAAACCCCAGGGCATTTGGACATTAGTATGGGCAAATTACATATTATCGAGTAAAATTCAATGATAAATCCCGCTGCGTCAACATATTGGGAGGTGTTTTACTGCCATAATACTCTATTTGAACCTTAATTTTCCTTCTGAGGCCCCAGGTTAGAATGGAAGAGTTTTCATGATTTTTGACTGATCATTTAATACCCCAGTAGCCTTTGGGGGTCTAGCTGGCTGCATTGTGTCCATAACCATATCCTTAGCAAGGAGCATGTGTGTATTTTTGCATTTGTGTGTTTAAATAGGTGTGTAAAGGACTGAAATTAAGAATTAAAGGACTAATGTTATCTTAAATGCTTCCTTAAACAAAAGTCCACCAGAAGTGCGTCGATACACAATATCGATTAAAATGTATTTCCCTCAAGACTGAAATACATAAAGCTTATAAGACACTGAATATTATAATATTTAGAGTAATGTTTGCTCATTTAAAATGCATGCGTGGCTTGAAATCCATTGACTTACTTTAGTCCTTGTACAAAAAGGTTCTTTATTTCAAAGATTTTAGTATATAAAGTTTGTGTGGAATACATTACAATCCTTTTGCTTCATGCAAAACATATCTCCATTGATTGCAATGGTTTTAACTGTCCTGTTGTCCTCTGGATCGTCTGTGAGAGGAGACAGGTGGTCTCAGGACCTGCGGTCTGCCCCTCCAATGTCATGACACTGACTTTTCTTTCAGTGGAATGAATTCCTGTCACGTTCCTGTCATACAAAAATTTGATTAAAATAATGCAACATTTTCACGCCCACACTGTTAGTACATGATGTGAGTGAACACAGCGGACTTGGATCACAGCACTGCATGGTGGTCAGTTTAGTCATTTTTGTTCATTTAATCTTGAATTGTTCGATTCATTGCGGCGGCCGTCGTTTATTCCAATCAACACATAATGTAATGTATTCACACTGGAAAATCTGCCCTGTAGTCAAGCACACTGTGACTGTCAAATCGCCCCATTAAAATGTCATGGTCCATAGCCAATCACAAGGCCCATTATGAAATAATCAGAGACTTGGAGATGTTGTTAATCTCGGAGGCTGTCGGTGGTGTTATTTCTTTGTGATCACAGACACAGAACACTGTGGTTACTCTGAATTCATCCGGGGAAGATTGCATGATTGCTTTTGTATTTTGAGACTGTTAAAGCCACTGGTTTCAGGAACAAAATGTATCTCCACTCATTTGGCCGGAGCACAAGCGGTGAAAAGCTGAGTGGTTTGGTAACAGAATGATGTATCACTTCTCTGCTTGGCCGCATCTGATCTTTTAGAGGAGTCACGTCGTTGGCTTTGATCTGGAGTTTGGTTTTCCACATCTGCAGGACGTGAGACTGATGGGTTTCTTTTTGTAAAGGTTGTTAAAAAACAATACAATTCAGATCTCATTTTATAAGTTTACTTTAGGTGCCTGTGATCCACAGTTATATATTGACCTTTAGGCTCTATCAATATCACCATAATTATACACCCTGCTGTGTCTCAAATTGCTTGTAACCTGCAGTTAATGTTTGCAAATATATTGTGTTTGCAAGTTGCACATTTATACAAATGATTGTACTTTTATATTTATTTAATTAAAATTAAAACATCTATGAAACAAGGGTAACATTAAACACTGATATTTACTGATATTTCTTTTCTTCATTGTTATTGAATGACTAATAATTGAAATGTTCTCATATTCATAAGGATTTATGAAAGAAGACATAACGTGTTAATTAGTGAGCTTTACAGGAGCTGGTAATTTATTACCTTTGGACAGAGCAAAAACACCCCTGATTGCCCGCTTGCTGAGTGTTGCCTTCTGAATCATCTACCTCTCTCCAAAAAGACTTTTATTGACCATTCATCAATCCAATAACCGTTAAGCCCTCCATAAAAGGTAACTTCTGAGTTATGTGTTCATTAATGCTGGTCCTCATATGTATGACAAATTGAATCATGTATTTTCTCCAGATTATTCCACCAGAACACATACAGCTTTCTGAAAGGATCTTGAAACAGCGTGGCTCCTCAGTAATGGGTCAATCAGGATGTTAGTCATAAAGATGGACCTGTAATTGCATTCATTATTGAGATGAGTCTGAACCCAGCAAATTATTCTGAAAAACCACATATATTATCTCACTGCACAGGGGTTAGGAGAGTCTGCGAAGAGGAGATGTACCGCAAAGTCTGTGCTCATCAGTAATTCTCTGTTAAGCAAGAAGCCGGCATTTTTCTATCATTAGGGACATCGACAGTCCAATATTGCTGCTGGGGGAACTAACACCCACCTGGATGTCTGTCCTCTCCTTCTGCTGGACTACATTTGATCTCCAGAGCTTCGGTTTTGCTGGAATATATAACGGCACGTTGCCAGGCTTGTTCGAAACATATCGAACTATCTATTTTTTTCCCAGAAAAAATGAAAAACGTCCATATTTATCTTTTCTTCTTTTCCCCTTGCTAGGCATTAAAAATAAACCTTTCCGTTACGCCGATACAGTGGGAACAGCATGCTTATCCCGCAGGGAGACAGGACTGCAGTTCAACCCCGAGCAGCAGGCTGAAGTGTTACCTCTGGACCACAAACATATGACTCAATTCCTTCACTGCGGCAGAAACCTCTGATTGTTGTCAGGGACGGTTTTCACTGTCTCCTTCTACATCATCTCCTCCCTTTTTTCATTTAGTTTTCACTTCACAATATACATACATATCACTCCGTTCGCAGCTGCGATCAGATACGTTTATTGGTGGAAAACGTTGGATGTAGATGAAAGGAGAGAAACAGTAGATTTCTACAAATCCTGAAACACACATTATTAATGTAATCTATCTTCATTTTTAAGATTGTCAGCAGCAAGCAGTTGAAAATATGCGCTACCTGAAAGATAAATACGTTGTTCGATAAGACGTAAATAAATAAAGGATAAGTCTGACGCTCAGTATTTTCTTTGCTGTCATAAAACCGCTTGTCTGTGTATCACGATATTAGAACAAAAGGATAAATAATATGACCTATTGTTGCTTATGTAATACATAGCTTATTCCTCTGTGATAGATCTCCACTGTTTTCTAAAAGCTAATAAAAAGCACATTAGTGAGCCACTCTGTTGCTCTGGCAAACCTGTTCCTCCATTACGAGAAACATGGCCAGTGTCCCCGATTCCCTCATATCCTGCGCCAGCAAACACCAGCATACATCTCCAGCGGAAAACAGCCATAAACAAAGACACACACCCCTCTCGTTTGAGTAATTCTTGCTAACACAAAAGTGCAGTGCCCAATATCTAGCTTTTATTTCCAAATGAATTAACTGTATAACTGTGTCAAATAACAATTGCTTTAATATGCTCATTTATCAGTGGGAATAAATTTAATTGGGTCTTACAGCAACAGACAGGGAAGAGAATAATACATCGAGCCTGGTCTTTTATTCAGAAATACGCAGAAAATGCAGGGCCATTTTCATTTTAGTTGATGCTCAACTTAAGTCATTAAGATGATTTCTCTGAATTTACATATAGATTCGGAAATTTGGAGGAAAAAAAAATATTATGTAAAAAAGAAAAAACATAGAGCAGAAATGTATGATGTTGTCTTAAATGACTCTTTACAGGGGTTGACTGTTTAAATAAACTGAATGTGAAACGAAGGACGCTGGAAACATTCATTCATTCATATAATAGAACTGACCTGTAAGTAATAAACCCTTGTCATTATAAATTTGGACATTTGAAAAACCCATGAAAGTTAATTGGTTTAGTTCCCTTTAACAACCTCAAACTCCTTGACTCCTTAATGCCTTAACCTGGAGAAGTAATACGTTTAGTCGCATTAAGAATTCAACCCAGAACCCATCTCTCATACAGGCCTTTCACGTTGAGTGGCCGCTGTTTCATCGTCTATTCAGAACGCACATGGGGAAGCCTGCTGAAGTAGCCCGCAGTGCCATGATATTATCTAAAGAGACAATGAGCGTATCTGAATTAAAAGCTGAGTGTGAGATTCAAAAGCCATTGTGGAAATGTGACATTTACATGTAGAGGGGCTGAGCCGCCTGAGTGATTAGGCAATTACCTTGTAACATCTGCTCCATCCATTACCATGGGAGGAGAGCTGGAGAGTCGGCGGCGTTAATAGATAAGGGAAACTCACTGCTTCCGCTAATGAAGTTCAATATGATCTCTTCCTCAGATTACGATACAGTGGTGCTTACAGATATTCTTCATAGTCGGTTTGCTTGAACGCAAGAAACAACATCATTCCCAGGAGATAAAGCTAGATAAATACTAATCAAGCCGGATGTGAGAATAATATCTTTCAGCTTTGAACAACTCGGTGACTCAGATAAAGTGGCGCTAGTGGTAAAGAATTGGTCTGTATGCAATTGCAAATCCTCCTCCATCTGTGTAATTTTAGTGCTTTTATCTATAAAGCAAGTGATATTCAAGTTTAGTACTTTGGCAGATAAGTTAGATAAAAAAATGAGATGGTAAAAATGTTTATTTTTGTGCCTCATTCTTTTGGTGTCAGTGTCCCCAATATAAGATAACGGCTGGTTGAATGGGTTTCAATGAAACAATGAGGTTTTCTACAGTAAGTGGGGAAAACAAGCAGTAAATGTGGTACGAGACCAACAAAGAAAGCATGACAACATCAGGCCACAACTCAGGCAAGCTGGACCAGAACTGGAAGAAACGGGCTGGTGTCAAGGAGTGAAGGACAGATGGGGAGGCACCGGTGAGTAGGAGCTCTGCTGACAAAAAGGTGTGGAAGGGAATCCAGACATGACACAAGGGGAGAGTGAACTTACTAAGCAACAGTAAGAAACATCGAGCCTGAATGAATAACGTGAAAAAAGGAGGAAAAAAACAACCTAGATGAACCAAATCTTGGAACACAAAGTTCCAGACAAAGATCAAATAAAGATACAACACGGTCCAGTCAGACGGCCCAGAGATGTTCTAGGACATGATGTTTCTCACAGTACATAAATATCATAAGGACGGCCTTTATGTGTTCACATGACTGTTATTTCATCCTGAAAGGTTGATTATGAGGACGGGTCCTCATAGTCAACCTTTTTTGAGCTCCATTCGTTCCAGACCTTCGGCGACGTGCGATTGACGGTATACGGTTTCATTTGTTCCTTCTCTCTCGTACCGGCGCCTTCTCCTCTACCCGGTCCAGCAAATCCACACACCACCCATATTGTGCTGGGATCTTTGGAGATCTTCCACCTGTCGACCGTGGTGGCTGAGTGGAAATCCCTCGGAGGGGTCACCGAGTGGTTCCCACAGAGTGCATTAACATCTTTATTCTCTTCGTCTGCATCAGATTGTTCGAAAGTCTGGCATGAATTTACCCTACTTCATTCGTTCACAAACAAAGACACACACACACGACTCTGTCCAAGCCCCTCCGTCCCGAGAAGGAAGGAACCTGACTGCTCCGTCTTTATAAAATCTTTCCCATTTTCTGTAATTATCAGTAGATACAAGTATTGGCTATGGTCATTACCCCAGCATTTATGTTGTTAAACAATTCAACATCTTTCATGTTCCTACAAATATTTTAAAGCAGATCGATTTTACACACCATGCCACACACACACACACACAATCTCATATATTACCTGGGACGACAATGACTCCTCCTGGGTTTAGTTAGTAAAGATGAACGTTATGTCTGAAATCATTCTTGAACTGACTGCATGCAATCATTTATTTGCAAAAGCACATAAGAAGCAATATCACATCTACAAATTAACAACACAAAATTATGAACTTGGGAGAACATATTAAAGTTTAAAATATGGAAGTATACATCCAAAGTCCCTCTTCTTGATTTCTACTTATTTGAGATGCAAAGAAGAAAAATCCATTGCTTTGAAGAACAGTAAAGTATTCCTAAATCTCTTGAATGAAAAATAAATAAACTAGATTTAAATAAGAGGTGGTTAAATTGCTTTTGAATTGCAAATCAGCATGAATATCTTTGGTGCTTCTCAGGGAGAGCAGAAATTATAGATGATGGAAAACTAGATAAGACCAGGTATTTTCTTCTTGATCTTCTATGCTCACATTTCGTATACTATATTTGTGTGGGCGCTCCAAAATAATTTTGTTTGCAGAGAATCATCGGCTAAATGCTTCTAAATATAGACAGAATTGTTCATCCTGCACCATTGGGAGGACAATATACTGCGCATTACAATATCTTTCTCAATCTCTCTTCTGTTTTGTTTGCCCCTTCGCATCTACACAGACCCTCTCTTTTCCATCTATCTAGAGAAGAAGAAAAAAATACCGCAGTTCTGCAGTTTGATTTTATTCTGCTGACTACACGATCACTCCACCATCGGTGGCTGCCCTCATGGCAGCTCCCCCAGAGGCAGCTGAATGAATGTGACTGAACCGTAAACATTGATGGCATCTTTAGGCTCAGCAGCAGAAAACATACAACACACACCGAACGGAGAGCTGCGACCTGCCAAGAGGCAATATTCATTTGCATGTGGGCTTTTAATTGTTCTGGTCTATGCAAAGAAAAAAGGAAGGAAGGGAGGAGAAGAACGGCTGAGCTGTGGTTTCATGTTGTGTCTCTCTATACAGTCCCTGGTGGGCTTAGGGAATCATCCTCCCTCCTCAGTGTACTAGGACATGATGTTTCTCACAGTGCATAAATATCATAAGGACTGTCTTATAGCACTTGCTTTTGAATAGCTCTGGTTCGGGAATGGTTGAGGGGCAAAGACACCCAGGAGAAACAAACTGAACAATTAACAGGTGTAAGAGGTTGGCGGTGCAGCCCATCAAGGGGAAATGGGAATAAAAAGAAGAGGGATGTAAAGAGAGTCTCTGTTCATTCATCAACGTTGCTGCTTTTGCTCTGTTCCCCAAAGACAGGTCCGTGGAGAAGGTTGTTAACTATATTATTATCATTAATGTTCAATAAATTCCTTACAACCTCCTGCACCAATGAAACGGATGCGATAAAGGCTAAAAAGGACGCCACTCAAACACTGTCAGTTACTATATTGTTTTGACATATATATTACTCCTTAATGCACAAGTTAACTGGTGCCCACTGAGATCTGGCACTCACACTCTGGCAGTGTGCTTGATAAGAATAAGTGGAAAGTATTTTACAGGAGAATTAAGACACACACAGCTCACAATCAGACCTCGCTGTGATCTACATCCTCCGGTTGTAGTATTTGTAACAACAGTCAGAATATTGAGGTGTGATGATCTTCCCTTTTGCAACCCCATTTCATGAGCTGGGTGTATTCTGACATGTACATCTTACCTGGAGCAGCTTTAATAATCGGTGAGGACCATATCTGTAAAGAGTATTTACGTCCTTGGTATATATGTAATTCATAGTCTATTGCTCCCTGCCTTGATTCAACCCAGTTTAATGGTGACTTTGGGAACGTCACGCCTGCACTGCTGCGTGAGCCTCATTAGTGCACCTGCTGGACAAACCACAGCTGGATCAGCCACTGCTGTGCACTGTACACTACAGGAAGGAGGATTCACATGCAGAGCGAAAAAGGGAAAATGCAGTTTGCAGAGACAAGGGGGCCCAGAATGCAGATGATGGTTGGAGGAAGGTGGGTTGCGAGCTTCTGTACATGCATTTGACACCATCCAAATCTTCACCCATAGGTTGTTAGTGAGGCTGTTAATGATAACTTAGCTCATGTTTACGTGATGATTATTATAAATCATTAATATGATTATTGGTGATTGTGAATTTATTCTCAAAGATTCTAATTAAAAGAAGATCTCCAAAACAACTGCTTCGTAAGGTTTCATAAAGCTGTCTTAATTTCTTTCTATCACCCACACACCATATGTCAAAAAGTGCCACTATATGTGGGTGGTGGTTTTGAATATGTAACACCACTGCTTTCCAGTGAAGATGTGTTTACACTAGTGGATAAATTAGCCATGGCACGTTTGTTAGTCCAGCACAACTGGGAAGAGCATTCATTTTTTTAGTTAAAGATTTTAGCTGGAACAAGATCACTATATTTAATACCGATGCATGCTCTGATGAATGCATACGGCTTCGTTTATTTCCCATTGATTAAGCTGTACAAGAAAGGAGATGATAAACACTAGGGCTTGATCAACATGTACTAACTATTCTAATTAAAATATCGTTGATAAGATCTAGATAATGAACAGATAAAGAGGGTGGCTAGTGGTAACTACTAAATTAATTAGTAACTGGAATATTTGCCCTGACATCTCTCAAGTTAAATTGTATTTTCAGACCGAGCACATGAAGCTTCTGGTATTCTGCTGCTCTCTGCTGGTGGTAAAACACCAGCACAGATGACAGACCACAGAATCAATGTACAACACTTTATACGTATTGTTTTCTCTTTGGCTTTTATGGGTCACCTAAAAAAAATGGTTTGAGAAAGGTACGGAAACACCATTTATTTGCTTGGACATGATGACTGCTTGTTTACAACCCAGGTCAATTTGTGTGGAAACATGTATTCTGAGCTAAATGCACTGCAAAGCAAATTTCAGATCGAGAGAAAAAAGAGTAATGTATAATCTGTATTGGAAATAACGTTTTGAACTAAAAGGTGGAACGTTTTTACCGTCTTATGCATTGCAGTAATGCCGCTTCGAAAAAAACAATCAAGCACCGCGTTCGGCAGTGCACCTATTGACCGTAATCAATAAGTACTGTTTTCAAAATAAGAGCCGCGTTCCTATCTAACTTCACACTATAAGATCAGTCCGGTTTAAGGACTTTTATTCTGGAATTTTACATAAGGTGGTCTGCGATCAATCCAAAGTGCAACTAATCACTTTGTGTAACGTTGTACTTTCTAAAATCGATTATACTGACTGATTACAAAATGAATGGGACTTATCACGTTTACTGGAACAGAAGTGGAGGCTGGTTAAATCATAGATATGATTAAATGTTTCTGGTTCGACCGCAGCTTCCGGTCACCCGAGGAAGCCATGTTGACACCACGTGACGTGTACCTCACTTTTCATTGGAGGAGGAGTCCTGTCCACTCCCACGAAGCCCGTGTATTTTTCCCGCGAAGCAGACGCCGTCGCGCGCCTCGTCGCTTGTCTGAGACGCACGCAGGTGCCGTCGTGTGCATTATAGCAGCAATACAACGACACACAACACAACATGGCGAAGCAAAGCTCCCTGTTCAGTTTTTTCACCAAGTCTCCGCCGCCGGTCTCCAAGCCGAAGCCGAGTCCCTCGCCGACCGAGGCGGACCTGCCCTCCTCCGTACAGAGGTCCAGCTCCTCTCCGAAGGAGCAAGCTAAGGAGACACCGCAGCAAGCTGCCAAGGCCGGCAGAGTGGACGCGAAAAGGAACGACAAGTCTTCCAAAGGGGGATTCAACAAACTTTTTGGCGACAAGGCCCCGGCAGTCAAACCGAGGTGAGTTAACCGCAAGCGCGCCGGGAGCCGTGTAGTTGCTGGAGGCACGTGTTTCACCGCGTTCCCCTTCCTGCTGAAGACTGTGTGCAGCCCCCATAAGGCCCCCGAATCATCGGGTTGATCGTTTGGATGGTTAGGGTAAACAAAAAAATAACTAAAAGCTAATCATTTTGTCTAAAAACATGGCACGTAAAAATGCATTCTAAATAAGTAACTTTCTTTATTGACTCCTTCAAGTTTCCCATTTCCCATCTTTTAAGTTTAAATTGGCCTAATGTCTAAAAACTATTCTGAAACCAAATGCCCGTTGCCTGGTCTACACTTTATGTAGGAGTCCCTTTAGCCTAAATATTCACATCAAAGGACAGTTTAACTTTCTCTTGTAGGTGTGCAGATGCTTCCCAGACTATTGTCTCTTCCCATAGATGTGAATGGCTACTTAAGAGGACCACGTCCCTAAGAGCCGTTAACTATCCTACACATGGGTTGACACTATCAGTTGGTTGGATGTGATACTCCTGTATGGATCTAAACCTCTCCTTCGTTCACCAGCAGCACATGTCCATTCAGTGCTGGTGCCCTTGTGTGGGCAAAACTGGAGGGACACCCGTGGTGGCCGTGCATGGTGGTACCCCAACCTCTGACCGGACAGCAGATGAGGGGCCGCGGGCGCAGCCAGCGCGTACACGTCCATTTCTTCGATGAACCCGCCACAAGAGGATGGGTCAGCACCAAGTATATCAGGGAGTACCAAGGTTGGCTACAGTTAATCGCCCCTTAATTAATGCTATTTCCGATGTGCTTTTTCCTTCCGTTAAGCTACATGGCAGGTTGTTGTATAGTTTAATAATCATGAGCGTGTGATTTCTACGGCTTTCCAGGCTCCGACAGCAGTGATGCTAAAACAGGAGGGGTTTTCTTCAGCGGTAAACCAACAATCCGTCGTGCGATGGAGCTCGCGGATGGAGTAATGTTTGACAGCCCTGAAAAAAGAATAAAGATTCCTCTCTGCATGGATCCGTCTGATGAGGAGGAGGATGAGGAGGAAGACATGGAGGTGATTTTGTGACAATAATTTACGACTAACACATTTTTAATTTACTATCACTATGTAATAACAATATACAGTAATGCCCCTTTTTAATCACTAGTAAAAAAAGGTCCGTAATACACATAGTTTCAAATGTGTTTTTACCCCATTTTTGTTTGTTTTTAGCTCGACACGTCAACGTTGACAGACGACTGCAGTGATGAGGAAGAACAGGCGGATGTGAAAGCAAAGTCCTCCAAGCTCGGCCTGCGTTCGTCCCGCGCTTCGACAGAAACGGGAAACAAGGCCAAGCGCCGGCGCATAATTGTCGCTTCTGACAGTGATGGATCAGATGAGGAATTCAACCCACAAAAGGCTGCCTCCAGCAGTGAGGAGGAGGAGGAGGAGGAAGAAGCCGCAGCGACGCTGAGCAGCGAGGAAGAGAGCACACACGAGTCTGAATCAGAAAGCCCCGTCAAGCCCGTGAAGCGTAAACGCCCAGCAGAAAAGCCCGCTCCTTTAAAAGCTAAGACGCCAACAAGCCTGTCGACGGCAGCGAAGCGGGCGCCGGCGGCCATCGCCGTTGACACCAAGTCCCGCCTCTCGGCCTTTTCAGCCCCCGACGGCTTTGAGAGCCCGTCGAACGGAGCGGGCGGCGCCGGAAGCACCACCACTTGGGACCACGAGAAGCTGGAGTGGTGTCAGGACGGCCGGAGAAAAGACGGCCGGCGGCGGCGACAGTCGGAGGACGACTACGATCCCGCCACCCTCTACGTGCCGGAGGACTTCCTGAACCGCATCAGCCCCGGTATGCGGCGGTGGTGGCAGATCAAATCCCAGATGTTCGACACAGTCGTTTTCTACAAGGTGGGGAAGTTTTACGAGCTCTACCACATGGACGCCGTGATCGGCGTCAACGAGCTCGGCCTGACCTTCATGAAGGGCACCTGGGCGCACTCGGGCTTCCCCGAAATCGGCTTCGCTCGCTTCTCGGACGGCCTGGTGCAGAAAGGCTACAAGGTGGCCCGCGTGGAGCAGACGGAGACTCCGGAGATGATGGAGGCCCGCTGCAGGAGCATGGCCAAGCCCACCAAATTTGACCGCGTGGTGAGGCGAGAGGTGTGCCGGATCATCACCCGCGGCACCCAAACTTACAGCGTGTTGGACGGCGCGCCGTCCGAGAGCCAGAGCAAGTTCCTGCTGAGTTTGAAGGAGAAGGCCGAGGAGGACGGCTCCGGTTGCTGCCGCAGCTACGGCGTCTGCTTCGTGGACACCTCCGTGGGTTGTTTCCACGTCGGCCAGTTCCCGGACGACCGCCACTGCTCGCGCCTGCGCACCCTGATCGCGCACTACGCCCCGGCCGAGGTGCTCTTTGAGAAGGGGAACCCCTCCGTGGAGACGCGCAAGATTCTCAAGGCCTCTCTGTCCTCCGCCCTGCAGGAAGGACTCAGCGCGGGCACTCAGTTCTGGGACGCTCAGAAGACCCTGAAACAACTTTCGGAAGAGGATTACTTCAGGGAGGCCGCTGGCGAGGACCGCGGGACGGGAACCGGCTTCCTCCCAGCTCTTCTGAAGTCGATGACGTCCGCAAGCGACTCGCTGTGCCTCACGCCCAAAGAGGGGTGCGAGCTGGGGCTGTCGGCGCTGGGCGGCTGCATCTTCTACCTGAAGAAATGTCTGGTGGACCAGGAGCTGCTCTCTCTGGCCAACTTTGAAGAATACGTTCCCGTCGACGTGGAGCTGGAGAGAGCCGCCGGACCTGCCGGCTTCTTCGCCAAGACTCGCCAGCGGCTTGTCCTCGACGGCGTGACGCTGGCCAACTTGGAAATCTTCCAGAACGGCACGGGGGGAACCGAAGGGACTCTTCTGGAGCGTTTGGACACGTGCTCGACGCCGTTCGGCAAGAGGCTTCTGAAGCAGTGGCTCTGCGCTCCCCTGTGCAACCCCACCTCCATCGGGGACCGGCTGCAGGCGGTGGAGGAGCTGATGGGCGCCGCGGCTCAGGCCAGCGAGGTCTCAGAGCTGCTGAAGAAGCTCCCGGATCTGGAGCGTCTCCTGAGCAAAATCCACAGCATCGGCACGCCACTGAAGGGCCAGGACCACCCGGACGGCCGCGCAGTGCTCTACGAGGAGGTCACCTACAGCAAGCGCAAGATCGCGGACTTTCTCTCGGCCCTGGAAGGCTTCAAGACCATGCAAGAGGTCGTCGCCGTCCTCGCCGCGGTGTCGAGCGAATCCCAATCGGCGCTGCTCCGGCAGGTGGGCACACTGAAAAGCGGGCAGGGCGGCCTCTTCCCCGACCTCTCGGCCGAACTCCGCCGCTGGGAGACGGCCTTCGACCACCAGAAAGCGCGCGCCACCGGCGTGATCACCCCTAAGGCCGGCTTCGACCCAGAGTTCGACCAGGCCCGGGCCTCCATCCAGAGCTGTGAGCGAGAGCTGCAGGAGTACCTCGACCGGCAGAAGAAGAGACTCGGCTGCAGGACCATGTCGTACTGGGGAACCGGGCGAAACCGTTACCAGATGGAGGTGCCTGACAGCGGCGTCAGCGTTCCCGCGGAGTACGACGTGAAGTCCACAAAGAAAGGCTGGAAGCGCTACGTGACCAAGGAGACCGAGCGGCTGTTCTCCGAGCTGCAGGGGTTCGAGGAGAAGAGAGACGCCGCCCTCAAGGACTGCATGAGGAGGCTCTTCTACAACTTTGACAAGAACTACAAAGACTGGAAGACCGCCGTGGAGTGCATGGCAGTGATCGGTAACATGGCATTCTCATTTTTACTTTTTCTTTTTTAGCAGGCATTAATAGAATGTCTCAAGGAATGGATGTAGAATACGGTGATGTGTTGTCTGCCCTGAAAACGTTTCGTGCAGATGTTACCGATGTGCCTCAATCATGTGCATTGAAGCTGCTGTTGCACCAGTTGGGATCCTCATTAGAAACCATTGTTTGTAGAGTTCCACAGCAATTAGTTTGTTTTCTGCAGCAGGATAATGAGCTCATGTTTTCTTTTCCTCCCGCTGGAGCTCATCGCTTTCTTTGTTTTATAATCATTTTATGAGGGGAGCTTCGAAGGCGGGGAGCCAATCAACATCTGTTTCTGAGGTGATCCAGCTCTGCTGAACCCTTGTTCCTAACAGCTAATTGTTCTTCAGACGTGCTGCTGGCCCTGTCCCGCTACAGTCAGGGTGGAGACGGGCCGATGTCCAGGCCGCAGGTGGTGCTCCCTGAAAGCGGTGACCAGGTGTCAACCTTCCTCGAGCTCGTGGGATCCCGCCACCCCTGCGTCACCAAGACCTTCTTCGGCGACGACTTCATCCCCAACGACGTTGTCATCGGCTGCCCCGGCGGCGGTGAAGCCGACGCGGGGAAAGAGCGAGCCTCCTGTGTCCTCGTCACGGGGCCGAACATGGGCGGCAAGTCGACCCTCATGAGACAGGTGGGTGAATTCTGCGGCACGGGCCGACTGCGGCGTGCGCTCGCCGCGATGCTGACGCCCTGCCGCCCCTTTGTGTGCAGTGCGGACTCGTCGTCATCCTGGCGCAGCTGGGCTGCTACGTTCCCGCCGAGACGCTGCGCTTCACGCCCGTCGACCGGGTCTTTACTCGGCTGGGAGCCTCCGACCGCATCATGGCCGGTAACGCCACGGCCTCCTGCAACGCAGCGCACACGGGCCCACGTCTGACGGGTCCACCCTCGCGGTCTAAGCCTGTGTTATCTCTCCGTCTTCTTCAGGAGAGAGTACCTTCTTTGTGGAGCTGAGTGAGACGGCCAGCATCCTGCACCACGCCACCAAGCACTCGCTCGTGCTCCTGGATGAATTGGGTCGGTCCCGGTTGCTTGTTCACAGTAAGTGGTCATGGGAGTGCAGCCGCTCAGCTGTGAACTGTTTGCAGGGAGGGGCACGGCCACGTACGACGGCACGGCCATCGCCAGCGCCGTGGTGAAGGAGCTGGCCGAGAAGATCTGCTGTCGCACCCTCTTCTCGACCCACTACCACTCGCTGGTGGAGGACTACGCCAACAACCCCGCCGTGCGGCTCGGCCACATGGTGAGTGCGGCGAGGGCCGAATACGCCGCATGCTGCGTATGAACCGCTCCAGGCAATGAGGGAATAGGAATGATAACATTTTTAACAGAAAACTCACTTTGGCCCCATTACAGGAATTAAAACAGATCGGACGCAATGTTCAAATATAATTCTGAAGATATTTGCCTTAATGATAAAAAGTCTTACATTTTAATGTTCCAAAAAAATATGCGTATTAGCTCCCCATAATGCAATTTCCTTTTTTATCGAGCGCAGAAAGGAAATCTGAGTGTTTTAGAAGATCCTCCAAAGCCTGTCAGGCCTTGAATGATGTTCAGCCTACTGCTGCTCCTCAGGCGTGCATGGTGGAAAACGAATGTGAGGACCCGAGTCAGGAGACCATCACATTCCTCTACAAGTTCATTGCTGGCGCCTGTCCGAAGAGTTACGGGTTCAACGCCGCTCGACTCGCCAGCCTGCCCGAGGCTGTCATCCAATCGGGACACAGGAAGGCCAGCGAGTTTGAGAAGAGCACCATCAGCCTCAGACTTTTTAAGTATGTGTTCGGGTTGATCAAAATATTGTTACTACTGCGGCTGACCGTAGGTTTTGAACTTATTCCCATGTGTGACCCCTCCCCCCTCCAGGAAGCTGTGCCGGTTTGCTGACGACGCCACGCTGGGAGGAAGCCACTTCTCTTCACTCGTTGAGATGCTCCACAGCCTGTAGTTAATAAAATGAAAAAAAGCTTGGCTCTCGCTGGATGTTTGTTTTGTCAGCGCTTGAAAAAACACTACTGTAATGATCTAATAAAGTTTATTTTTAAAAATGACAATGTTTCATCTATGAAATTAAACCCTTTTAATTCACGCTAAAGCCTACATAACGGTTATTGAATACTTCACAATATATTAAGTCTAGATGTTATTATACATGCATACATTTCAGTCTGTATGAGAACCCACAATCACCAGTACACAGGGGAGGGGGGTGATGAACCCATAGAGCTCTGTGTGTATATACTTGTCTCAGCTTCAGCAGAGTGAAAGCTTTGGAAATTCTCCAGCAACATTGGTAAACACATGGAAAGTAAAGCTGTGCTTTCACTGGACTTGTTATCTGAAAAGAAAGTATCCTTACAGAACAGGTGCGCCTTTATTAAAGAGGATCATAAAACCACATTGATTCTTAAACAGGTTCAGATGTAATACGGTTTTATAATCTACTTGACTGAAGACATTACCAGTTTGTATCACAAAGTAAACCATACAAAATGTTTAACATATGTATTGTAATGCTTTCTTTTCTCATTTAAAGGACAGAAAAGAGCTAATAAAAGATCCCATTGGGTCCACTGGCTGAACAAGCCACGCCCCTTAATGGTTTAACTGCAGTCTTGGCTCAAAATACTTCATTTCAGCCCACACCTCTCCTGTGAACTGGGTTTTGCATGACCGGCTAATACAAACAGAACATAAAATATGCATAGATTATGTAATAAAAAAAAGCTTCCAAACAGAAAAAATATATACAAGTCTGGTGAAAGCACATTTCAGCATCAATTGTTCGGTATTGCAAATCTAAAAGAGTCAACGTTGCTGGAGAAAATGTTTAGTGTTTTCCTCATCTCTTTCACAGAAAGAAGTTGGATACTGCGACATGTATAATTACAGCTATTCTAGGGTATTTAACCCAAAAAAAATATATGAACACTTAATAAAATAAAGACATTCAAGTACAGTTAGATTTTTCCATGAAAATACAAAACTACACGAAAAGCATTAAAATCAAAACAGTCGTCTTGAGAAAAAAACCATAAGCTGAAGTGCTAGTTCATCTTTCCCGTACAGATCGTACGAGCACGTCGGTTGCCGAGCAATGGAAGCATTGTATGTGGTGGGTCTTTTGCCTCATGAGAAACGTTGTGCCTGTTGTGACGGTCTCTGTTCGATGGGTCTGTACAAGTATTTGGTTCATCAGATTCCTAAAAGCCGGTGAACATCTTCGTCCATCTCTCACCAGCTTCACTTTACCAAACCAACACTCTCACAAACCCTGAGTCAGCGGCTCATCTGCTCTCCCACCGATGGTTGTTTCTCCCCCCCCTTTTCTTTTTTGAAGTCATATAATTGAAGACAAAGTGAGCCATCCATAATCAAACCTTTTTTCTTAAACGTCTCAGTCGAGCATCTTCATGTCTTTTTTTTTGTTGTTAGTCACTTTACACGCTCTGCGTTTTGGATCTCCAACCCCACACAACTCAAAGTGTCTGATGTCCGTTGTAGCGTAAGAGGGGGTCGGGTCTCAGGCTCAGTTGTGCTGCAGTGTGTTGGACTCTATAGGAGGAGCCGAGTCGTATAGTGTGTCGGTGTCGTGGGTTGGCTCTCCAGCTAATGTGCACGGGTTGGACAGCGTGCCGGCACCGCAGTCACAGAAGAACCTACGAGGAGACAAATGATGGCAGTTAAACTCAGTTTTTTTTTTTTTTTTAAATTACCCCATTTACATGTGCATGTTGTGACACAGATCACAGCGCTACGAGTCTGACCTGTCGTGTCTGATGAACTCCACGTCGTGTCCTTGGTGACACTTCTTGATGCAGTTCACACAGATGGCGTTGCGGTCTGTTGTGTTACAGGTGTGACACCTGCAGGGGGGGAAATGGACACGGCGTTTGTTAACGATCACAAAACAGGCAAACGGTTGACCGGGAGTCACCTTGATTGCGAGCATGAACATCAATTACCTGTAAAAATCGTGCATTGGGTAGCTGGTGTAACTTGAAATCTTGTACAGGCACTGACCTCTGCTCACAGCCTTTTCAATGGCATCCTGATTGTTCATTATTTTATTATCTGGAAGAGGAGAAAGCAGAGGGAGACGTTGGTACGCTGCGGTGGATGGACAGGCGCTTTGTGGCTTGTGCGACCAGTAGAGTACCTTTCATTGTAACGTTGACACCCGATGCCAGGAACAATCCGCCAAAGCGGTTGTTGAAGATCTGATTGCCTTCTAGAGTTGCTGTGGCATGATTGGTGATCTCAATACCTAATAAAATGTTTAAAAACAAACAGTTTGTATTACAGAGCCTCTGATCATACAGTGCCTCACTAAGGACGTTTACATAATGACTGATTACAGGTGCAGGTGTTACTCACCTGCCGCAAAGCCGTCGAATATCCGGTTTTTCCGCAGGACGGGGTGGCTGTTGGTGCTAATTAGGACGCCTGCTTGGGCATTTCTGAAGATGTCGTTTTCCTCTAACAAGCCTGAAGCGGAAACACACGGCCGGAGCCATTAACAACGGACGTGCAAATGTCTCAGCGATGCCGGGTGCGTAACTGACGTTATCTGTAGGGATTATGTAAATCTATAGAACAATTCATGGCTTTATTTGAGTGGATGATGCACGTAAAGCGACTCTCACACACACACACACACAGAACTTCAGAAAGCCTCTTTTCATCTGAAAATAAACCGAGTTACCTCGTCCTCCGTTGAATATACAGATCCCGCCATCTCGCCCGTCATGGATCTTGTTCCTCCTTAGAGTTGGGTTGCTGTCGGTCTTGATCCAAACACCAGCCATGGCGTTGTCAAAGATCTCGTTGTCCTCAATGAAGCCTAAGCCTGAAGTGCACACATTGGTGTGTCATTATTGGTGCAACAGGGAAGAGCTGCTTTGGTCAAACAGTAGATTAACAAACAGAGGCCACAAACTCTCAGGTAACGCCAAGAAGATTGACTCAATCTCAGGAGAAAACCACTGTGTGTGTGTGTGTGTGTGTGTGTGTGTGTGTGAGAGACTTGTCCAAGTCGCACCTGAGTTGTAGACCAAAATGCCTCCATTCTGGCCTCCCCAGATCTTGTTCCTCCTGATCTTGGGATTGCTGCCGGTCCTGTAAGAAAAAAAAAAAAAAAAGGGCACACGAAGGGACGGTTGATCTTTGGCTTCACTGCTAAAGCAAACAGCGGGATTACTCAGATTATTTATCCAAACTTCAGCAAAACGCATGAGGCAATTGTTATTAAAGGTAATTGCTTTTCTTTCATTTATTTTGTAATGTAGAATTTCACAAACCTGATTTGAACGCCAGAGTACATGTGATTGTAGATGTCATTGTCTTCAAGCACGCCGTGGCCATTGTCATAGAAGTAGACCCCAACCTGTTAATTAACAGTGAAATAGAGGTAATTCATTCATGGCACCAAAATGCTTTGGAGGATTCGGTTTCATTAGAGCGACGTTACCAACATCCGATCCCAACTGATTCTTTAGAAATGTAGGAAAGTGAGCCAGTTTGACGGTTTCTTTTGTGATCACATACATGACATAAGCGGTGAGACGCATCTACGCCTGCGTGACTACATCACGGCGTGTGGCGGACTGATATGGGAGGTTGTCTCTTTGCATTATTTTATCAGCGACCAGCTTGTGAGGAGCACGTTGTCCTACCTGCTTCCCGCTGTGTATACGGTTCCTCCTCAGGACTGGCGTGCTGCCCGTGGTCACCCACACTCCTGCCAGCGTGTTGCTGTACACCTCGTTCTCCTCTATGACGCCTTGTCCCTTTTCATGCTGTGTGACACAAAAGGACGTCACTGCTATGTTAAAAAAATAAATAAAAAAACAGGCAACGGGAGACGGGCAGCAGTAGTGAAAACGATCCAGGGTGCATAAGAAGCAAAACACCATTGTGTCTCCGTGGGTTTGTATTTACCACATAGATGCCGCCATGCTGGCCATCGTGGATCTTGTTGTGTCGGACGATGGGGCAGCTGTTCGTCCTGATCTGGATTCCTGCCAGGGCGTTGCCGTAGATGTCGTTTCCTTCGATGAGGCCTCGGCCATCCCCGAAAATATAAACTCCACCTTGGTTGCCATTAAAAATGGCATTGCCCCTGTATTGGAACAAAACAACTCGTTTAAAGACACTATGCAACTGTGAAGGACCCGAGGAGGGATGGGCGGTATTACCAGTCGCCCAAGGACCAGAGCCAATTTGAAAATTATTAACCAGGACCAGTTCTATTTAGTGGTTGGCCGGCCGGGCTGCACTGACCTTATCGTGGGGTCACTGTTTGAGGTGATCCACACCCCGGCAAAGTTATTTGCATAGATCTTGTTCTCGATGAACTGCCCGCGGCCCTTTTCGTGCACGTAAATGCCCCCCGTCTGCCCGTGGTGGATCTCACAGCGGACCACAGTTGGATTGGCGTACGCCTTCACCTCGAAGCCGGCGATGCGGTTCCTATGGATGTTGCAGCTCTCAAAGTAACCCTGGAAGTGGACAGAGGAAAACAACATGACTGCGTGTCCCATCAAAATCCCTTTTAAGCCATTGAGGGCGACTAAAAGAACGAGAACATTTATAAATCAACCCGCTAGCCTTCCACAGTCACTACACCGCAGCTTTGTGATAGCACACTTATTTGATTGATATTTTGGATCTCACCATGCCGTGGTCGAAGGTAAAAACGCCGACGTCTCTGCCGTGGTGGATGTGATTCCGTCTGATGATTGGATTGCCGTGGTTTTTAACCCAGATCCCAGCCAGAGCGTTGTTTGAGATCTCGTTGTCTTCATATATTCCCTAAAAAAAAAAAGAATGTAAAAACTGTATTCAACGATTGTTTATTGTCACATATGTTCACAGAGAGGAATTTGACTGAGCAAAAATGAAAACAATATAAACAGGTAAGTGGGTTGATACACATATGTATATCCATATGTTTCCAGGGTGAGAGAAACCACAGTGCAAAATGCTTCCGGGATGGAGTATTCCATTCCAATGCGGGACTCTGTTTATGAGACCAACGTCTGAGGGGAAAGAAACTGATCATTTTAACCTCACAGGTCAAAAGTAGGTCCCTTAGATGAGGACAATACTTATTCACTGCTCATGAAACAAGCCAGAAGTATGAGAATGAGGACCTACTTGTTAATAACAAGGATGCTTAGTGTAATATCTTGTAAAGAAATGTGTGCGTTACCTGCGCATGGTCAGTGATGTAAAGACCGACGTTTTCACAGTCACTAATGTTGCAGTGCTTGATCGTGGGACAAGCCCCCTGTCCACTGACACAGACTGCTGACCCCACTGAAGTAAGCAGGACAGAGACATGTTGGTGCACCAATATCCACTACAAAATATACAATAATCACATTATAAAACAACACAATGAGAAAAAACTCAATGTTAGCTCAAACATAGTCAGGGTTTAGTGGTGGATTCTAGTTTTACCAACATTAGGTGTACCGGTGATTCCAAACCTTCTTGTCTTGCGTTCCCTTACATTGAAGGAGTGTCTGCTGACAACCACTGGTCACACGTTTCAGGAGTTTTATAAATTTATACAACAAATCTTTGTCGTTTTCTTCCCTCCATCTCAGATTTCTCTTATGATCCCCCTTAAAAAGGTTGGGAACCAGGCAAGTGGGCCAAAAGGAACCGCCGACTTACCGGTGCAGGTGCTGCGTATGATGCAGTGGTCAATGATGGGACTGCAGTTGACTGTGATCTCCAAGCAGTGGTGGGCGTTGTGATGCTGAGCGGATTTATCATCAGGGTTGAACTGCAGTAGAAAAAAGAAAAAAAAAACTCAACAACAGTGACAATTGTCAGTAGAACTGAAAGATGAGTGGCAATCGCTTTCAACCATGCGGAGCGAGAGGAAAAGGATGGATGTCCAGTGCATGTGAACTGTATAATCCTACAAGAAAGAACAGAAGGAAGGAGAAAAAAGCCCGCTCACCCTGATTGTCATGTATCCAACATAAGCATCTTCGGAGCCTTCCATGAATACGAATGTAGAGTCTCTGGTATTCTCAATGATGACCTTCTCTGCTACTTTACCAGGAGCTGCAAAATAACGGTGATTGGCCTCATCAGTGACAACGATGAGTCGGCCTACAGAGAGGAGGTCCAGCACCTGGCGGTATGGTGCGCCGACAACAACCTGGTCCTCAACACCAAGAAGACCAAAGAGCTAATTGTGGACTTCCGGAAGAAAACTGGCACACACATCCCCATCCATATCAACGGGATGGAGGTTGAGCGTGTCGCCAGCTTCAAGTTGCTGGGTGTCCACATCTCTAAGGACCTCTCTTGGACCCTCAACACCTCATCTCTGGTAGAAAGCACACCAGCGTCTCTTCTTCCTGAGGAGATTGACGAAGGCCCATCTGTCTCCTCAGATTCTAGAGAATTTCTACCGCTGTACCATAGAGAGCATCCTTACAAACTGCATCTCAGTATGGTATGGCAGCTGCTCTGACCGTAAATCACTGCAGAGGGTGGTGAAAACTGCCCAACGCATCACCGGTTCCTCACTCCCCACCATTGAGGCTGTCCAGAGCAAAAGATGTCTGCGGAGGGCACGCAGCATCGAAAAGGACAGCTCTCACCCCAGCCACAGACTGTTTGGCCTCCTCCCCTCTGGGAGGCGCTACAGGGTGCTTCGTTCCCGGACCAGCAGGTTCAGGAACAGCTTCATCCCTGCGGCTGTCATTCTACTGAACTCTTCCCCCTCCACCCTGGCTTGACTGCCACACACCTTCATCCAGCCACTGAACATTTGCACTGTTATTGTATATCCATTTCTTACTGTTCATATTGCATAACCATTTCTTACTGTACCTATCTATTTATTCACTTATTACACTTTACATATGCACATACTCTGCACTTTTTGCTATTTTGCACTCTGGTTGGATGTTAAACTGCATTTTGTTGCCTCAGTACTTGTACCCTGTGCAATGACAATAAAGTTGAATCTAATCTAATCTAATCAGCATAAAGGTTCAATGACAGACTAAACAAAGACACAGTGGCTTTGTGACTTTACTACCCCATCACCACCGCACACACAAAAATACATACCGGCTCCAATCATTGTTATAGGCGACTCAATGTAGATCCATTCGTCTGTGTAAATACCAGAGTGGACGAATATCAGGCCGTCGAAGTGAGGCTCCTGCCCCCCCCCAAGAGCATCCTCAATGGTGTCATAGTACTGGAGTAAAACATAAAAGGGAGGTCAATGACCGGATCATTCAAAATGACAAAAGGATGCTGGAAAGAGTTTACTTACAAACATATTGTCTCTCCCCTTGTACCTGGCGGGATTACTGTAGAAGTGTTCTGCAAAGCCCGGCTTCACATGTGCACCTTTATACTAAAAAAATAAACGTAAAAAAAAAAAGATTACACACTGAAATCATGAGCATTTGTAGAGAGACCGACAAAGACATTTCCCTGACATTGAATTTTGGACAAGATGGGAAAATCACCACTAGAGAAATGCTTGCAACAATACAGAAAAGGTCAAAATACATCACAAAGGAATACAATTTAAAAACAGTTCTTCTTCGTCCCCTGCATATTGAATGTCACGATTATGGCCTGTGGTGTTGCCCTTTTACGTGACATTAGCTCTCTGTACACAAGAAGATTTAAAGTCAAACTGGGGGAACTTTTGGCGACAAAGAAACATGTAAAGATCAAATGAATTGAAAGTGGAGTTTGTCTTCTAAATACTGCCAATTAAAGTTGCTCAATTTTGGAATTTGCTGTAGGTGGAAGCAACATTGCTTAATGTTCACTCCACATCTCAACTTTGAGATTATTTTCCCCATCACTAAGATATAAAGCACTTTAGAAAGTTAGCAGTTTTACCCAATTACAAATGAAGATATTGTTTTCATGGAACCCTTTAGTCAGGGAAGCATTTGCCTCTTTTAGCATAAAGCCAGCGTTACTACATCCATCCGACTTTAAAAAGGTCACAACAACAGCACTGTGCAGCCAGTATCAGATGGTTCATAGGTGTTTGTCAAACGTAGCAACAGGTAAAATATTGAACTTTCTGTTGGATGAGGGGCCCCAGAGGATTCATACCAGTTGCTGAAAGCTTTCCTTCCACGGGTTTGGCTGCTCATACTCTTCTGGGTTTATCTGGTAGAACTTCCCTGCCTCGGGGTGCATCATGGGGCGCGTGTATTCAAACACTTCCATGTACAGCCTCTTCCTGATATATGGAAGTGAAGGAAAAAAAACACATGTAGAAAGCAGCACGAGAAATAAGGCGGCATCAGTAAGATAGAAACTTGCCACCGAACACACTCACCAGAGGATTGGGTCGTTGGCCAGCTCACTGAAGCGCTTGCATACACACGCTGCACGGCACAAGTCCTGCTCCAACAGGTACGAGAAGATCTTAAGCACAACCTCGTCTGGAAGCTTTTCCTGCAGATACTGCTCTGCTGGAGCTGCTGGGAAGAAGAGGGCCGTGGAATACAATATTTTTACAAGGAGACACAGGGTTTTGGGTGAGGTTTGAAACTACAACCATAAGAGTCTGTTTTTAGAAAGGTCATGCATCTTGCATTTACTCCACATGTAAACTTTGTTAAATTACAAATGACATGAATATGTTTTATGCAATAGACAGCTATCGTAATATGTTTTTAAATGAATTATAAAATGTTGCAATTGTCAAGAAAAAGAAAAAACAGGTCTTCACGTGACACTTTGTATAATGCCTCATTGCCCAACACTAAATAACATATGCCCTGATTTGAAGAGTCACTACACTGCCGTCCTCCGTCCTTGTAACAAAGGAAAGGTAATCCATCCTCACACCTTGTGGAAAACCCAACAATAAATGCAGCTTTAAGAAAGACACAGCAGTCACCTCTTACATAACGAGTTCTTAATTACCCGGTAAGTCTTGACACTTTGCTGAAACTCTTGGGCGTTTAGGTCGGTGTCCGAAGTTTTCTGTGGTTGAAGTGGAAGCACCCTGTAGATTAAAAAAATAAATTAATCATTTGAAAAATGGAGACATTTAAACATGAACTATTGTGTTTAGTTCATCTTTAAGACTTCACCTCCATGTTAGTCTTTGTCGGACACACTGTTCTCTTGGGTAGAGACTTTCTTCTAAGTTGGTAGGGACTGTTCTGAGCTCCTGGACCGGATTCTTCTGCGACCATATCTGCAGGAACGTCCTCATCTGCAAATAGCGTGCAAAAAGGGTTCAAATAAAGACTACTTCCGACTCTTAATTAAATCAATCTAAAATATGGCATCCCAGTCCACAGTAGAAAACAAGAGAAACATGTTTTTGAGGTGCTGTCAACAACTTCATGATTTAGCATTTTCAATATACTTGGATATTGACAGCAAAAGGATATTCCTGAACAATCAGCAAAATGCACTATGGCTAAATACACTGAGTATTAACTTGCTGTCCAGTGTACCATATCACTCCTGTGGAGTCCATTATGCATAAGCGGATTTGCAATAATGTTCATTTACTTATGTGTAGGTTTTAGCACTTTGAGTGACAAAAGACAGACACTGTAATGCATCAATTGTGTTTACCATTGATTAGAAGTGAAGAAGAGATCTGTCAAAGACAAATTTGTCAGTAATAAGCAATCCATTATAACACAACATTACCAGAGGCCTAAATTCTATTAGACCAAAGGCTGATTTTTTATTAACTGCTCTTTATACTGCAAATGGATTTACAGGTCCCATCAAGAGGATATTCACTCAGCAGAACAACCACAGCATAAATCCTTAAGTATACATCTATTTCTGAGCTTATTTGCCATGGCATAGAGAGTCGATAGCTACAACAAATAGGAGATGCAAACTCTTGTTCTTGCTCTTGTTGAAAGAAATCCGCTGTTATGTCAGTAACCACTACAAACACTGTTAAACAACTTATCTTTTGCTGTGAATTGAAATAATGAATTTGTTCTCCTGGCTATTTAAGAACTGAGATGTATATCAAAATCACAGCTAATCTACACCATATAGTAAGAAATAAACATATACTGTTACACACTATCTGTGATTTCATGTCCCCTTAAAATAACAACTCAGCTATACGGTGGGCATCGGTAGAAGGGACGGTCCTGTGGAAAGTCATCACTGATAAATGAATTGAAGCAGGGAGAAGCACTAAACACCAACTGACAGGTCTCCAATAGATTGTTTAACCCTCTGCTGCTAATTGTCATTCAATAATGCAATAGCCAACACCACAACGTGTTAGTTGTACACCAAATATCGTTTCATCTGATTCAGCAACAAACTAGTAATGCTACCAATTACGTTAATGTTCTTCAGAATGAGAATTCAACTACGATAGCAAAGCATCCTGAGCTAATGTTTACTTTTAAAATTTGCAGTCAATAATCGCTTTCATTGCAGTTTGCTTGGGGGTGGGGAGGCTACATAACGTCAAGAACACTGACGTTATTACATGAATAACAAGTGGTACATCTAACGTTGCGCCTTTACGTGTTAACAGTGCCAGAATAAACCTTAGGGGCTGGTGCTTTTCATTAAAACACGCCAGACGGCTGAAAGTTAGCCAAACATGCTAATAATAACAGCTATGTTAGCACGGGCTAGGTCCAGCTAGCATGCTACGACAACTGGCGAAACCACTTTATGTACACTTCCTCGCGTTAGACACCCGTTAATCCAGTTAACCGTTTCCATTTATCATGCAATTGTCAACTCTAGTGTTACATTAGCTGCCAATAACAAAACGCATCAAATATGAGATCAGACAAGTAATACAAAGCCGTCTCGGGGCAAAAAACAAGCAAAACAAAGCGCGGCCTCAGTGCTATGGACCTACACAAAAGCCTCGGAGTTTCCTGATAGCGAAGAAACCCGTCCAGACTCCTGTTCACGATAGCTCTATGTTGTTTTATTAATACAAAAATATCGGTTTCCTCGTTCACACGCAATATAAAACACAAAAGAACATCATTACATGGAACCGTTCAAGCACATGCAGCGTGGCTTTCACCCAGAAGCTCGCGGTCTGGCAAGCCGTTCCAGCGATGCTAACGCTAGCCAAACGTAGCTAACATCACCTCTTTCCTGGTGGTTCCTCTCCGGCTGTACCGGGCGCGGCCTCGACACTCGCCTAGGTCTTTTGCTAACGTTACTTGCTCTGACGGAGTTCATTTGCGGTGCCGTTAATCCTTAAATGAACGTCGAAGCCTTCAACAGCAGCAGCAGCGAGCACATCGTCTATGTATTTTTCTTCAGCATTGCACGATCTGCCATCTTAAGCCGTGGCACCTGGATGGGTGGTGGGGAAGGGAGGGGGGGGGGGCGTATCGCTGTGTGTTATTCCCGTTCCTCCGCACTGGTGTTACGTTGAGCCCCGTTCTACTGAAGCAGGAGGAGCCATTCAACACGGACCTCTCGGTCACATCGCATGCGAGGACCTCTCGCCGAGACCTTCAACGGCAGCTGTCTGTCTTAAAGGCCATCACGTTTAAGCGGAATAATTCGTATAATAATCCCCCACAGTTGGAGGTAAAGTGTCTTGAGAAAAATGTATCCTATTTATTTAATCCAAAAAATTGCCATCTATTTATAACTGCTGTCTGAGCCACCAAATCACATTTCCTCATGCTATGAAGGAGTAGACCACTCGTTATCTGACTGAATGTATACCTTATTACGTGATGCTTGACCTAAATTAGGGATTTCAGAATCATATGTTAAAATACAAGATAGGTGATAGCTGAGAAGATTCTCAGAGGTAAAAAGCTGTCACTGGCAATTAAAAAAACCCATCTAGGCCACTGAAAGTTGCTTGAGCTCAGAGAAGAGGCAATTAAGTAGATAAGTACTCGAGAGAGATCAATAAAGTGTCTCATGATTATATTCATGCGTTCGTGTTTGAAGTGATAAGAATGGGGGTTAGTTAGAAAGCACAGCTGTCAATCACGTAATCTTTCATGAAATGAGATGAGATTGTAGAACAGAGTGGCCAAAATGAGAAACTGTGTGTGTTTTGAGGCCACGTTAGTATTGATCCACTGTTCCTTCACATGAAAAGAGTGTGTTGAATGATTTCCTACCTGTTCAGGATGCTTGGAGGTCCTGTAACAACAGACTGGGATGAGTGTGTGTGTGTGTGTGTGTGTGTGTGTGTGTGTGTGTGTGTGTGTGTGTGTTCCACACCAAGCAAAGAAGAATGATCACTTTTTATTGGAATTAACAGCTGGATGCTGAGACCGTTCTCTATTATAAGTAGGGAGTAAACATACTTTATCTTTTAGTTGTTTAAACAGCACCACAAAACATCTTGTTTACATTTTTATGATTTGGTGCAAACATTCATACAATTATCCAAATGCCTTATGTGGAAATTGTTTCATCTAAGGTTAATATGGAAAAAAGGATATGGAAATTTTTGATCATACATTTGGGTTTATCGTGGGTCTCAGTCTACACAAAATGAACATACTCTTGCACAGTAGCCTGGTTGACCACTAGATGTCTCCTCATCTCCACCTAATAGTCATCACTGCATGCTGTGTGAATATGAGCGTCCCATGATGCTTTACCCTAATGGTCTTTTTTTCTCTCTTGTCTGAACATCGCTTCCTCTTTCCTAGATTTTTATGCTAAAATCTGACTTTTTCTTCACATAAATCCTTCACACAATCCTCGCTCCAGGATGCTGCCATGACAACGACGTTGGTTGTCGTATCTTAAAGTTTCAAATGCACAGTGGAATAATCCCCACTCTCATAAACCAGTCTTTCTGCACTGCTGAACATTGTGATTGTGTGGATATTTGCCCGTAGTACACCAATATTTGCATGTGACGACAACATAGTCATTAATTGCATATGTTTGGGCAGATCTTAATGAATACTGATCCACTGAATAATTATCTTCCTAGAATAAACGAGTCACACTAAGATGCAAAAGTACACTGGAACTGCCTTCAGGTGGCAGCATCCTCACAACTGATGCAAATCAGCGTTCATACACATTTGCAGTTTTTATAAATAACTGTTCATACATCTGTTCGATGTCATATTGGTTTGTTTTATGTCGGCAATCCACTCCAGGCCTATCAGCGGGACCATCTGTGATTTGTTGCACTGTGGTCAATGACCCATCTGTGACTTTGGCCGTCTGTCTGCCTGATGAGGTTAATGTTGATTGACCTCATGAAAGGAGTCAGCTGAGAGTCTTGTGTCAGATATTAAAATCAACCAAACCCTTGGTACCTCTAGCCAACACTGGTCACGCCTTTTTCACCAACTGAAGGAGTTCTTGTTCTGGCTTTGGTCTTTGTCTTTGTCTTTTTAAGTTGTAAATCAGAAGTAATTTGCTTTTTAAATACTTAATCCAGTGGATCCATTTTTCTGAACAGACAGGGGTAAATGTGTGTGATGAACCAACAGCCTCTGTGTTTCTAGTACACTAGCTGTTCTCTGATGGTAAAGTGGATTGACTCAATTTTGCTCTGGCCAGAAGGAAACATTTGTTTCCCCGTCTTATGTAATCTTCATTTAGGTAAATCTTTTTACTTCTATTTTCCTCTTAAAATACTATCCAGAATAAATAAGACTTTCTCTAAACCTGGAGCATGGGGAGCTTAACTGTCAAGATATTCGTGGTTTTTTCGACACTAATCTGTTGGAGATATGACAGTGATGCACATGTGTTGGCTTGGTAACCAATCTAGTATCCAGTGGCAACAGAGGTCTATTGAATGCCGGGTGGCTCTGTATTGGCTGGTGTGCCCACCACTCTCCTGTGTCACCAAGTGACAGAGGCACATCCATGTAGCGGTTCTGAATAATAGTAGGTTTGTGTAATATTCAGCTCAGGAGTCAATAACGTGTGCATGCGTGTGTGTGTGTGTGTGTGTGTGTGTGTGTGATTGTGGAGGGGTCATCCAAGCCATGATGTTACAAATGCTCTTTGTGCTCCACCACTTAATGTAGGCCAACTGACCTGCAGGCGGTAGCACTCTGTTTTGTTTCTGTTACTTTGTCTGTCTCTCCATCAGATGCATGCAAATACAAAAACACAATTTACTTTAAAGTCCTTATTTCAAAATAACACCTCCGCTTTACTTAATCCCCACAAATGAAAATGAGAACATGTTTCAGGTTCGTCGCCATCATTAAGTTTAATGCACATCTGAAGGCATCCACTAGGGCAGAGGCAGACACAACAGGACAAGCGTCTTTGTCTCAGAGACTCCTGTCTGTCAGAGACCACCCCCCCCCCCCCCCCCCCCCAACCTCTCCTCCATTCGGGCGGCTGTTACAGAGAGGGCAGATGGCTCATTACCATAAATAGGACAGAGAGAGAGAGTGAGAGAGGGGGCCGTGCACACCGACCAACAGGACGATGCCGCCCAAAACCAAGGAAATGGGAGGCCGTTGCTAGGAGAGAGGAAAGACAGCTTTATGGCAACACAAAGCTGATTCCCCCATCCGACTTCATCTCGCCCACCCCACCCTCCCGCTCTGGGGAACGAGCCTTGAATCTGCTGGTGGGGGACAGATGGTCGATGGGCCCCACCGTCTCTACAGCTGGACACAAGCTACAACACAGTCAGGCCTGGCAGGACTGAATCACACCTCATCCTGTCCAACCTATAAGGAGCCCGAGCAGAAATTGCTGAAGCCCTGGCCATCAGCTAAGAATAGATCCACACTTGTTGCCCACAGGAAATGTGCGGCTACACGGAAGGTTATAATATGTGAAGAAATTTGTCTTTGTAGTAGCGTAGTGCTCTGCCCAAGTTAACACTAATTCACCAAGTGTAACCCAGGGTTTTATCTTTCATCTCCACTGATTCTTTTAACTTCTCAACAATTAATGGAAACGATTTGGCCAATCCTCAGAAGGGAAAGTTCTCAAATGATACACACAAAACCACACCTCTGTTGTTCTTAATCGCCCTTCTTCGAGTCATTGTCGAGGTTTTAAATACATCCATCCATACGCAACATTTGAAAAGGGCAACAACACAGGGTAGAGTATAGATGAGGTGAGGCACTAGGAAAGTATATCAGTCAAGACACCAACTCTGAAACAATAGCACATCCGCTCTCAACAGACCTCTGGCTGAAAGGGCAGCCAACTGTTTCATGGAAAGGAAGGAGATAAATCAATTAATAAAACAAGAGGGTATTCTAAGTGAACAAGATATTTATAAAAATACTAACTAGGCTTCGAGTGGTTGTTTTGCCATAGTTGTATTGCAGATTACACACACAAATCATCTTAATTCCTTGTCATTTGCCGTGATAATTAATGTTGGTAGATTAGGTTTAGGACGTTTTGCATATTGTCCGTTGGGAGTTGGGGAGGCGGTTTGACAGCATCACATGCATGTGTTGGGAGGGAGGAGGGATGGGAGAAAAGGACAACTCACCAGAACAAGCGAAAGAAAGCGTGGCAGCAGCATGACAAGTAAGCAGAACAGAGGCGGTCCTGCATCACCTAAGCCATCCGCCCTGGTTGCATAGGAACACGAGGGCCATGCCTACCCTGCAGACACACTCCTTTCCTCTCTCCTCCGCCACGCTTCATTACACAGTGTTCAGCCAGGCACAGAGAGGCACTGCACCACTTTCTCCACACTACAGCCGCGTGCCCGCTCTCGGCCTCGCATCCAGGCTCCCCGTAGACACGGGCCGGGTATAAACTGGCCCTCAGGCTCCGGGTCACACTCATTTTAAATGCATCTTGCAGGGACGACGTCGGGATGTCTGACCTGGTGTCATACACAAACCTTTATTTTTTCGCCAGGCATCCGTTAAAGTATACATGACAGCAAGTGTACAAATACGTGTTTTGGACAATTCAGTTGTCAAAGTTTAGGTCAGTGTGTGTGCTTTTGCATTCATACTAGAAGCAAGAGCTTAAATCTGACTTAATCTAACTATTTCAACCAGTTACTTTTATGCATTTCAGCTATTCATCCCTCAATCCCTTTGATTGAGCTGTATATCCATGAGTTTATTATTGAATTTGTTTCTTTTGGCAGAATTTAACTTTAATTATTTTTGTTTAATTTCAAACAAATGTTGATAAACTGTTAGCTAACAGTATCAGTTATCAGTGATTCCTTGAGTGCTCGAACACCAAAAGGTGGTTTGATGGAAGTTCACAGCTGTACTGGCAGATTATCATTTAAACCTATAGATGACGGTTGATGTGACCGTTTATCTGTGTTCAATTGTACAAAACAGCAGCCAGACTGATTACTGGAGCGTATGTAAATATGAAAACACAACACACGCTTCTTCAAACTGCTTGAAGAGCATCAGGAATCTCTCATACGTGTCATAGCCCACTAAGGAGCTGGTAGTGCCAGACAACACTGCCGGAGCACAAGACCACTATTGTCCCACAAGATAAAGTGCGTTTGTCACAGAGGCGATGCGGGTAGGACCAGATGCTGTGAAAAGATACGGGAGTGTCAGAGAACAAAGCTTTTGTAGTTGTGTTGTTGTTTACGGTGAAGAATACATCGGTTGAAGGTTTCACACTAGGTGCACGTCGGAGTGGGAAGTCCTTCCTGTATCCTCCTCCTGCTTCACTGTTAATTGACTGCAAGTGTTCATTTCCCTGCAAGGAACAGTCGTTAAGGGTGAATAACAAAATTTTGTTCACCAATGGGACAACAGCGGGGATCAATGGGTTAATTCAATTGACTTTGCATGTGGTGTATTGTATACTAGGGCCATTTAAAGGTAGTTTATAGGGAGTCATGCAACTTTAGTGTGCTAAAAGGGGAGAGAGATAGCGTGGATAATGGTCAATAAAGAGAGAAAAGCACATCCCCGAAGGGAACGACATGAATAGGACCAAAGTTCAGTGCTTAGTGTTTGGTAGCAACTAATCGGGTAAACACAGACGGTTGAGAGGGAAATGCTTCCTTCACCTGATACATTCTTCTTCTTTTTGTTTCACTGAAGCGTGAAGGTTATATGACGGTTTCCCATTTCTCTACACAGTCTTTTGAGTTTAGAGGGCAGACGAGGCAGGTTTCCGTATGCTCTGCTTCTCCACACTCACAGGTGCTCGTGTACAGTCAAGTTTGTTAAATTGCTGCCATATAAAAAGTAAAATGCCTTGTAAATGAACGAATGTCTGATTAAAAGTATAATCAGTAACAGTGTAACGGGGAACTCTTCTTAAGTCTTGTCTTCATAACAAGGACATTGCTGTTAACCTCTTTGTGTACTGAGCCCTGCTTACTAAATTAAACATGTCAAAAATGGCAGATATCATTACTAAGCAGCTAGTTGAATCGTTACACGTATTTACTTTTTCATTAAGCCCTAGTACAATTTAACTTACTCCTCCGCTGGAACAAATTGACACTTGGGCCTGTTTATACAAGCGTATGCCCAAGCCAACCTGAACAAATACGCTGAATCAATACAGAATTACAGGTTATTTGTTTGACTGTTGAAAGGATCATTCTTTCGCCCTACAGGTAGAGCATTTTATTGCACGTGCATTAGAGGAGGCACTTATCAGCTGACAGATAACAGGTAATCAGCGCACTGCTGACACAATTCATGAGACCCGGTTAGCAGAAAGGATTGTCAAACAAAGGCTTCTGTAGGCAAACAGGCTCTTTAGTTGAGGATAACTGCCGGCAAACGCTGGCAGAACCTCCAGGGAGAACATACCGGGAGAACAAAGAAAGTGTTGCATTTGAAACATGTTACAATTAATCAGCAGCTTTTGGGAATACCTATAGATAACAATAAGATGCCATGCTTTATAACCAGTAACCGCGCTGACTGACATGCATGTGCATGTGAAACCTGCGCACGTTTCTGCTTGCATATCTGTGCATGTGAGTTAGCGCTCTTTAATCTACATCACAATTCTCTCAATGACTCTTTCGCTTCGCATTTCAACGGGGGTTCAAACTAATTAACTCAGGGTGCGAGTTGTCTGCTGGTCTCAGTCCCTTATCAACTGCATGCGATGGTTCCCGAATGTCCAATCGGGTCAGCGACTTGGTACGCTCCATGTTCTCGCCTGGAAATATCCATAGGATAGGGCCAGTTGTGCATATTTTTTAATATTTTGTGTGACATCATAGTCCCGAAATGCATGTCATTGCACAACTGTGTCCATTGTTGCAAATGTGCGTGAGAGAGTAAGCAGGAGTAAAAATAGAAGTAGAGATACCTGCCATGTTGTATAATACAGTGTACATGTGTGTTTGTGTGTGATACAGTGACAAAAAAAGAGATTATTTTGGATCTGGAGAGAATTTCTTCCGAAATGTGATCGATCTTCAGTCTTCCCCTCTTTGCTGGTTGGGTACCAAAGTATCAACATCTGTGTTTCCACTCCAGATGCCAAAGCGAGCTGTAATGAGAAAAAAAGAGAAAAAGGGAGAGAGAACAACAGAGGCAAGAGGACACATTGAATGAAGAGCCGCATACGAACAGGGGTTGTCACTAATAGAGAGTTTTATGAGCTCCAGACCTGCTGAAATGGAGTGCCGTGCGTGTGCAGCAGCTCTTATCGGCTCATTGGCAGCAAGGGGAGGGTGAGAGCTTCCACACTTGCGCTCCGTAAAAAACGGTCTGATTCATTTTCCGCATGAGAGGGTCTCACTGGGGCGGCATCAGACCAGCCAGTCCACACAGATTTATGGACCATTAAAGCAGCAGGCCTCCTGACCGCCGTGCCACCATAGGCTGTGCTGCTGAGACACGCTGCACCCTCATTCAGCTCGCCGCTCCTCTCCATCACAGGCCAGCGTCCTCATTGTTCATCCCTTCCACCAGTACCGCTTTTACTGCCTTACATGAACTACTCTCGGGGTCTGTAATCCTGCCATACTTCACCTCACTCTGTTTGATACAAAGGGAGTTGTTTACTGTAATTATTCTCCTCTATTGTTAAGTTAACACAGTTCTCACAAAGACCTTTTTGTTATCCGTCCATGTCACAGGAGAGGATCATTACTAAAGTCAGTTATTAGCCCTCTAGGTAGAAAACACATTACATGGACAAGAAAATGTTCTGGTACTGTTAAAAGCATCTCTGATGATGGTCAGTGGGGCATGTTGCTTTAGCCTAACAGCTTTTACAATCAGATTAGCACCATTGCAGGCACACAGACTAATGGGTCTGTCTTTTTTAATGCATCCACAATCAACTGTTTCCCAGTGTTATTAATGCATCTTGCTCTCCTCTCTCCCATTTGCCAGCTTTGCAACCTCATCATCCTAAGGAGTGATACTGGAAGGAAAAATGGGGCAGAGTGTACACATGTTGCTGGCCCTAAGAATAGCTCCGTGTGCAGGAGAATTGTGCCACAGAAACCTGAGCGAAGGTTCAAAATCATGAATGAATTAATATAATGGTATCCAGAGTGCTTTGCCACCACTGGTGAATCACTTTATGTGCCTCTTTTTTAGACAAATGAGTATTGCAACACATAATCCCATTCTGGCATACGACAGACATGCGTGTTTCAAGGCAACGAATGCCTACCTGAGCAAACTGACCCCAGATAAACAAGGGACTCACTGAAGCAGTAACCAAGCCACGGATCAACAAAAATACTTTCAAGAGTTTCACTGAGGTATTTCGCTCTGACACAGAGCCGCCGTGGCGCGGCTGCAAAGCCTGTTTGTCCAGTTAGCAGAAGGGGAAAAACAAGGGTGTGCAACCACACCAGTGAAGAACGGCCATACTGCACTGCCGGTATTTGGTTAGACACAGCAAAAGCAAACAAGAGAGGCTGTTAGATCAGTCCGCTGAGAGCTACTCGTGTGGACGCTTATGAAATGAGAGTGGCCGCGATGAGTAAGGTATCGCTGTTATGTGAAAAGTTACAGTTTGGTGTAAAGTCAGTTGGCCAGTAAAGCTGCACTCAACAGATAGCACGGGGTCCCTGTTGCTCTCCAAGTGCATCTGTAAAGTCATGTGAATAACACGTGTGTGCATTTTGGATTTTCCACACATTCACAGAGAATGGTCCCATCTGCAACTTGGTGCTTTCCCATTGCTTGTCTTTGCTTTGTCTAATGGCTCAGGCATCAAACCGCGTGTGCCTGTTGTTTGTGTGTGTGTGCGTGTGTGTGTGTGTGTGTGTGTGTGTGTGTGTGTGTGTGTGTGTGTGTGTGTGTGTGCGCGCGCGCGCGCGTGTATTTACACGTCACGTTAGCCCCCTTGTATCGTCGTTTACTCTGGGAGGGGCCCCGCTGATGGTCCACTATCGTCACGAGGCTGGGTGTGGTGACACATCCTTTCTCTCCGCCCCGAGGTGTTTGTGCAGCCTAAATAACGCGGGATTGTTTAGTGGGGGTCCCCGTCCGGGCTTGATCACTTACACGCACACTTAATTAAATTATAATAAACCCCACCACGACTTCCCCCGTATTCCCCATCATTCATAAAATGCCTTTAATAAAACGCGTTCGCCTCCTCTATGTCACGTTACGAGCAGCTGGCGGTAAAAGTGAAAGCACATTTCACGATGCAAAACAGGATGGCGTGCGCGTTCACGGGAGCTCCTGCGCTGCGGCAGTTGCCAGGGGAGATCGGAGGGGAGGGGTTTTGATTGGCTGAAGTGGACGGGTTGCTATGGCGACAGCGAGGGGTTTGGTAGCGTTTCCCGTGCGCTGTGTGATCTGCGCGCTGCGTGTATGGAGGGAAGCAGCTGCTGATCTGATCTCTGACATTGTGCGAGACACATACATCGGAATAAACTGCGCGCGGACGTGTCGTTAAACATACCGCGCCGAGGCACGCAGTGGATGATTGTAAGTATCTGAACCTTATTCCCCCCCCCCCCCACAAAAAAAACTGCGTCTCGGGTTGAGTCGCGTTTTTGCCGGACGCGGGGTTTGTGTTCCGAACAAGCGGAAAAAAAGTAAATGTGGTCAAGTGACTTTGCTTAGAGCAGCCAGCATGGCAGAACAAGCGACAGCATGTGGCCCGCTAGCTAATGTTAACGTGACTTCCCTCTCCTCTCGCTCTCTCGGCTCGTATTTATTACAGCAACAAAGAATGGACCCCCTCCTTGTTTTTGGTTGAATGTACGGAAACGTAATTACCACCGTATTCTCCCTAGTTGTGTTATGCTAGCCCTAGCGGTAGACTCCCTGACACGCCGAGCTACCGCTGCTAACGCTACTCTGCGACCCCCCCCGGCTGAGCTGCTGGCTTCAGCTCACGTTTGGTGACGTTACACCTCGTGAAAACCTACTTTTTGTTTTTTAATAGTTAAAGCCGAACGACGCGCACACTGGACTTTAGGTAGCGAGTTGTGCAACGCTCCTTTCCGTTGCGTTTAACTTTTGTCTTCCTCGTTGTGCGGCTGCTGGTGGGCGCTGCTGTTTTCGTTTTGGGACTAAACCCCCCCCCCCCGTAAAGTCTGCGCTGTCTACAAAGCACATTTTATTTTTAAACTTTTCAATATCACTTTTTTTACGTGTAATACTTGTGGTCGTCGCGTGGCTCTCGGAGTGGTAAGTTGGGTTTTTTTTGGTAGGCGGTGACGTCAAATCGATATCTGTCGTTTTTCTTTTCTTTTTGTGTGTGTGTGCTGCTTTTAAGACGCGTGTTTTCTCCTCGTATTCCTAAATAAGTTGAACGTTTCGTGTCACCCTGTCGACGTGTGTGCCCAGAGGTTGGGAGGCTACAGCGGCTACTAGCAAAGCACATGATGTAATGGATTATCACAAGATTGTCCCAGATACAGAGAGCTCTGCAAACATTGTCGGAGTGAAGGAAAAACCTCTCTCTTTAATCCGGTGTGATATCGTTTATAGGTTGGCTGCTGAGTAGGTCCTGGATGGTGTTCCACGTGTCTTATGTTGCGTGTTCTAGTTGTCTACATGCTTCCTGTTTTTTTTTAATTTACTGCACAAACCTCAACTAAAATGAATTGTGTCGCTCTGTTTCTATATGTGTATTTGTAAAAAGTGGTGGTGGTGGTGATGATGATCATGGGGAGAGACTGTCTCGTCTTTTGCGAGGTTATGACTTTAATGTAGGCTGACGTTGCTTGCTTCTTGCTTGACAGTTTTTTTTTAAAGCCCCAGTGATCAACAGAAGACAAAAGGGGCTTATGGGACACAAAAAGAAACAGATGTTGTCAATCTGCCATTCTTTTTTTTATTGCCAGAACCACCATGGTCATGTTGTAGGTCAAACCATCTGTTGTTTCTTTGCTGTTGTTTGTATCCACTCCTCTTCGTGTGTGTGTGTGTGTGTGTGTGTGTGTGTGTGCAGAAGCCCCCACAGAGGGAAGGACTTGTGCCTCCCAGAATAGACCTGGGTCTTCTAACTTTACTGACATTCATTACTATAAATAAAGACTTGTCGTAACCCAGTGACGCTGTAAATGCTGACTTCCAACACGTGTTCACAAATGCTGCGATGGAAAGCATCGCTCGACTCAGTCGTGCACAACCATGAGGTTGTTTGAGTCGTTACCATGGGAGACAACGGTTTGAAGTCTCCTCAGGACGAGGTGGCATCCTGAGGAAGCGGACTGCAGAGTCTTCGTGAATATTTTATTTTTTTATGGGTCAACTCTGAGCGTGATGTTTGAAAAGGTTACTGGCGTGCTTCGATGCGTCGACTGATGACTGCTAGAAACTAGACACAACAACGAGTGAATTTGACAACAGTGAGTCACAGTATTATTTCCATCATATTATCTTAATTGTTGTGTTTAAACGTGAGGGCATTGGCCTGCTTCTTTAATCCATAAAACACAATTCTCAATGGAGTAATGCCCTGGCAGGAACACACACTTGTACTATATTGCCCCATGTTCAAGTTTACTACCAATAGACACGGTGGTATCAAATAACTCCTCCAGACCGCCTTCATTTTTTACAACTCTGTGTCACTTTTCTGCGAAGGTGCTCCACTTCACTGTGCCGGGGACCTGAACAGAAAGGTGTCCCTCGGGGGACGTACGTCCATACTGAGGCCGTGTGACCAAAGACCACGGCAGTTCAAACCAAGCGAGTCTCTAGCGTGCCGCGACACGAGATCCTGCGGAGCTCCCTTGTCCCTCTTGTTCCGTTCGCTCGTCACAACGCTCTGAATGTGATGTTAAAGCGTCGTAATGAGGAAGTGGCGCGGCTTGTTGCTGTTACACCCTTCCCAGGCAAGAGTGGTAAAGAGTCTGCACTGCAAAATGGTGGCGCTGGCGTGTTATCAGTCTTATCACACAGTTGCGTACTCTGACCCGGAGTAAATGAAAGGTGGCGTCCTCCCAAATCCACCATGTTCTCGTGGCCGTAAGAGTGACTGCGCTTTCAAATTGATTACGAAAGCCCGAACCACGTGGCCCAAAACCTTCTGGGATTGAGCAACGCAGAACCTGGTTTCTCAGGGATCGGCTGAACAGAGAAGCTCAAAGCACCCTGTAATTACCAAGTCCTTGGTGACTTTGATTTCCCCTGACTATATGAAATCGTTGTAATGGTAGAGGTGGAATAATATGATGATTGGGAGGATGAGGTATTTGGTTCACATGACCAGTATTCCCACAATAAGGAAGTTATGTGCACATTGCAATCTGTTTACACATTTAAACTGGAAATGAGACATATACTTGTCTCCAAGTCACTGCTATTTGGGTGGGGGCCCCCCCCCCCTCTGTTATGACAGCTTAGGTGGTGGGATTGAAGAAGCATCTGATCCGGGATCAGTCACCAGTCAGTGAGCTCCACCTCTAACTGCTGACGTCGGCCTGTGTCTGTCTTGGGGAGTTTACTGCTTCGTGCAGTTTTATGATGCTTAGCTTGAATAATTAAAGCTGCACATGTGTGATTCATCCCCGGCACAAACCCTGTGCTTTAAGGGGGGGGGGGGGGTATCCCCGGGAGTGAGTCGTCTCGGGGTCCGTGACATTCTGCTCGTCAAACAAAGGCTGCTGAATTTGAGATGCAAATGTAAACTTCCGTGGAGGCATGTGCTGCCGCCCTTCTTTTGTTTCCCTTTCCTGGTCTGATTCTCAACTTGTCTGTTTTGTTTTTTTGGATTGTTGTTGTTGTTGTGGTGATTGTTTTGTTGTTAATGGTGCAGCTAAATGGCATCTATTTTTATTCCCGGCCCTCCCACTTAACAGCGATCACTATTTCACAAACACTGGTCAAATACTGCAGGTAAGGCCTTAACAAAGAGGAAGAGCAGGACAAAATTTGTCTAAAAAATCAAAGCGTGTCAGAGTGTGTGTTCTACAGAAGTTGTGTCTGCGTAATGTACTCTTGTTGTGGCGCCCCTCCGTCTGCTCCAGTTATTGCTTTTACGTCTCGTGATTGGTCCCAGTGGTTATGCATCGAAGCAGAGCCCCCTCCCCCCCCATCTCCTCCCACTCCCCCGCCCCACTCTGACCGTGCCTGCCTCCCTCTCTGACGGGCTGGACTCGAGCCGCAGCCCGTCAGGGCCGGACCCTCAACCACAGCAGCGCCGGCCGAGGGAAAGGAAAGTCAGTGCGTCACAACGGCCCTTTGTCCCGCCGCCCCCGGTCCAATTAACAGGGGGGGGGGCTTCTTTTAATTGAGTCGACACACGGGCCGGCCAGTTGCTGCGTGCGTGTCATCTTACTGTAACGCCGACTTTAACCGCGCCTCGGACAGTTGTACAATAATAGCGTCGTCAGAAGGGCCGGTCAGCTGATTGCACAGATTCAGCGAGGCTTCGCACACAGCGTCACTGAATGTTTCATACCGAGCTCTGTACTCGACGCTGCTCAATCCAGGAATAAACACGCTGCTCAGTTTACTAGATAGAGCTAGTCTAGAGCTCTGCTATTTTTAAAAGCCCTACATTGTCATCAGATCACCATGGTGATATGTTGGTGGGGGGGGGGGGTTTAAAGTCAGTAACGGATATAACAGTGGCCATGTGCCGCTAGGTGTCCTTTGTGAAACAGGGGGGAAAAAATGGTTTAATGTTGCACGATTTGTTCCATTTGGGCGTCTCTGCGGCCTGTGGAGTGTTGCATGGTGATGGCCGGGTGATATCAAATCTCAATTTGTTTTTACGCCGAGAGAATGAATGCTCCTGCAAGAAATGCTCCTTTGTTTGTTTGACTAAAAAAAGAACCTTTTTTAACCTCGTTCAATAATTCTTTATTCGTAGAAGCTGTTGACGGTGACTCAACGTAAGTGAGTAAATGACGAACGGAAAAAGGCTGTTCATACTTTCATCAAGATTTAACAAAAAGGGAGCAGATGCGCCGCTACCTGGTTCGCCAAGAAGAAGATAACAACAAAATGGCTGCTTGTTTTTGAGGAGATCCTCTTTTACCCACATTGAAAGGAATACAAAGACTGCCCAAGGGCACTGCAGAAGAAAACTCTTCTTGTGTTGCCTTCCCGCTACTTTATGCCCGTTCAGCTTTTCATCTGTATGCACTTAAGTTGTTTTTACGTGCACCAGATGCCGCAGTAAATGTTTCCATTACCTGAGTACCTATGAAGGGCTATAAAATAGTTTCTATATTTCAGAATCGAATACTTTCCTGCAAGGCCTTGTTGGTGGCTTCTGTGTTTCTACACAATTGAATTGGCAAATACTTTTTAGTATTTACTTGGAAACTAATCTCAGACAGAGCGCATTCCTGAAAGGGCTTATGTCGAACTTTTAAAGGCGCATTGTGCTTCAAACTTAGAAACCAACCCCTAATATTAAAAAAATGTATCTATTAAACATTCATTTTGAAGTGCCACATCAGAAGGACTTTCCGTCCAGGCGGCCCTCAGTATTAATAAGTAGAAGAGGTCGGTGCCACCCGATGGGGGGCCGAGTGTTTGCTCACTGAACTTAAAGCCGCATGACCCGAGAGATAAGGTTTCAGCGGCGGCCCAAGGCCGCTGCCAAAGTGCAGCCTCGTGTGTTTTTCTCTTCCAAGTCGCTGTGTGAAGTCGACGTCGTCTTCGGGCCCTCGTCCCGATAATCAATCCGGTGTTTTGTTTTATCACACTGGAGTGATTGCATCAGTCAATCCGTCGGGGGGGGGGGTTCAGCTCGGCAGCTCGCCGGCTGCCGCCCGCTGGAATGCAGAAATTGACAAAGCAAACAGCCGCTGCTTGAGGGAGCGCTACCTCTCGGCCCCTCGCCGCTTTCGGGTCCCGGCAAACAGCGGGGCCCCGGCTGTCTCCGCGCGGAGTCCGAATTTGTTTCCCCCCCCCAACCCCCTGAAAATGAACTTCCTCCACGGGCCTTCCTTCCCCCGTCCTCTTGTTTGGAGCTGTGAGGTGAATACTGAGCACTTCTGAAACATGACTAGAGCAAAAAAAACAACTGGCCCTTTGTGCGCGCTGAGTGTGGGGGCCAATCGTAAGCCTTTGTGCGCGCTTTCTTCCATTCACCTCCAGGGCTTCGAGTAGATCGCTAGAATCCACTCAGTGGATTGATTTGAAAATGTTTCATTTACTCAGCAGCCTGATTAGGCTTAACATTAACGGATGCTTTATTTGTTATGACATAATTTGAGCCTCCAGTAGGAGAAAAAAGCCGCCTTGGAAGAGCTTCTCTCGCACTCTTCCCCTCTGTGTTTCTCTCTCTCTCTCTCTAACTCGGCCCGCCTTTGTCTCATTCACATTTTTTAAAGCTCTGGCCAGACTGGGTAGTCACCTAAACATCAGTTGGAGAGTCAAATAACAGCTTTCGCCGCGGTGCTTTGCGACACGCCTTTGTGTGCACGACAGAGGTGTAACTGGTTTGTGTCAACTGGTTTCTTCCTCGTCGAAGAGGGTGCGGCGCGAGCGCGTCTCAACCCATGGCGGTTGGAAACGCGACCTGTTTGGGTTCTGTTATGAAGTCTGCTGTTTACGTCAATCATGAGTTGTTTTTGGAAACAAAGTAGCCCTTCTGTCGCCTAGAGTGGCTTTTGTGAAGTCCGCCTTAACGGCCCTTAGTCTGCAGTGCCGTGACATCCAGATCGGCCGGGGCCTTTTCCCGCTGCTCTTTGTCCGACAGGTTTGTGAAGAACCGCGGCAGACTGCCGGCCTCAGCATTTTCCGCCCGTATTGATCTCCCCACATTAGCTCTCTCTTCATGCACAGACATGAGCACAATTGCTTCCCTTACAACATTGGCTGCCGTGGCAACTGAGTCCAGATTGGTTGGATTCACCGACAGAAAAACATCTCTGCACCTCTTCATTTTTGATCCCGCCATCTCCTCCTTTTTACATTCCCCTGTACATATTTGACACATCGGCGGCTTGATCTGCCACTTGAAGCTATCTCCATATGTCTTTGTGTCATTTTGAATAGGCTAAGTGCTTAACAGGATAAAAGAGCAGTTCGAAAAGAGAGGGGGGGCATGGCACCTGCTGTTAGTGCCCGCCTGTTTGCACATGAATATGACGAGGCCGGCGCTGCGCGGGGCTATTTTAACTTGCAGATGAGACACCGGGTCAGCGCCATCGCGGCTTTGGTGTATTCTCAAGGATGCTGCAGTCAACAGGCCGGCCTGGCTTTTTAGCTCCCTCTCCCCTCGGCACACTCGCGTCCCCTCATACACCGCCCGCCCCCTCTATGATGCCTTTTTTGCGAGATCGGCGGCAACTGCGGACGTTGATGCAACGGTGGTGATTGACCAGCTGCATTGATGGCGAAACACTTCCTGTGTTTGGCCGGACGCGAGCGAGGCAGCTTTTCGGGCAATCTGCTTCGATATCCAAATGTCGGAGTCAAGAGAGGATACGTGCCCTATAGCCCCCCCCCCCCCTCCCCTCCTCGATCCCAGCCGAGAGGTCATGGCCCAAACTCTTTTGTGCTTTAAGGTTAATCGGGCTGCTTCCTCTCATCTCGCCGCCACAAAACCAAAATCAAGTTTGCGGGCCAGTCAGTCGTGGCCCGTTGAAGAAGAAGAAAGGAGCACCGTGGGGAGTGCTGCGGTTCTCTCCGGCTCCGCAGAACCCTTTGAACACACCTTTTAATCAAACTAAAGACCCCATCCAGGCAAAGATGTTCTCCATCAGCTTTCATCGGGAAGCACAGTCATTGATCTTGGCTTGACTTAAACTTAAAAAGAACAGCTTAAAGTAGGTCTTCTCCTTGTCAGAAGGGATCCTTTTTCCTCCTCTCTCTCACAAATTCAACAGGGCTTTGTTAAAAAAATGGACTCTTCTTGCCTAAACATTTAACTTTCAAACATTGAATATCTCTGGTTCACAGCTATCCTCCTTTTTGTGTTTTACTGCAGACTCGTTTGGCCCAGTCCGTCCCTTTTCTATTTTTGAATTCATTCGGAGTAGGAACCGGTCGTGTCAAGAGATGTCTTTCCTTGTTGTGGTCTCTCGAGCAGATATGTCCTTTTAACACAAATGGGCAGTTCTCTCGCTGCCTGACAAACCCGATCGCTCAGAGCTGTGATTCATCCCGGACCCGGGAAACTCGCACAGCCTACCGCACTTCCACCAACGTCTCCGCTGGCTCACGCTCTCCATTTCTCTCCTGGCCTCTCTTTTTGTCACCCTTCGTCCTTCCATAAAAGGATGTCTCTATTGTTGTGTCCCTTCCTATGTTCACTCCTCCTGTCCCTTTTGGCCCCGAATGCGCTTTGCCTCACTTCCTCCTTCTTCCAAGTGTATATGCAGATCGCTAAAGCGAATTCCAATGGCGCTGACAAGTTGAGACTCAGACAATGGCGGATTGACAGGCCGCGCGCAGGACAAAATGTGTCCGGCATGACGTCACGTGTAGAGCAGACGAGACTGAACAGTTCTGACTTGACAGAAACAAATATACTGTCAAACGTCCTCTTTTTTTTTTTTTAAGTCAATTCAAAATAAAATAGGATCAGCCTGCTATATGTTTATCCCCGCATTGAGGCTTGAGTGGTCATTTTGTAAATGCACTAATGGCTCCTCCATCCCCCTCTTGTCCTCACTGGCTTTAACAAACTGATGCGTGCATGGGTGTGTGTGTGTGTGTGTGTGTGTGCGCAGTCCCTCTACAGTCTCGCCCACTGTGCAAACACTCTTGAGTTTGACCCAATTCTTATCTTATTGCCGAGATGAAAAGATATGCCCATCCACCCTCGCTCGCTGTGCCCGTTTACCTATCCATCCCTCCATCTCTGCCCGCATCCAGAGGACCCCGGACCTCCCCTGACCGGGGCATCTGGTGTCCACCTGCTGGGTGCAGCAGGAGCCTCGTCTGTGGCAGAGCCAGGCAGCGCAGATTATTATTTTCTTATTGTATCTATGGATCTTGTTTTGTGCGGATTTCTGCTTTTATTGAAGGGATGGCATGGTTGCCATGGTGACACCCGGGACATAAAGCTTGTTGTGAGCTGAGCCAAAGAGTGATCTCTTTGTGCTCTTGGCCTCACCAAACAGCGTGCGAGACCGTAGCTTGTGTTGTATTATAATATTCAGACACACATAAACGACGTGCTTATTTTAGTGAGCTGAGATTGTGGCCACGTGTTAAAATCACAGCTCAGCATTGGGTTCGATTCAAACACTTTGACAGGATCCTTGCTGATGACAAGCTGTTAATCCCTCCTCTGAGCTTGTGTAAAAAAAAAAAAAAAAGAAAGAAAGTATCATTGTCTTATTAATGATGGTACTTGGGCAGAATTAGGTAATGATGCGGGGCTTCTGGCAATATTGAATATCCTAGCGCCTGTAGCCTCTTTACACTACTTAGTCTGGCATGTGACAAATTGAGACTTGATCCTGGCTGAATGCAGATCAGTCTTTAAGAGGCCATTCACTCAGTAAGATGGAGGCCTTCCACTCGTTCCTCGGGCCGTCGGACGGTTTCATGCCCCTTTACACATAACAAGCAGCGGGATCCGGTCTATCAACGAAGTGGGCGTCGAGGAGTGGGGTTCAGTTGCTCGAGAGGACTCCTCGGAGATCCTCGGCTGAGTCAAGAGGATGGAGAGGGGCAGTAAGAAGGCCAGCAGGAGCAATAGAGACGAGGGGTTTGCCCCCCAAGGAGGACTTAGGAAAGTCCACATCATTCCATGATGTTGAATCCAGTTCTTTTCAGACTGCCAACTTCTGTTAGTAAATCCAAAAACTGTGATTTTGGTCTCCACTGTGTCCAACATTAACAACCTCTGCCTCTCTCTCCCTCTCCAGACCTCTTTGATTTAATGGGTCCAATCATTGGGATGTCACCAGATAAGAAAACGGAAATCCCGGGTATGCAAGAGGAGCGGACGGGGCTCCGGGGCACGTGTGGCATGGGAACCCTCCCGGAGGCGGAGTGCGCGTCCAGCCCGCTGGCCACCAGTGTGGATCGCGCCGGAGGCACCGAGGACGAGGAGCTCACGAACCTCAACTGGCTCCACGAAAACCTGCTTCAGAACTTCACCCTGGGGGGCCCGGAGGCTCAGCCCAGCGGCAGCCCTCTCTTCGACATAGAGGGCGACTACGGGTCCGGCCAGGGCCCGTCGTCGTCCTCCTCGTCCTCGTCACACGGCAGAGGCCGCGAGCGGGACTCGTTGAAGTCCAAGCCCCCGTTCTCCTTCTCGCTGCTCATCTACATGGCCATCGAGCAGTCTCCCAGCAAGTCTTTGCCCGTCAAGGAAATCTACGGCTGGATCCTCGAACACTTCCCGTACTTCTCCAACGCTCCCACCGGCTGGAAGAACTCGGTCCGTCACAACTTGTCCCTGAACAAATGCTTCCGCAAGGTCGAGAGGAGTTTGGGGAAGGTAGGTTGTTTAACTTTCCTGCTAATGCTCGTACAGATTTACACTTTCGAATGGTGTTCAGCATTTCAGCATGTCTGCATTGTAGCACGCGGTGTGTCTCGGGACCTATGACACCGCCGCCATGACGGTGGAATACGGTCACGGTTGTAGATACTCCTGCGGATATGCAAACACACTCTGATAGGACTTTGTCCCTGGTGCGACCTTCTGAAATCAGTGAGTGAGAGAGCGAGAGAGGGAGAACGGGAGAGAAGAATCGCATATTTGGACATTTTGAAGTCACTCTGCGAATAAGGAAGTCAGCGTTGCCTCCTGCGCATCTTTGTCAGCTTGCTCCTGGCAGCGCAGCGTGTGACACATTTGTGTTCCGGTATAGGAAGAGAAGGGGAAACAAAAGAGAAGTTGACCTTCTCGTGTGCACATGCTCGTGACAGAAGGGCAACACGCCTGCACAAACTCTCTGGTGAACTGAAAAAATTGAAGCGTTAGTAGTTTTTTTACTTCCTAATGCTTTCAATCTTTTGTGTTGGGTAATTTGTTGAGTTATGGTAATCCATTTCTGACATAAAACTCGCGGCTTTGTTGTTGAGGAGTCGGCAACACTGGTTCGGTAAAGTTATTCACAGATCCGGACTTCCCGGTTCAATAGCTCGTGAGCGCAAATCCAACACAAATGACACCAGCAGCAAGGACCTTCATACCTTGATTTTTATTTTTTTTGTGGCTGAAATAGGATTCCAGAGCTGGAGAGGTTTGCTTTTGTTTGATATTTAGTTTCCCCTTTTGTACAATCCATACATTCTTTAGCAGTACCAGGGACGTCCCTCGGAGGACAGTCCTCTATCAGACGCCACCTGATTTGCATGTTACTGTACCGTCACAATGGCGGCCATATTGACCTCTGGTATGGGTTGGGACCTCATACCCCCCCCCTCTACTGCGGGCGCTTAGCGCTGGGTGAGTAGTGGCGTGGTGCAGTGCAGGCCACTCAGCATGCAGGTGCACAGCGTGAGCCCTTCGTCTGCTGAGAGACCAGTTTCACATGACACTGGCTGGTGGTTTCCGTTGCCATGGAGACGTTTCCTTCTTCCTGCATCAGGGCTGGTTGGTAATCTGAGTCAAGGTTATTCCCCTCCCTCGCTCTATTCTCCTCCCAGACTGGGCAATGCGCCGCCATCAGTTAAAGTGACACTTAACACACCGGCGCACACACAGCTAACTGACAAATGTGTTCCTCACACATTGCTGAGGATCAGTTTTCCCTCCTTTTTGTTTAGGCCGTCGAGGAATTCTCAGTTATGCATTTGCTATTTCTTAACGCTTCGTTTATTATGTGCTCCCTTGAAGATCTGGTGGCGTAGCATTTTTTTACTACTTGTGAAAAAGGAGGATCAGGCTGTATGCAGAGCGAACTCAAATTGTCATCTGAGGATTTTTATGAATTTAGTGAATTTAAATTAAACTTCTGACACACAGATATATGTTGTTTCAAATTTTCAATGGATTACAATTTCACAAAAAAGACGATAAAGTGTAAAGAAGGATATCAATAATATGGTTTAAAGGGTGTTGAGAGGGACTGCAATCTACGTGAATACAAAGAATGCATTCATTTCAAATAATGCATTTGCAATGAAGGATTTATTATCAGGAAGCAAAGACAATGGTCGCTTGGCTTCAACAATGTTCCACAAGTTCTGGTGGGAAAATCCACCGGGTACCAATCCAAATACATTTTCAGGAAACATGTGGCCTTTCACTAATGCAGTGAATGGGGAATCCAGATTTTTCTTTTCCTATACGAGAACATTATTGATTCCCAGAATCCAAAAGTTTGATGTTCACTGCTCTTTCCTACAGGCCAATGGAAAGGGTTCTCTCTGGTGTGTTGACCCGGAGTACCGCCCCAACCTGATCCAAGCCCTTAAGAAGCAGCACTTCCCTGCCGCATATGCCTTCTGCACACCACCCGCCTCCCCACCCAGGTAAACTTTCACCAGTCACTCCCGGGGGGCTGCGACTTAGATTTGTGAATCGGTAATACCGTGTTCCATGTATTCATTGGATGTGACTTGTGACACTGTTAGTGAAACAGGTTTCTCCTTTTACTTCGAGGGTTTATGTATCTATTTGAAGCGTGATCATTTGAATTCGTGAAAGGCACACATAGTACTTTATATCTCCTTTTCAAACTCGAGATCTGACCTTTGTGTGTGTTTTGTCTACCTTCTGCAGTGCCTCCTCGCCCCCCCGTCATCCCTTTCTACAAGGCTGCTCATTCAAAGGTGAGACGGAAGCAAAGCAAACTTTTTTTTTTAAATTTCAGGTTTTGATGTCTACATTAAAAGAAGGTGTATAAAAATCACGGCAGTTTCTTGTAGCTTGTGTGTTGTTTGGTATTTTTATTATGTTGCTTGTTCACATTTCAGCCCCAGAACATTCAGCATCGCTATGCTTGTACCCGCAACTCTTGGTTTCATTTGTTGCATTCGAGTCATTGATGCCTCATGTAGACCATAATGTAGAGAGCTCCGAGTCCATGCATCAGCGTTGCCCCCCCCCTTCCCCCCAGCCCTCCCCAAACCCTCCGCCTCTTGGATTGGTAACCTTGACGACAGGCAGAGGTTCTGCTGGTGCTGTGTTAAGCACTCAGTCTCACTGTAATCATTAATTATTTAGAGCCCCCAGAAGTGAGCTATGAGGCTTTTAGACACTTTGTCAGGTCTGAAAAGATCGGATGCAGTATCAGTGGCTTCAATCCATCCTCGGGTTCGTTTCGGCATCTCCGATCCATTCGGCGAGCATTGGTTGTGTCACTCTGTCCCTGGTTTAGAATAACTGAAGGGAGCCCAGTCCGAGTACATATGCCTTGCTAGCATGCGTTCACACCTCAGGACTGACCATCATGCATGTTCTCTCCTCTTCCAGAGTCTGACATTGATGCTGCCACTGCCATGATGCTCTTAAACTCTGCCCCCGGGCACCACGTTGACCCATGTAAGAAAATCCACAAGCAGCCATACTTTCATACTTTGAGATCTTTGTCTCCTTCCCCGACATACCATCCTGTCATTGCTTATGTCATTTTTTTATTTTGTGTGCTTTAATTTGTGTGCAAGTCACCTGTTTTTGCAAGCAACTGTGTGGCGTAGAAAAGGTTTTCCACAATATTACATGTAACTGATTGCATACATTCTTTCCTGCAGAAATCTTTCCTCTTATTATCCTCTTCCACAATATTTGATTTGAGTTACGGCAGGAGCCCTCTAAGTATTGTTTCAGCGTGATTGGGTTTTGCTAATATTTCTGCTTTCGCTGGTCTGCTTTAATTAAAATATATTTTTAAATTAGGTGTCGTGGGCTTGTGGGCTGTGACAAGAATCACTTCTGCTTTATGTTTGTAAACAGAGTGAGACAGAGCTGCAGTATATGGTTCACTGGTTCTGGCTCTTTGTTTTATCAGAACATAACAACATAAAGTCAAGTCTGGTTACCTGTAAAGTTGCACAAGTCCTCACATATTATGGGATTTGTCTGGTATCTGTCTTATTTTAAGCCAACTGAAACTTTGAGTCATGATAATATATATATTATATTTAGAGCATTTGCTCCAGGACTATAAACACCTGCTTTTAGGTTACAACGCGCACTTGCCGCTCTCCTCATGCTGCTCTTTCCCCAGGCAATTCCGACGGCCCGCTGGACCTCTCCCGACCCGACTCTGTCCTGGTGAGCAGCGATCCCAAGCAGGACCACAACTACAGCAGCGTCGCCATGCAGCGCTGCTCCTCCCGCTCCTCCTCCTCGTCCCTCTCCTCCCTGGACGAAGGAGGCTGCGAGCGCCGGCAGTCCCACCGCGCCGGCAGTGAGGGCTTCCACAGCGACGAGGACTCCGACCTCTGGGACGAGAGGGGCGTCCACCAGACTTCTCGACGCCCGCCGGCCATCAAGTGGCCCGCCGGCAAGAGGGCGCGGCGCGAGGCGAAGCCCGAGCTGGACGAGGAGCTGAAGGAGGCCGCCGGGTCCTTGCTGCACCTCGCCGGTATACGCAGCTGCACGGAGGGCTCCAAACGCACTGTCAAGAGCACAAAACTGAACAGGAAATGAGAATTGCTTTCGCCTCACCAACCCCCCCCCCCCCTCCCTAATCCCCCCCCATCAGACTCCGGACCCTGTGGACCCTAACCTCTGACCCCTGATCGTGTGTCCGAGTGTGCCTCCTTCTCCTTATCTGATCGTTCATTGGCCATTTGGAGCCTTTTTTTTGTTAGGGAGTATCCCTGTCCAACAAACTAATGGCAATAGTATCGTTCACACAGGAGAACAAAGCCATATAGACTTTTGTAACTCGGAGGGGTCTGGTGTTTGGGCTACGGAGAAACATCAAGGAAAACCTATCCAAAATGACCTGCCTGCTTCTGTTGGATTAGAAGATTGTGATTTTTTTTTTTTCCTCAAAAAGACATAATGGGAAAAAGCTGAAGGTTTTATAACTCAAAGCGTTGCATGCTTCCTCCTCAAACCTGTATCCTCTTCCAAGTGAATCTATTTATGAAGCGAATGAATGCATGTTTGTAACAGACAAAACCTAACCTCCTGGTGTTATCCATTTTCTCCTGCTAAAGACAAAAAAATTCCACACTTTTAAAAGGAATTCCTGTTCCACAAATCCTCTTGTAAGAGAGATGCAATAATTATCCACAACCTTAACTTTTTTTGACTTGATTTCATGTTGGCATTTTTCCGAGTTGGGTATGCTAGTTGAACTTTACAATTAAGAAAATGAATGGAGTAGTACTATTATCTTGTTATGCGGTAGTTATTACACACAAGCTCTGGCTCCATTTCAGGATTAGCAAGATGTGGAAATAGTATTACTCTACCACTGCCAAATTTAGTTGCAAAGTTAGCTACACCACTTCGCTCAGTTTTGTGCGTCCATTACATTGCTATACAAATGAAAGCTGTTTTTTATTTTTATTTTGCAAATCAGCTGCTCATCCTGTCGACCCCCTTTGTTCATCAGTGTGTTTTTGACATTCGTTGTGCAGACATATATTCACATGTTTGGTGACAGCCTATGCAAAGTAAGCATCTGCCACTTGTTGCCAGATGTTCACTGCCTGTTCATAGGTGAACCTCCATAGATTTAATTTGATTTTGCGTGTCTCGTGTGCGTGCCTGTTTCATAGTGCATGTCGACTTCAGCCTCAACCTGATATATGACGGTCTTGACAGAAAGGGTTTGAAATTGTCAAACACTTTCTCCTCTACTGAGTAAGTACTCGAACCCCCCCGATGTGATCGGTGTAATGACGTATCTTCTGGCTGGTACTCCACCTGCTCCGGGTCCTTTTTCAATGGAGAGCTGGTTAATAACCAGAATAAGGAGCGGGCGGCAAACTAAAATAGCGACTCCTTCCATTATTTGGGTTTGCAGCACTCCTCTGTGTACTTTTGGAAAATGACAAATTGATACCGCTCATTTTCTGTTGGCTGGACCTGTGGTAAAGTTAATTCACAACTTGAGAGAGGCTGTGTCTGTTCTGGGGAAAGGAAACTGTAAAGGTGCGATCACTGTGCATACTCGAGGTCAAAGGGTGAGGAGGGAACCGTACGTGGCCAGAAAGAACTGGAAGGGGTGGCAGACCTGTGACTCTCTCATGGCTCTGGTCGGCCACAAGTGTTTCGTCCTCGCTCTTCCTCCTAGAACAAAATGATAGAAGTGCACGCTCTCTTCTCAAGCTGCGAAATGGAGTGTTTGCTGTCAGTTGATTGCATGCAGTTCACTGAGGGGAAGTTGCGAGCCGCTTGTGCAAAAGGCCAAAAGTGTCATTTGTACTATTAAAAAAAAAAAAAGGCGATATGCTGGCAGCACACAATACAAGGTAGCATGGAAGCCCATTGAGGTAAACAAAGAGAAAATCATAATATCGCTTCCCGCAGCACTAGATCACATCGTCGCAGTGACTGTTAGTATAGCATGCATGGTCAGTGCCAAACATTTTCCCGTGCCACTGGTGTAAAAGTGCAAAGGGCGACGGTAACTGTATTCCTCTGCTGCCACAATGCAGCGCTGGGAGTAACAATGCCCCAGTTTTCTCAATCATCCGAACAGGAAATGGGAGAGGACGCTGGCCACTACAGTGACCTAACCAGTCTCTTGGGTTATTTTTGTAGCTTTAGAGTGGGAACTGCTCTTAGCGGAGTACGCTGCAGTTCTACTAATAAGTAATACTTGCATACACTGGTCTTGTTTAGCTGTGAAAAAAAGAACAAATTATTGTTCATTAATCATCACCTTATTTATGACATTAATTTATGGGATTATTGAATGCAAAGTCTATCAAAAACCGGTCATTTTAAACAAGTGACTAGGCAGATTTATTTTTCTCCCTCTGTGAACACCACTTAATAAGTATTTCTGTTTTTCTCCATGTCTTATTTTACAGCAATACACTTTTTTTTCACTATGATATAGTGATTAAGTATTTTGCCAATGTCTACTGTCTTTAGAGAGGGTGTTTTGTTTTTCAATCTAACCTTGACTGCCAGGTTTTCTTGATGTTTTTGCTTTTTGTTATGCCGGATAGTTTATTATCATTGATCCTTAAACCTTTTTGTTGCCAAACTTGATGCATAGCTGGGTTATAAGATTCAAGACGCATTGCAGAAGTGAATTTCTTTTTTTCTTTTCTTTTTTTTTTTTTTACATTTGTCTCATGTTAACATTTAGATATTGTGACCTCAGCCAATTAAATATTGGCTCTCGGGTCTCATCACAGTCACAAAAAAAAAAACAAGTTAAAAAAATGACTGCCACTCATAACTCATAATGCTTATGCATGTTCATAATGTCAGTGAAAACTGGATCAGACTCACCTGATATGAGTCAGATCGGTGGATGAGCCACCTAAACATTTAGGCGTCCAACGCAAAGCCCAGTTCCTTCATTGCTCAACACCTGTTGTCGAATATTGATTACGTGATTCTCTAAATTTTTGTTGCAGTTCCTAAGGGTATGAAGAACATTTTTGTTGCCAACCCAGTATACATTTGTGTCAGTTGTCTGCCATGTCTACTGAACCGACATTTTGGTTTTTGTATGCTAACCTCTGTTGATAAAATGTTTATAAGATTTATTTTCGCCAAAGATATGCAATTGCATTATATATGGTATTTCAAAAATATTAATAAAAACCTGTTCTTGTTTTCATTGTCTTTTTTTTTATTCTTGTCGCAGCAGCTCGGTTGTAGCACTTCATTACTGAATAAGAATTTACCCATTTTTTCCCCTCTAAACAAGAATTCCATCACTTTACATTAGCAGACTAGACTGGCTAAATCTTTTGATCAACATTGCCACCTGCTGTGAAGGCCTCAAGATTGAACTTCTCGTTAACGCTGGTCTATTTTTCTGAAGCGCTACGTCTCCCAGTGACTGCTCTTTCAGTTCTCCCATAATCATGTTACACCTGGCAAATATTTACACCAAGACCAGTACTTAAGTACTGTTTTGACTGCACAAGCTGTGCTCGGCGCTACATGTGGCGGCTCCGTCCGCTCATTTTCCTTTGCGGTTGTGTCTTCGTACGGCACCAACATGGCAGGGTACCAGAAATGCACCTCACCTCAATGTAAATTCCTGGGTTGTGCCAGTGATGGATGCATCATCAGATGTCCCAAACGACACTCTCCGCTGTAAGTTAATTAGTCATGGAGGACTGTGGGATGAACACTGTGTGACCCTGAACAAGGGCTCGTCTGACTAGCCCCGGGCCCATTGGCACAGCTCTATTGTTCAATAGAGTCCTGTGTGTCGAGTGGAAGAGGGGGGCTTCTCCCTACTGACTGCCTCAATTCAGCTGGAAATCAGAGCAGCATCACCTCCCCCCCTCCCACACGGCCCTAGCAACCACGCCACGCCGACAGTTGCCAGGCAACCAGACAATGCTGGTGCCACTGGCTGTGGTGTGCGTGTGAGAGTTTGTGTTTTGCCCGTGTGCAGTCAAGATCAGGAATAGTGAAACAGCAGCAGAGAAAATATCATCCCATAGTACAAAACATCCAAGCTTATTTGATCCATAAAAAATAACTCAACTTAGAAATTAGAAGAAATATTTATAATATTTGCTGAAATATATACAAAGAGATTATTATGGATTAGGTGAAATTAATCTTGCAGGATTTGAGCTGGGACGGCTGCATTAGCAACATGTCATTTCACTTGTAGTCTAAACGAGGTCATGTGCGTTTTAAAGGGAAAGACCGTCTTTAACAGAGCTGCAACCCGCTTGTCATTTCTGACCTTGTTTTTGTTAACGCGACCCACACCACACTCAAACTCAGCGCTAAATTATTTAGCAGTGACATCACTGCACTTGTGTAATCTTAAATGTTGTAGTTTCAGAAAGGGGGACAATGTTAATATAACAGTATCTAGATTTTATGTCACACTCATAATATATTTAGTAATGCCAGCGTGTTTTAATCATTTATCAGTAAGTAATTCAATTCAAAGTAACGTTACATACGTTTTCGAGTGTAAAAGAACATAAAAACTGAGCCTTTCGGAGTGTTGTTCTATTGTATTTCTGTCTCTACGTGTGGCTGTGTGATTATCGCTCCGTCCATCCATCTCATTTCCTCTTCTAGGCCTTCTGACGCTAGACGGCGCACTGTTCACACCAGCTCACCACTTTCCTCTTTCCTGAACTCCGACCTCTGAGCCTGCCTGTCGGCGTCGGATCCCGTTCGAAGGAGCTTTTTTAGAAAATGAATGCACCGCTTCAGATAAATTTCTCCAGAGGCTGCTGGATTAGTTTAGCAGCAGCGACACTCTCAGTAAAACGGTTTAGCTGTCACATGTTGTCACGTTTTATATGACCCGCTACAAGCTAGTTTAGCTGTTGGCTAAGTTAGCCGGCTAGCTCGCTAGGCTGTGTTCACACTGATAGTGCTAACTTAAAAAAAAAAAAAAAACGCGTCCCTGTCAAGTCGGAATAACATCCGGCTTTAGAAATTAGCGTAAATCAGATGACCGTTGGCCGCTTCGTTCCCCAGGACTCAAGTGCGTCCCCCCGGGGACCATGTTTTTCACTTTAATTTCCCAAAGTAACGGAACTATCCGCCCGTTGAGTGATAACGTTACATGCGAACTAGCTAGCCCGAGTCGGCTAGCTCGCAGCTAACCGTCTTAACCGTCCACGTCTGAAGGAGCCGGCGGGGTGGAGGGCGTTCTCTCCGGCGAGCTAACTGTTCTCTCATCAGCTAGCCCGGGCTAACGACGGCACCCCTTCTCCTTCTGTCAAAAGTTTGTGTTCACGGCATAAGGGCAACGACAATGGCGAACGTTACGGACCTGCAAACGAAATACAGCAAGCTGGCGCAGGAGTACTCTAAGGTAAAACAAAAAAACGCGCAGGTGTCGCACGTGTTGTCATTGTTGAAGACAGTTATTAACGTTAAGTTACTGACCACGCTGGAAACTCTGAAGCGACCATTTAATACGCTATTTGATTTGTCGCCGTGCACCTGTACTCAATGCTACATAGCGAACATATGCACTCATAGACGAGAGAGGAGTTGAGGCTAAAGCACGCAGAGCTGTGATCAGTGCAAACTGTCCTATATTCATGGTTGTAATATTTTAAAGAGCCTTTGATTCAACTACAAAGCTTGTGTGGTCTGAGAAATGTAAATGCTGTTTAAATGTATTTTCTTATAAACGCCCATAACTATAATGCAACGAAATTCTACCCCCCATAAACTACAAACTATACCAAACAATTGAACCCGACTCTTTGAAAGTGTGATTTAAACAGGACACACCACTGCCATGTCTAATACAATCCACCCGGTAGACTAATAAATGTATGGGCAACTGCATGTGCACTGATTTGACATAGGACGTTTCAGGATAATGATTATGGTGTCATGTTTAAGCTTGAATGTGTCTTAATAATGTTTCTGTGTCAGCTGACCGCACGGGGAGTGTGTGCTGCTTCCTGTTCCACTCTGATCTCCCTGTTAGCAAAGCACCATAATCTGCTGAGGAAGTGCTGACTAAGTAGCTGTTGCACATACTGCCGTTATGCTTTATTTTGATTTTAGAGGCCAGTAGCCATTAATTTCTTTAGTTGACCGTTTCCTATTATACGGAACTGGATGAATAAACTGCAACCTCACGCAAGCATTTAACAGGGATTTTCTGTGTAAAGAAATAATGGGTTTTCACTTTCAGATGCCCCATACAAATGAGTATTTATTATATTATTTATTTATATATAAACTTCCATTGCCTCTCAATGTAGACAGCATTTTATTTTGAGGTTAAGGCTCATGTTTTTTTCGCCTCACAGCTCCGTGCCCAGAACCAGGTGCTGAAGAAGGGAGTTGTGGATGAACAGGCCAACTCTGCCTCATTTAAGGTAACGTGGCATGGAAAGCAGAAAGAACAAAACACGATCCACAGCTCTTTGTACACTATTACTCCAGATAGAGGCTTAATAAATCCACAACTATGATGCTTTGGAAATTGCAGATCATATTTTGAACTGTGATCCATCATCAGGTTGCCATGTAAATCTTGCAATGTTGCTAATCTCACTGGAGTTGCTCAAAGTCATTTCTGCCATATTCTTCAAAAACACAAAAAATAAATAAAAGGAGGTAGGGATTTGCTCAATGTGCTGATTGCTGAGAAGGAATGTACAGCAAGTTGATGCTTTTGTCATTATCCTCCTCAGGAGCAGCTTAAGCAGAGGGACCAGAGCCTGAGGAAGCAGGAGCAGGAGATGGACAGTCTCAGCTTCAGGAACCAACAGCTGGCCAAAAGGGTGGAGTTGCTTCAAGAGGAGCTAGCTGTTTGTGAAGCCAAGGGCAAAAAGGGGAAGGTGATCATGAGGGGAAATGAGGGAGAGGCCAAGCAGTTCTCTTAACAGAGGGAACCGGTTGCACTCGCATAGATGTGTCATTTAAAACTAGTAATTCTGAAATTCTCAAACTCCATAATGATTGCCATTAAGATGAAGTTAGTTAGCCCCTATTTCGTCTTTGCCTCCCTCAGAGCAAAGCAGACTCTCCGTCGCAGCATGGTCTGGAGACTCAGAGTGTTTTTGATGAGGATCTGCAGAAAAAGATAAAAGAAAATGAGCGACTTCATATCCAAGTAAGCATCTGCGTTTTGTTTCAACTTTAGATTGTCCTTTCAGTGACCTGTATATATGCACATGTATGTTCTGGTGGGGCCATGTATGTAATAAGTATTTTCTGCTGCCTGCGCATTAGTTCTACGAAGCAGACGAGCACCACAGGAAGCAGGAGGCTGCGCTGACGACACGACTACAGGATCTGGAAAAAGACTCTGAGCAACACCGAGCTGTTGTGGACGGACTCACCGCTAAATACATGGAAACCATTGAGCGTCTGCAGAGTGACAAGGCCCGTTTAGAGGTGACGATGAAGATGAAGGGGATGAGGACAAAGGACAAAGTTTTCATGAAGTTGATTAGAATGTGTGTATTTGTTTTGTCTTCTGACAGGTGAAAACTCAGACTCTGGAGAGGGAAGCTAAGGAGTGCAGAATGCGAACAGAAGAGTGGTACATCCTCTTTTTTATTCTGTTTGAGAATGATTTAATCCACCAATATGGTGTCAGGAAACCATAATGGTGATTTACACATAGTATACATTCCTAGTATAGTTTAGATAAACTTTTTGCATGAACACACTACCTGACTGTTAAAAAGATCGACAATTACGTACCAGCATTCTTAAATCCATACAACTATGGTGATTAATAGGAGTATATAGTTGTGATAACCCATTCAAAGAGATTTACCAAATAAAATGCGCAACTTTGTCTGACAAACTCCTTTGTTGCTCTCGTTCTGCAGTCAGCAGCAGGTGAGACGCTGCCAGTCAGAGCTGAACAGACACGTGAAACAAAGCAGCAGTGTTATCCAGGAGAAAGTGCCCTTCAATGACACCAGTGAGTATCTGTGAGCCCCGTGGGCAAACATGACCCATCTATTTGAGGACAGTTGTGTTTTTCCAGGAGTTCATATACCAAACAGTGATATTGCCCGCTAGGAGGCTAAAGCATTTAATTGTTGAGTTCGAATAGTTTGGCGGAGACTAAAGATCGGCTCTGGTTTGACTGATTTCCTCTTTTGCCCAGAATTTGGTGACTACAACAGCCTAAATGTGCCGCCACACAATCGAAGGCACCAGGTGAGTGAAAAGGCAAAGCTAATTTTTTAGTTGTCAATAACTAGATTTCTTTTTTTTTTTTTACAGCTGTTATTAGAATGTTTTTTCTTTTGTTGCCGATTAGATTTTTCTGTTTCTCAGCCTAATTTTGAATGTCTTACAAAGATTTTATCCATAACTAATGATTCTAACAAATTCTCAGTTATTCTCCGACCTCAGTAATAAATCTGATAGTGGCTGCAATGATGGATTATTTGAAGAAATCGTATCACTAAATTAAAGTATTCTATAATGTGTTACTGCTTTACAGAAGGCCACTGCTGTTGATAACAGGCCGTATTTATGGACACAGTTTTGAACTGCGTACATCAACAATGTGTGACCACTGTAGATGACTGGTTTTACTAGACAATTGGTCCATCAATTAAATAAATAAAAAACACAGCAAATCCATGTAGAAGCTGGAGCCGTAACAGGGTTTTATACATCTGCTTAAAAATGACTTAAATTATGAATTGGTTATCAAAACCGTTGCATGTTCATTCCCTGTTGTTTGACTCAAACCTGTATGTTTGGCAGAAGTACATCTGATACCAGCTGAATCTCTTCAGAGGTGGTTCTCAAACGCAGTGTTGGCTTGTTCTTGTGGTTTCAGCTTAAAGCCCGGGACGTGGCAGGTCAGGCCCTGAGCTTTATTCAGGACCTGGTGGCTGCTCTGTTGAACTTCCACTCGTACACAGAGCAGAGAGTGCACATATATCCCCTGGACTCGTCCATTGAGCCCATCTCCCCTCTAAACCAGAAGGTGAGGACATCCACTTTAGGAATCCGCACTGCTTCACGTAAAACATCCGTACCGTTACGCCAACCAGAAAAGTACAGGCTTAAATGTGTGATTCCCCTTTCTACCTAGTTTTCTCAGTACCTACATGAGAATGCAGCCTATGTGCGCCCCCTGGAGGAAGGCTTTCTACAGTTACACCAAAGCATCACAGAGGACACCGTGACCGTGCTGGTGAGTGCGGAGGGGGGGGGTCTTGTTCATCATGCTTGCCTCACAGCCAACCACCAACTGTGTGTTTTTATCTTCTCGAATTGAAGGAGACTGTGGTCAAGCTGAAGAGCTTTGCTGATAATTTCTCCTCGTACACCAGCTTTCTGCAAAAGATTCTTCCCTACCAGCTGAAAAGGTCAGTATGTGTGAGGGGGGCAGGAGATTGTGTAAAAAAAATAAAAATAAAAATGAGACTACGGCTTTATTGATCTTCTCCCCTCTGTTCAGCCTGGAAGAAGAATGCAACGCACCTCTTGGTACAGCTGCCCTTACTGCCAAAAACCAGGATCTGCAGAGCGACATGAAGAGAGTGACTTCGTGCTTTGAGAAGCTGCAGAGCTACATTACGCTTTTGGCCTTACCCAGTAGGTTCACATTGAAAATACATTCCATATGTCATAGATTAGTTCTTATAGTTATTATATAAACAGCTATAAATGTTTTTAGCAAATGTGAATATAAATTCTGTTTTCTGTGGTTTTTGCTTACTGTGGCAGGTCAGGCAGTGCACTTTATCCAGACCTGCTGAACGTTTTTTTCCATTAACACAGTTGATATTGGATGAGAAAAGTAACGTCAGTGAGAAGAAAAGAGGACGGTTTTTTAAAGTGGCTTGTTTTTATGGAAAGAACGGGTGCTCCTGCTGTGAAGTGAACCGATATGTTTCTTTTACAAATGTCTCAGGTGTTCGGCAGAATGCCGTGCCACAGAGCAGCACCTCAGCTGTCTTCACCCAGCTGGCTGCCGGCCTACACAGTCTTCACGATGCCATTAAAGGTGAGCAGCACGACAAGCACCTTAAAGAAATCTGCTGCCATTCACAACCAGTTGGATGCAGCACAACGATTCCCGAAGCTATCCACCTTGCTAGTGTTGTTATTCAGAAAAGTGTTCATAACGATACCCAGCAGGTTATACTTTGAAGTGCAAATAACCAGCATCCACTACACTGTCATGTAAAATGGAAGTATAATGTAGTGCTCTCTGGCAGAGGAGAGTCACTTAGTGTTAAGACGACACATTAGCTGAGTGGAAACGTGATTACATAATGAGGGCTTTTGTCTTGTACTTGTGGAGATAGTGATTGGTGTTAAATATACATTGAGGCGATATACAGGCATACTATATGAAATGCAATTGCATCCTTTGCACACCGGTAAAGGGGTGTCACAAAAAAGCTGCCTTTTTAACCTCCAAACTTGACAGAAATCCAATATCCAGCTAGTGCAGCTGAAGACGAAACTGAGGCTGTAAATGCTGTATTTCTTTTCTCCCCCCTGTGTCTAGAGATGTCCAAGCACTATAACCAGAAGGCCAGCTTGGAGCAAGAGCTCCCCACCACCACCCAGAAGCTCTGCACCACCACAGACTGCCTGCTGGGATCTTTGGGCTCTCTGACCAGCAGCACTGGCAAGGTACGGCCAACAGGGGGCAGGCCGCAGCCAGGTTTATTTTCCCCTCACTCATGTTCAGTCCACACATGCTATTTGGTTGACGTGAAAGCACAAAAACTTAATGGAAACCAGTGGTGAAATTTCACTGTAATTGGTCATTTTGCGGGCGTGGAACGACAGGACTCAGGTGGGCAGCCGCTAAAAGTTGAAAGGTACCGTCAATCTCACCGTTTGTACAGCTGCTCCCCAGTCAGACCAAAGGGGGAGAAAAAAACACATTTGTCTTTGTGAATTAAGTGAAGCGTTGGCCGAGGTTTGTCTGCAGATGGGAAGCACAGTCCAGCGGGTTGTGATGCTCAATAACATGCCGGCACGTGACATGTGGCGCGAGCTGCATTTTGATAGCAATCGTCTATGCAGGCTGCAGCGTAATTGCTTAGACATTTATCCAGTTGGACACATTCCCAATTCAAGGCTAAACAGAATGTTGAGTATCTGTATTGCGACATGCAGGCATTAATAGGTTTTCTTTAAATAAATAGGCCGCATGGATCTGTTTGATTGAGACATTATGTCCCTGTTTTGTTGCAGATTGCCACTTTCTTTAGCAACAACTTGGACTTCTTCACGTCACCAGGCTACAGTCCAAGGGGCTGCACAGTAGCACTCAACCCCTTGCAAGCAGAGAGTATGCTGGCAAACAAAAAGAAAGCAGCTGCCTACATCCATGCTATCAAACAGGTCAGTATGCGCTTCACTCGGCTGATTATTTCCAGGTTTTTGCTCTTGATGAAGTGTGACCGAGCCTCGGCAGTGGAAGCCCCCAGACTTTGGAATATTGTGCCAATAGAGGCACCGCCTTGCTTCTGCCTTTGGCCACGGAGACCGACAGAAAATAGTTTCTCGTTGTAGCTTTAAGTGTATTGCTGTATGAGGGAAGTTCATTACAAATATATTATTTATGAAGACAGATTTTTGTTCTTTTTTCAGGACAGGCCGCAGTCTGTTCCGTACAGAGACGCCCTGTCAAACCGTCGTATTCTCACCAGCTCCACTGAGAGCAGAGAAGGTCTCACGCAGCAGGTATGACTTGGCTAAAAAAAAAAAGCCCAAACCTATTTTGTTGGTTTAAAGCTCATGTATTTAAAGGTTCTTTCAAATAGACACCCAGTGTTATGTGGACAATGTGGCTATGTATGAATCCTTGTGCCAGCCAGGTTTGGTTGCCTTAGAAACAGTAATAGAACAGCATGGAGGTTAAGCCGAAAATGGCTCCACATGCAATTATGCTTGTTGTGTTGACATAATGGCAGCAATTAATCGTTTCTGGGAAAGACTGACGTCAAAGAGTTTTGTCATACAAGTGCAGAACTCTCAGGACCTCATATTTCTTTACAAGATTTTTAGAAATGTCTCACCCCACTGTCCTCTCCTCCCTGCAGGTGCAGCAGAGCCAGGAGAAGATTGCCCGGCTGGAGCAGGAGAAGGAGCACTGGCTCCTGGAGGCGCAGCTGGGGAAGGTGCGCTTGGAAAAGGAGAACCAGCGCATTGCGGATCTGGAAGCGCAGCTCGCCGCAGCTCTAGGGGGAAGTCCACACTGCCACAGAGCTGAGGCCAGCACGCTCTCGGAGAGCCACGAGGAAGCGGAGAGGGAGCACAAGGCCGCGGGGAAAGAGACGGCGCTGTGCGCCAGCCTGGTACAGCCTCCGTTGCGGTTGCCGTGCTTGTTAGTTTTTGCTTACTGCGGACATTTTACCGCCCGGGGCGCTGGTGTGTGATTTGTTACAACAAAAGGGAGCATTATCGTTCCTTTCCTGCAGGTCCCACGCAAAGCATGTTTTTGCTCGATGTAGCTCAGACCTCAAATGTGCTGGTGTTGCAGAATAGTGTTGTTTTGATTGAGTCAGTGAAGAGTTTACAGTTCAGTCACGATCCAGGGACAATTAACTCTAGTCTCCGTAATACTCGTGTTTTTTAGCTTTTATCGTTGTTGTCTCTTTCATCGAAACTGGTACATGTTCCTGACATGGTTTTTTCTCAGGTTGGCATGTTGTGCACGACACCGACAGTTGACCATGTGAGTTGTCGCGGACTTTATCCAATTGACATATTTAGATGAAGAAATTGATGCTTTCCAGAAGAAGACTAGTCTTATCTGGCTGGACGTTGCGTCTGTTTTGCAGATGGGAGACGAGGAGTCTCGGGAGCAGCTGATAAAGACTCACTACATGGCCAGAGTGGGGGAGCTCACCACGCAGCTCCAGATTTCCGACAGCAAAGCGGTGCATTTTCACTCTGAGGTGAGGCCCTTGCTGCCCTCCTTGTCAAAGCAAAGAGAAGACCTCTTCATCACACACAGCCTCTCTAGCATTGCATGTCACCTGGGAGGAGATATGGAAATTCCTAAATCCTCCACTAAACGCAGTTAGTCACTTGGATTGCTCCCTCGTGTGTGCAAAGAAACTGAACGAGGAGTTAACTTTTTTTCTCTTTACTATTTGTGCTATGGAAATTTTTTTTGACTGAGAAACTGACACCCTATATTTTTAGCAATCACACCGGTGCTTGATCTGAATGATAAAACTGCTCTAAGTGACATCCGGTCGCGGTTTGATTATCCGGGATGTCAGTCATCAACTCTTTCGATCGTAGCCACAGGAACGCACCTGATCTTGGAGTCGGTGTCTGTGGAATTAAACTGTCACTTTTCACATCTTTGGCGCTGTCCTCCAATATCCACACTAATCAGAGAAACTCCCCCCTTCATTTCAGCCTCTGAAAACGATCTAATAAGTATGCAAGCGCTACCTTTTCTCTTTTCCCTTTCCTAGTGTCGAGCTTTGGCCAAGAGATTAGCCATTTCAGAAAAATCCCGGGAGGCCCTGAGCGAGGAGGTCAGACTGGCTAATCAGAACATCACACGGTTGCAGGTAAAAGGCAGACCCGTTACCAAAGAGCCTCCTGTCCAAGCACCGACCGTAGCCTCCCCCCTCCGGCTCGCAGGACAATCTCATGTTCGCTGTGGTGTCTCCGTGCAGGACGAGCTGACTACGACAAAGAGGAGCTACGAAGACCAGCTGAGCATGATGAGCGACCACCTGTGCAGCATGAATGAGACTCTGAGCAAGCAGAGAGAGGAAATCGACACGCTCAAGCTGGGCAGCAAGGTACGGCCTTTCCCGTCCTCGGGTGTGCTTTTTATCCGTTGCAATTCAAGCTTCGTGCTCTGTTTTGTTTTTCAGCGGTGACGAGCTGTCGCCCATGTGAATACATTTTAAAAGTCATTGAGGAGATGGCGATTTGAAAAATAAATTTAAAAAAAATCTAGTGGCTTTAGGGAGTGTGAAGGATCAGTTGAGGTTTGGCAGTGAAATGTGACACTGTGAAGAGTCAGTCATGAGGTGAACAGCGGGGTTGTGCTTGCCTTCGGGCCTGATGGGAAAAGCACCTGCTGGAAGCCTCTGAAGTAGTCGTTGAGGCAGCGGAGGGGCTCGCGTTGAGCGAGCAAGTTCCTGCTTGCGTGCTCACAGATGGCCGCGAGCCGCGAAGTTGCGGGACGGAACACGTTTGTGAGTCAAAGGTTGTCATTTTGTCTGGAAGGCGAGAGACCGGCTTCAGCACGTTCTTGAGGTTTTGAAACGGAACAAATCGAAGACAAAAGCTGCTGCACATTAACGTGTTACGGTTCTTAAAAACTAAATCTGGGAATCGTGTTTTTAGCATAAACTGATTTTCAATCTTCTCCCCTTTTTCTATTTTCTTCAGGGAAATGCAAAAAAGAACAAAGGTCGCTAAAGCTGCACCATTTGGGCACCACAAAGAGCACCTTGAGAGGAGGATCTGCTCACCAACGCACAGGACGGCTACAGGACCCTCTGAGATATGAACTCTTGAGGAGGCTTGAACATGTTTGACCTGGAAGAGCCCCCTCCGCCCCCCTTTTCTTCTCATCGTTAAAATGCCACGATTTGGAACGAATGCTTTTTGAAACTATACAAGGAGCTGCTGCGTGACCTTTTTGGCCTCAGCAGAGTGGGAGAGAAACAACTTGCCCCCAAAGAGACAGAGGAAGATGGACGGTGGGAACAGTCGCTGTTGGCAACGCTCACTGAAGTCAAGACTTGAAGACCAAACCCTGTTGAGCTGCGTTTGTACTTCTCCTGCTTTAACGTACGTGTAAAAGAAAAGACAACTGTTCCTACTGCCTATCAGAGTATATCTTGGTGTGGCTGTGTGTGGGCGGAGGGCTGTCTCTTCGGGCTCCACAACACGCGACTAAGATTTACCCGTTGACATTTTATAATTAAAAGTTTTTAGATCAAATTTCCGATTATGTGCGCTAGTGGTTTCAAGAGCCCGTACGTATACACAGAGCATCACAGCCCTTACAACACATGCATATGCCCTAAGCTCCTGTAAAGAAGGGCTTTAAAACCGGAAGGAACAAGTAACAAATTTTGAATTCATTCCTCATTGAATTGTTCAGTCTTGTGAGGCAAGAATAAATGTCTTTAGTTGAAGCACTGATTAACGGTGTGTCACTAGACGAGAAGCTAAGGATGGACAAGTCGTAAATGGTGTCAGTGAAATGGTGTCAGTCGGTCTCTGTGAAGTTGTAACAATAGTCGTTTTTATCACCAAAGTAAGTGTCGATGTGCACTCAGAAGCCTGGTGAGGCACAGCAGAGCTAAATTCATGTTGTACTATGTATGCACAAAAAGGGTTAATGTGAAAATACAAATTTCAAATCATGATATAATTGTACTGTATAATTTCTAAAAAATATTTATAAATGAGATATATATATATAAACACACACACACAAAAGCATTGATTCAGACGTTACACATTATTTTCTAAAAAAAAATTGAAAACTGAGTTTTTGGTTTTCTCATAAGGTCAGAGAAGAGGGAGTCATTGGAGTTTTAGCCCACAATGCAACAGGTGCTTAGACAGCCTGATGCATGATTCACGGCAGAGTGCTGTTAAAGTTTACAATAAAGTACAACGTCTTTGCACGTTGTGACATGAGGGAAACGAAAGAGCAGGTTATGAGCAGGCCCTTTTGATCATAAAAGATTTGCCAACAACCCCTCAACTGATTTATTAACACTTGTATTCTCACAATGTAACCTTCTAAAGCACACAGAAAAATGTAAAAGTAAATAAAAAGGCTGTTCAACATTCAAAGGCTTCATGTATTTAGATTCTCCTGGTTATCGATGATCCGATTTCTTTTCGTGCTGCATTTCTGGGAGTTGGCGGAGACTGGGATTTTAAATTGCCTGTAATTTAAAAGACCACCTCCCTGAACACACCCTAACCACTGGGAAATGAGGCAGCACCATATCGGAGAACCAATAGATTACTGTTCGATGCGTCACTTTGTTTGGGAGGAAAATCATGTTGTCATTTTAGTTTAATTCATGACGCTTTCATGAACTCGGAGGTTAAAAATGTAATAACAGTCTACGTGCATTCAAGAGCTGTTGGCCAATAATGATGTGAATGTGATTCCAATTTGGTGGTTTGCATTTTTTCAATTCAGTAATTGTGAGAACATAATGCAAAACATGTGCAGTGGTGGAAAAGTGGCCAAAGTATCCAGCTTGAAATATGTACTTTGGCAAAGTAATAACACGGCAGACCTTTTTTTCTTACAAATGGCATGTCAACAAACAAAACGGGCAAACGGATGGTACTGCACGAACCCTTTTTAGACCAACATATTGTACGAATTTACAATATTTGACAGGAAATCTATCTCTTTGGGCCCACTATTTTAATAATTAGTTAAAATCTCTCTCACTCGCTACTGCTTGTAGCTACTTCCCGTGTACTTGCGCACCCGGTGGCAGCATTTCCTACCGCCTTGAACGCAGCACTGAACGCGTTCATTCCCCCAAGTGTCCCGCTGCAGGACAGTCTGCGTGAACTCGGGAGGGGAAGCGCTGCGCTGTTAAAAAAAACTCCCAGGATTTACACTCTGCCATTTTGAGGAAAAAAACCCGGCCGACGCGAAGAGCACAGACGCGTCCACTGACCAAGAAGTCATGACATGAGCCCGTGAGCCCGCGCGGGAATCGGTGAGTATCGCCTCTCTCTCCTCTGTTTTTTTTAATTTATTTATTTTTATTGAGAGGGAGAGCCGAGGAAGTCCACGTCCGTCAGAAAGCACTTTGACCCGTTTCGCTTCACTCCTCGCGGACGTTCGCTCGCGTCGTCAGCCGCTGCTCCGCACCGCGAATGACGCGTGTTCGTGACGTGATGTTTTTCAGTTACAATGTTACAACTTTTCCTCAGACGCCCGCACGAGCACAAAGGCGCGGGACGGACCCCAGAAGTGCCCCCCCCCCCATGTCCCATGTCCCATGTCCCGGTCCCGGGGACACGGACACGTCTCTCGCTGTGTGTGTGTGTGTGTGTGTGTGTGTGTGTGTGTGTGTGTGTTGTGGATGATAACATGCTGCCTCTGTTATCTTTCTCCCGGCAGACTCGTCATTGGGCGACATTAAAACAAAACAAAAAAAGTCATTTTTCCGGCAACTCGTGGGTTTGTCTGGAATGTTTGGTATGTAAATACCAGACAAACCACGCTGCGAGGATACTCTTTAACAACAACGCTTCATTTATTTTATAGAGGACATTCAGTGCACTAGTTGTTAGGACACGGTGGTTTTCGTCCACCGGATGGGAGACTTTGTCTCTCAGCCACCGTGGATGCGAGTGACGTTTAGCTGAAGTGAGCTAACTAACATTAAATAACCTTAAAGCTGCCAGCTGGTGTCACGAAGAGCTGTAGCGGAATAAATAGTTGTGTATTTTATTATTCATGAATTCAGATTTTCCTTTGCAAAGGGAAATACTTTTTTTTCTTCCTAAAAGGGACATATTGCTTTTAGTGCTCTAACATATAAAGGAAACGTGCATTTTCCATGAGTTTATTAATAGTTCAATGGATCAAAATGAACAACTCCCACTTGATTAAACTACATGAAGTGGAAAAGAGGAAACATGTTTTTTTTGTTTTGTTTTTTTAGTTCAGCTGACATTCATTCATTCCTGCTTATTTTCCTTTCTGAACTTCTCCAAAAAGAATGCCCCTGGATTTTTTTGCACATGGCATAACTAACACAGCATGTATTCATTCTGTTTGTTTAAGGTGTGAGGAGACAAAAGCTGCACCCAAACTTTGTCTTCCGCTTTGTTTTTGACGGGAGAACAGAGCTGACTTTGCAGACAGCGGCGGCGTTGCCAGCCACCGGAAACGGGTCATCACATTTTCATTAGATTACACGGCCGTTGTGGTCACAACAGTAGGTTATTTAGTGTGACTTCACTAACAAATAATCCACTGTATCCCACAGGATCCTGTCTCATTTAATCAGAAAGCATCTGTCTAAGTTCAAAATAGCTTTTTCTTTTACCCAGCGGTTTTATTCTCATTTTCCTCTCAGTCATCATTTGTCATGCGACGGTTCCTGCTTCCTGTCATCAAGGGATTTGTCCTTTCTGTCACTGTAGCCGGGAATAACAGTTAAAGGCAACATAAGAAAAGCTCCTCACGGACTTGTTGAATTACACTTTGACCAATCTTGAATTAGATAACTTGCAGTGGCTGCAATTAAGAGGTTCCACGTTTTAGGATGAATAGTCAGAGGGAGCTTATGTCTTCTCATATCCTTCTTGGTTAGCATCAGCATGTGGTTGCTCTTCCTCTTTGTGGATGGAACTTTCTGGGTTTGTAATAAGCCGCCTCGTTATTCAATACAGTTTGGAGTGTTGCAACTGTAAATGGATGTGTGTAGAGAAATAGCACATAATATCTGAGAGCTGACCGCCCTCTTCTGTGCATCTGCTTGGCCCCACATTCTGACCCAATAATTATAATTTGGTGACTGTGCATTTTAGGTTGCAATCTGTGAAGTGTGCACATTTATTTTGCCTCACCAAGCTAAGCGAGGGTAGTCATTTCTGTAAGTATAGTAATGATAAATGTGAGATAGGCCTAACGCGTGGGATTAGCCTGGCTGTTTAACTGGGTACAAACCTGAATAGTGTTGGTTGGGGAGACGGGTTTGTTGTGAGATTTCTTCACCCCCGCCATGTCCCGACATGAGATTAAATCCCTCAGACTGGTATTGTATGTTTTACAAATACCTTGGTGCTTACAATAAAAATAACAATAGGCACATCTCTTTATCCCCAGGCGGCTTCTTTGTTTCTGTTTTGTCATGTTTGGCTGTCACAAACAACCCGACGATCCATATAGAATATAAATAGCCGCTTCATTTTTGGCAAATTCTGCTAAAATATGAGATTGAGACAATATTTGTTGTGGGTTGACTCGGACAGAGCGGGCTGGTGTTTCCTGTGTGCAGAGCTGCTTCTCCCCGGGGAATGTGTGGAATGTAATTCTGCGTCCTCTGCAGATCTCTCCGCATCCCACTGCCTGCTGGAGAGCCCGGGGACGACTCAGCAGGACTGGGAATGCGCCCGAGAGACTTGTCAGTTAACACCCCCGCCCCCCCCGCGGAGAACTGCGTCTTCTCAGGGCCCGACTCTTTTGAAACTGAGGGATTCAATGAGTCGCCGAGGCGTTGGGTGTCTGCGCGCCATCGCAGACGCCAACTCATTAGAAGGATGTTCTCCAGGGTTTGACTGAAGACCTGCCGATGCGCTACCCTGAACCAGAACCCCCCCTCTCCCCTCCGCCGCCCCGCTCCCTTGTTTATTTATAGCTCAGGGAGCTTGCCCCCCTGCATCGCCTTTGTGCCAAGTCGTCGCTGTGATCTTGAAGGGACGAGGAGAAGACGGCAATTGAGGCTCTGGGCTTTCAACTATCTTATGGGGGAGAGGAGTCGTTTTGAGAGATGCATCTTCTCCGTCGCCTGATGTTCGGTGACAGCAGAGCTGCTGGCACATCAAAAGACACTCTGTGACGGACCGGCGCGGGAATTGACAGAAAGATGGTGTAAATATGACGGCGTGTTCATTCGTGGCCAATTAGCCCCCAACGGCGTAGTGGTTTTGGCAATAACCCGTTTCCAACTTTTAATGCCTGCATGGAGGTGTGAGGACGCATTTCACTATCTTGGTTCCTTTTCTGAAGCTTTTTTCCTGCTTCTCACACTTGACTTGATGGTGGTTAATGAGGCAGAACCTTTTTTTCTCACACATACTTTAGAGCAGGCTTCGAATTGAAAATTTAAACTATGCTCATTTCAAAGAACGCTACGTCTAAACTATAACTTTTAAGCTCACCAATTTAAAAAACTTCTCAAACAGAACTTCTTGCTTTTGAAGTGTAATTTTCTTTTTTTTTTCACTGAGCGCTTCGTCCTCTTCTCTATCAGGAGCTTCAAAGCACACCGATCACCTCCATGCATCACAATCCTCCGACAATCCCAGTGTCAAAAGACTAGTCTTTGTTTTCCAAAGACAAACTAAAAAGTTGTGTGCGGTGCATTTGTATGGGCCTCACCCACAGCAGGAACTATAGTGGCAACACAGAATCGAGGCTGCAGCGCTGCATCTAAATGCTAATGTTGCTAAATGTTTGTATGAAGCATCAAAGAAAAGCTCTAATCCGCGGCGTCACCGAGAAAGATGTTCTCCTGCAGCTTGACTCTGCGTGCTTGTGTCAGCGTTCACATCAAACGCCCCTTTACTTAATTGTGGTGTTAATATAATCATGCATACATGCTCGCGGCTTTCAGGGTCACTCGCTCGTTACATTTTAATGGAGTACCTTAAGGAAATATATTTTATTCATATTCCCAGGAGCTCGCTCTGAGGGAACTGATCAGTTCAAGAGCGCGTGGCCTCTGTAACGTGTTGACATTGTAACCATTGAGAAAATGACCTTTTTTAAACAGCTTTACGTAGCATTTTCTGACTGTACCTGTTTGTTTTCTTGCAGAGGAGACTCCGGGGTGGGGACGGGGGGGCAGTTCACCCAACAAAGGAGGAGTTGTTGATCTGAAACTGGCCATCTGCCCTCTTCAGCCATGTGTTCCACAAATCAATCAAACTGGGTCACGTTTGAAGATGACAGCGCGCCGCTCTCGTCACCTCAAAAGCCCCTGCAGTCCGCGGGGGTCGTCAAAGCATCGCTGCCGCGTCCCAACGGTCTGAAGTTAGTCCTTCCTCCAATCGGAGACACTTCCTGGAGCTTCAGCGGTTCCCTGGAATCCCCTCAAAGCCACTCCAGCCTCGGGGAGAGTTCCTGCGTGCCGTGCAACACGCCCTTTTGCACTCCTGTGAGTGGGGTTCCTGACAGCGCGTCCCCGTTTCACCCCAACGCGCAGCAAAACAACCACTTCTTCCGGAGTTACTCGCGCGAATCCACCGCCTCGGTTCCCTCGCCTGCGCCAGATGGCCTGCACCCATCCTCAGACGGGCCGAGCCCCTTTCCTTCTTTCCAGGGCCGCTCGGGACACTACAACCCCTTCTGGGACGGATCGAGACACAGCGCGGATGTGGAGGACAGCTCCTCCTCGGACTCGGAAGCTGAAAACAGCCTGCCGCGTTTCTTCATTCGGAGCAAAGACGGCAGCGAGCCGCCGCGGGACCAACTGCGGAGCTCCTTCTCCTACGTTTGCCACAAACTGGAAGGCCTGCGGGCGGAATCGGACCAGGGGACGGAAAAGGCCCGGGAGAGGCGGGCGAGCTGCAAAAGCGAGGTGCTCGGCGAGGGCGCGTCTCAGTTCGTCCCTCGGGGTCTGTTTCGCAGCCAGAAGAGGGACGGCTGGTCCGTCTTGCTCAGGATCCCTGAAAAAAAGAACCGCATGTCCTCGCGACAGTGGGGGCCGATCTACCTGCGCCTGCTGCCGGGAGGCGTGCTGCAGATGTACTACGAGAAAGGGCTGGACAGGCCGTACAAGGAGCTGCAGCTTCTCCCCCAGTGCAGGCTCTCCGATCTTAAGCTGGAAAGCTACGGCGAGCCGCGCAAGGTCCTCTCGGTCAAGGTGGAGCACTTCTCGTACACGGAGAAGAAGCGCTACCACCCGAAGCTGGAGGTTAGTCATGAGGCGGAGGCAGAAGAGCTGCTGAAGTTTGGCTCCACGGTGCACAGTGACATGGAGGACCTGGTGGTGTCCATGGAGGAGGAGATCTTCAAATTGTGCGTGCACCACCAGCAGAGGCGGCACTACGAGGAGCAGGAGCTGTCCTTGCAGATCACCGATCACATCTGGGTGCAACTGGATAGGTTTGGGGAAGTCACGGAGCGCACTGCCTTCACCCAGATCCACTGTCTGGCTTTCCTGAACGGACTCGGGGATTGTTTCCTCGCCCTCAACGATCTCGGGCTGATGCGCTTCGACTCCAGCTACGGGTCCGAGGACGACGGCGAACTCTGGATGGAGATCGCCGACTGCCATTTTCACAGATCTGCGAACGAGCCCGAGTTCCAGAGGTCCCGGCTGGTGAAGTTCTCCCCTCCGGACGCCTGCCGGGTCGAGCTGATGCGCTACAAGACGGCGGTTCTGGGCCGCACGGACATTCCCTTCTCGATCAAAGCCGTGGTCACGGTCCAAGGTGCCTACGTGGAGCTCCAGGCCTTTCTCAACATGTCCGCCTCCTTCTGTTCTACAGCGGGGCTGTCTGACGCGAACCCGCTGTGTGAGAACGTAGTGATCCGCGTGCCGGTGCCGGGCGACTGGGTCAAAGTGACGCAGACCGTGGCCTTGCTTCGGCAGAGGTCGCTGAAGGCCCGCATGAACAGAAACGCCTGCTTGGGCGCCGCCGGCGCCGCACATTCGCAGCCGGCCATGCAGGTGACCGTCGGCACCGTCAAGTATGAGAACGTATATTCGGCCGTCGTGTGGAGGATCGACAGACTGCCGGCGAAGAATACGGGTAACGCACAACGCACCGCGCCGCAGCTTAACGCGTCATCCTCCGTTTTAGCTCCTCGGCTTCTGGTGCTTGTCATCAGCTGAGTGGCGTGACACTAACTACAAGCGACCTTTTGTTTTCTCCTACGCAGCAGTGGATCATCCCCATTCCTTTTCCTGCAAGCTGGAGCTGGGTTCTGACCAGGAGATCCCGAGTGACTGGTACCCGTTTGTCACCATGGAATGTGAAATTGTGGGCGCAGTCGTGTCTCAGACCAGGGTGAAGTCCCTCGGCACCGAGAACGACGTCCAGCCGCAGAAACACGTGACCAGTTGGACGCGGTATCATTGTCAGGTGAGGAGGCCCAGCGGCGTGATGGGAGCGCTGTCAGCCCCTGGTGGAACGAGGTGCAACTAACTACCGTTTGTGTTTTTATCGTTTCATAGGTGGAGGTGGAAAAGAAATGGATTGAAACCGAGTCACAGAAGCAATCTGGCTGCATGACACAGTGATTATCTGGAGCTGACATGGGGACTTTTCCCCTTTTGGTCTAAGATATTTGCCAAAATCTTCTTTACTATGAAAATGAATGACAAAAAAAAAAGAACAAACTAGGGTGATGAGGGACTTTCTGCTTCTATCTGGTATCAAAATCATCTAATAACTCATAGTTAGTATTTGTCATGGAGGTTAACTGATTTTTTACCCTGTAACTGAGACTTGATTAGTCTAGACCTAATAAAGAAATGTGGTTCCTTTGCCTAGCACTTTACATTTAATAGATTTATTAACTACAGTTTGTATGAGTACTGTATATAAGCTTACACTTCCATCACTTGCACTGCCTTCCACAATGATTGGCGGCCTTAATAATGTGCGCCGACTGGGCTGCATGAGATAAACAGCGCAAGTAATGAGCCGTGTTCAGTTTGAGAGAAAGAAATATTATCAGCGGACGCACGGAGTCAGGCTCTTTTGTTGCCTGGCAACGTTTAAAGTTCACATACTTCCAAACGTATTAATCTAGCTACGAATCCTCAAATTTGTATTATATTTTGCAGCTCCCATGTAGGTAACACCTTGTATCAGGGTTACATTCGATGTGCAGTAACCAAGTGCAATTGACTTTGATTATAGTTGCTCAAATACATTTATTCTCAGGTGGGTCTCTTCATGCTGAGCCCCGTCAGCCTTTGTCTGAATTGGCCCTAATCACAATTATTTTGGTTGAACTGACTGCAGTTTAAAGCCAATTTGCAGCCATTCTCAGCAGCGTGATACTGTAATCAAAGGTTCAAAGCCAGTAGAGATAATTAGAAAGCTACCAAATAATATCGTATTTGATGGTTTGCGTATGTGCATTCACAAAATGAGACTGTAGTTGCAGTTTGAAACAAACCCAGCAGGTCTGATGACAACGTCCTCTGACCGGCCTTTGGAGCGTTTCTTTAAAAAGTTACAAGTAGAAGCATCTCAACTCCGCTCTGAAATACACTGTCATGCTTTATTACATAAATTGGGACATTTATATTTCTTTATATCAAATGGAATATTACTCATTACTTGTGTTGTTTACCTCAAATTGACCTTATACTTTATATTAAGGTTGTGTTCTGGAGGATTGTAATTTTATTTAAGCAAAACAGCAGATCTTTATTATGTGCTTTTTCTGCCTCTGGGTTGTGAATAGACTGGTGAAGCTTCTATGGGGACAGCAAGGGTTTTATGGTGATTTTTATGTATAAGGTACCTGGCTCAAGCTGGATTACTTCTTATTTACAACAGTAAAAATTGTATTAAAGCTGTGTGTCTCATGGTGATTCTTCACTGATGTTCCTGGAGCTTCTTGAAGGAGCAAAACAAACCTCACACTGAGTGTCAAACCTGCACAACTTGACTCGTTGTTGCCCGTCGCCTCCGAGACATCCAGCAGAGAGTAATGACAGGCTGCTGCTGCTGCTCAAGAAATGACACGCGCTTTGCAGGAAGCTTATTTTCATGCTGTTGCTGCTATTAAACAAAGCCTCAGCCTTGGACCTCTGAGTCCCTTTGCTTCACTCGCTTGTTTTGGTTAATAATTACATGTCAGTTTTTTACGGTCTTTGGGTGTATATAAATTAGGATGTTTCACTTCAACACACAAAAACCCGAAGAGTGAATGCACATTTTATGACGAATGAAGACGGTTGCACTACGCCGACCAAATTATTTCACAAATGATGTTTCTGAATTCTGTAATCATTTTTCTTTCTTGCATTTCTCAACTGAAAATTACACCAGTAACTAGAACAGCTTTTAGATTAGTTGTAAGTTCTTCTAATGACAATAGGGGGCAGTGCTTGTCACAGTAAAATCACTATGGTTACTTCCATTTCGGTAATATTTTCCATAACCTGATACTGTCTATGAAGTAAGTGTGAACCAGAAAAACAATCATTTACCATTAGTTATAAATGTGAAAGGGTAAAGAGAGCCTGTGAATCCAGGAGGACTAAAGGGACAGCTGAGTTGGAGCCCGTTGGAGTCGTTGGCTGCACATTAACAAAGGTGTCAGACTCTCGGCTGTTGCTGATTTTGAACCACAGCTCTCTCATCCGCATCAGAGGAGCAAACCTGCAGTGTTGAAAGGCTGCCGGTTTTACCAAACGGATGCTCGGAGGAAGCAGGGATCTCAGTCCCTGCTGCTGCGACGGGTGCATATTGAACAGCAAATTCAAAATAAAGTGTTTTGTAGAGCGTGAAGTATATTTAACTCCTGGCATTTTGCAGTCTAAGGATGAGACGCTGAGCCCCCAGCGCTGTGGAAGATGTGCAACGGCGTTGGCTTTCTGTTGAAGTTATCCAGGGCAGAGTTATCGGAGTCTCTCTCAAACCTCATGTTTTAGACTCACAACAAGACAGCGGAACGATATTCAGCATCAGGGTGATTTGTGGATACAAGGCGGCCTGCGGGGACAATGTCTGTCTTCATGTCCTGATGCCTCTTAAGCCCCTATCATCCCATTGAGTGATGACCAATGCCGACAGAAGTGAGCTTAACCTCGAGTACAGGTGCATCTTAATGAGTTAAAATATCATCGTTCAATATTTCAGTAATTCAATTAAAAAAGGGAAACCCATAGATTCATTACACACAGGGTGATATATTTTAGGCTTCTATTTCTTTTTTTTATTTTATGATTATGGTTTGCAGCAAATTAAAACCCAGGATGCAGTATCTCATGAGAATATTGTGTTTATTGTAGTAACACGTTGTTGTCACACTTTAATCAGCTAATGAACTCAAAACGCTTGCCAAGGTTTTCTCTCTCAGTCTGGTCGGGGAGGCTACGCGCTCACGGGGGAAAACGGCTGACTTCACAGTGGTTGAAAGGGCCTCCACCAGGAGGGGAAGCCGTCGAAGGTCACTGCTGAAGAAGCTGATCACTGAGGGTTGTAACCGAGCACAGGAGCAGGAAGGAGTTTGGAGCAAAGCCCACTGAAGAAATTGGAGTGGACTGCAGCTGAAGTCAGTGCTTCAAGAGCACAGACGTATCGAGGACATGGGTGAAGAATTCCTTATGTCCAGCCACTCCTGCACCTGTAAGTCTCAAATGTTTTGATGGCAAAATAAATGGCAAAAACGCTTTTGCTTCAGCAAATTGAGCTAAATTAAGTTGCATGTCGTATGTATAAGAAAAAAACAAATCTTTCCTGTGAATTCCTCCAAACAAACGCGGATGTCTCTGCTCCAATCGCCTCTCCCTGTGGAGCTTGATTACGATCACCTGTGCGCTCACGCGTGAGTGAGGGCCAAACGTTGGGGCTCCTCTGCCTTTAGGTGAAGGCCCTTCCTCCCAACGCGTCCGGGATATCACGCTCCCAAAGTCCAACGCCATCAGCGGAGAGCATCATGCTGACCAACACGGCCCCCGTGGTAAGCCCGGCTGCTTTTAGGTGGTTCTCTTACCGTCTAGGTGAATACCAGCTAAGCTACTTGTGTTGGGAGGAGGTCCGCTTGTGCTGAAACTATAGCGCTTATCCATGTGCCCCTCAAGGTACTTATTTTAATCTCGTACATTTAAAGGATCAAGCTATTTATTTGGAACAGCTGATTGCGGTTTAATCAATTGTGTTGTCAATTTTGTGATGAGGTCACATGGCATATTGGTGTGTACATTTAAGATTAAACGGTGTTTTGTGTGTGTGCTGCGTATAAAATACTTCAGAATCAAAAGCGGCTCAACAGCTTCTGACTTTCAGTGTCTGTAAACGACTGCAGGCCAAACTCTACTTGTCCATCATCGATGATGTGATCGAGAGCATGAGGGAGCTCTTCACGGACGAGGGGCTGGAGGATCGCGTGTTGGACGACCTGAGACAGGTGAGTCACATCTTAACTCCTCGGCCTCGACCATGTAGAGCGGAAGCATAACGTCCCACCAGGGCGGCTGACCGCTGCGGCTTCCTGCTGTGCAGATCTGGGAGTCCAAGATGATGCAGTCAAAAGCAATGGAAGACTACAGGAAAAGTAACATCAACTCCTCCAACTTTGTACTGCAGCTCCCTGCCAACTACAATCGGACCAATCAAGAGCTCACAGGTGATGCAGCTCTGCTTGAAATGAACTGCTTCATGCTTGGATGATTTTTGTTTGATCACCTGCTCTCCTCTGATTTCATTTTTTTGCCCTCAGCCTCTGTTGTGATCCCCGCAAGTCAGAATATTCGCAGTTTCCCCATGAAGGAAAGTATCATCCAGATTTAAAGCACATCTTGTTCCTGACCTCATGTGGCTTTTTACATAAAGGGCACATCCGAATTCAAAGCTTGAAAGCAACTGAATTTCTCTTTGCTTAATTAAATCACTGTTTAAATTTCAAGAACTTGAGTGTGTAATGAAGTTGTTTAAAGTTCAGATGTAGTTATATTCGCAATTCACGGTTGTGTATACATTTATCTATCCAATTCATATACTTTTAAAATTGTGTGCATTCGCATTGTGTGTGATTCAAAATGGGTCATTTAAACCTGTCAGCGTATATTTTTAATTACAATAAAAGGTTAAGTTCGACAGACACAACAACATAAGTTGACACCGGACGAACCTGGGCAATAATCAGCAATGTTTAAATGATTTGTAGTCACTAACACTGTTTAATATTTTTATTTTCCTTCATTGCAGAACAATTCGGGGATACTTCCCACCTTCTCTCTCCCCGCTGGGTTATCTTACCCTGTTCAGATACCAGCTGGAGTCACTCTACAAACGGCTTCTGGTACACAACGACCTGTTCATCCTGGCTGGCATTTGATTTTGCTTTGCACCAGGCGCTGATGGTTTTTAATTAACATGTCACTCTCTCCTTTTTGCCTCCCCTGAGGTCAACTTTACAAGGTCAATGTTCCTGTTGTGGTTACTCAGGCCCCAGCAGGTCAGCCCCCCGTGTCCCGACTCGCACAGGTCATCGAGCGCAGAGAATCTCCTGACCCTCCGTCCACTGCGGCCCCACCAGATGCCTCTCGTCCTCCTCAGGAGGCGGAGGCGCTCTCCGCCCCGGCTATTTCTGACAAGCAGCAGCAGCAGCAGCAGCAGCAGCAGCAGCAGCCGCCGCCGCCGCACCCGAAGACCAACTTCCCCCCCGGCGAGGAAAGCGCCCTCCCCCAGCAGCCGCTGGTCCCTCCTGCTGAGGCCTCGCAGCCTCCGGGGGCCCACTTCCCACAGCCAGAGGCCCCGCCGGGAGAAAGTGAACCGAACCCACCGCCCGAACCCGCGACCCTCTGCGCGAGCGCCTCCCCCTGCAGTCAGTTGTTGGACTTCCAGATCAGCACCGAGGAGGCTTTGACCCAAACGGGACAGTTAAGGACCAATGACCTCGACGACATCCTGAAGGAAGTGATTGAAGAGGAGAGGGGGAAGGCAGTAATGGCCAGGAAGACTGTCAACCAGTCCGATGCTGATCTTGGGGTGATTAAGAAATTAATATCTCTCCTTGCAGCTATATTTCATATGTATTCTTCCTAAATATGTAAATATTATACAAAATGTGATACAATATTCCTTAAACTGGACGCACTGATGAAAACCGCTCTGTTGGAAGTGTGGAATCCAACATTTTCTCAGTCTGAAAGTCAAGACAATTTAATTTGCCTGAAATAACTTTTTATTCATAATTAAGTCTGCATTCATTTTTAGCAAACCTTCTTGTGTTAGTTTGGTTACGAACCTCTCAAATGCTGTAAAAACAGCTGTTGCGCTTTCAACCGAAGCCGATCCAAAGAGAAACTTAAACCATAGCAAACTCCATATTTTCTAAATATGACTTTGTCATAACTGTTGCTGTTTTGTCTCAATGTCCCTGCTAAGCTGGACCTGGCCTACAATTACAGTGAACTGTCGGACATCGTTCAGCTGGACGGTGCTGCAGGCAACTCTGACATGGAGGAGGAGGCGGCCGTTTCCCTGGAAGACAACGACTTCCTGGGCATAATAAACGCAGAGGCCATAAAGGCCCTGCAGGAAGGAGGCGGCAGCAGTGACTGCAACAGCATCTCCTCCAGCAGCGACGAGGAGGCAGCAGATGAACTCACTAACGTAGAGGATGAGGTCAGTTGGAAGTGTGTGTGTGTGTGTGTACTTTAATCAGTCTGGTATTGCAGCATGTCTTGATCACACTTGTTTTAACGACACACTTATATCCTCAGGATCCTCTGAACTCGGGTGACGATGTGGTCGAGCAGGACATCCCAGATCTCTTTGACACTGACAACGTCATTGTTTGCCAATACGACAAAGTACGAGATGTATATATTTTTTTTCTTGGGAAATTCTTTTCCTCTCAACAAACCTTAACACTGGCTCAATATTGTGTAACCGTATTCTTTCTATTACAGATTCACCGAAGCAAGAACCGCTGGAAGTTCCATTTGAAGGATGGAGTGATTTGTTATGGAGGCAGAGACTACGTCTTCTCCAAAGCTGTCGGGGAAGCAGAGTGGTGATGAGCTTTAGTTCCCTTGAGCTTATCAGAGTATCACGTAGAGACTGATTTTAAAAGGGAAAGATAATGAAGGGATTTATACCTCTTGGTGGTATCATTTGGGTAAAACACCTGCATTTGGTGTGAGACACCTCTGTGCAAGATCTGATTTATTTTTTATTAAGTAATTATCAGGGCAATTCTGCTTGTCATTTACACAACTGTGCAAACGATTCCCAACCGCGTTGCTCGTGAATCCAGACTGAGAAAAAAAGCATGAATTTCTGTTGTATAATATTTTGCTGAAAATAGTTTCCTTTACTGGTGAAGCGAAACATAATTTGATCTAAAATGTTGTTTCTTTTGTCATGACCGGGCTGCTTTGAGTGTACCTAATGTGTTAGGTGTGGTAAAAACTATGTAATGGTTTGCCTTTATTCATGCTTCAAATACACTGAGCTGTACTGTTGTGCTGTATTCAATGAACCCTTTTTTTTATTTCTGTGCAAATCTGTACAAAGCCTCTTGCTTTCATATCATTCTAATCAGGATTCTATTGTTTCAAACTAAACCGCTGCATAGAAAACTCAATGAAACATGACACAATGAATTTATGAATACCAGCATGGACACCAAAATCAATTTAATATTTCACTGTTTTGGATAGACAATCAAGCATCTACTCACAGCTGGAAAGAAAGCATGTGGGAGGTGAGACGGCTTCAGCAACAAATCACTGAAAAATGCAGATAATATTTTTGACATTTGTAGTGAAGTGTAGCAATATATAGGCAACAGTCTTGGTTCCTGGCTTCAAATACAGCACGCAAACAGTGTGCACATTTTTACATAGTGTACTTGGTTTTATAACTCAATGAGGAAGTGGGCGCCACACAAGGGGGATTTAAGGCTCTAAATAATGGTGAAATGTTTACTATGTTCTGTAAACCTGATGCCATTTCTCACAGTGACCAATAAAAACATTATCACACTGATCCTTGAGTACAATGAAGTCACCCAAATAGCATCCGTTCAGATATTTAATTGGTAAAGTTCACCATTGCAGACGTAAACGTATATCTAGAAGTCTGCAGCAATGATTCGAAAGACTGTCGAATAGCGTTAAAGGTAAAAGGCCCAAAACCCCCCCACTCTGCTCCGTTGGTTGTTGGTCAATTGGTGACTGTAAATCACTCGTAGGTGTGAGAGTGAATGGTGGTTCCTCCCCCTCATGCCAGATGTTAGCTGGGATTGACTCCAGTTGCCCAAAGACCCTCCAGGGTTGAGTGGTGAGCAAGATAAATTAATGACCAATAAACCGTATTAAAACATCAGCGATGAACTGAGGGTCTCCTGAGTACAACAACTTGTCTCTGATGAGCTGAAACGGATGCTTCTGTTCCATCATATTTACTTCATTGTTTACTTACTGATCTTCAAGAAAACTGTGTCTTGTACGGTCTTACACAAATCTTGATAAAATCATTTACACCTTCAAAATAGATTTGCAAATAAACTGGAATATTGTATTTGTTCCTGCTCCATCTATCTGCTTCTTTGTGCCACATCATTGTGCAGAAATGCAGGCTGCAGCACTCGCCGCCTTTAATTGGACCTCTCTGTCCAGACTGAGGAAATTCTCACTCTGAAAACTAAATTCAAAACTTCAAATCTAATTTTGCCGTGTGCCAGACTGAGACTCCCTTCACCCGTACGTACCTACATTTGAAAAGCAATGCAACATTCTCAGCAAGTTCCCCAAAAAAAGAATCCCCAACGCCGCTCATGTGGCGCCCTTATTTAAAAAGCAATCCTTCATCTTAATGTGATAGGCGTAAATGCTGAGCGAGTGAGGGATCTTGTTTGGGATCTTCGGGGTGGAGTTGAGGTGTGAAGCCAGAGTCTGTGACCTGTAGAAGTCGGCGCCGGCGCGGCAGCAGCCCCAGCGACCCAGCAGATGCCGCGCCTCCTTCCTGAAAGCCCGCGTGAAGAGCGTGTACAAGAAAGGGTTGCACAGCGAGTTGATGGGATAAAACAGGACGAGCAGGATCTTGGAGTGAGACACGGTTATGAGGGGCACGCACAGGGCCGCCGAGATGGCGAAGAAGGAGATCGGCGCCATGCACACAAAGTCCGTGAAGATGAGCACGGCCATGCGCTTGGCGATCCTGGTGTCGCCGAGGCGCGCCGAGTGCTCCGGGTTGTGAACGCTCAGATATATGCACGCGTAACAGTAGCAGACCGCCAAGAAAGCCACCACGTTGAGGACCAGCACCGCCACCACGTACACCTGAGAGCCCGGCTCGTCGATGTCCATGGGCAGACAGATGCTCACTTTGCTGTAGCTGCTGACCCCCACCAGAGGGAGCAGGGCGACCAGCAGAGAAAGGGCCCAGCCCGCCCCCATGATGGCCGCCACGTGGTGCATCCGCAGCCTCTTATTGACGCGCATGGCGTTGGTGATGGTGTGCCAGCGCTCGAGGCTAATGACGGTCAGAGTGTACACCGATAGCTCGCTGCTAAACACCGTCAGGAAGCCGGCGACGGCGCACCCGGGTCCCGTCTGCCAGTCGATGGCGTGGTTGTAGTACTCGTGGCGGGAGAGCTGGTCCATGAAGGCAATGAGCGTCAGGTAAAGTCCCATGCAGAGGTCGGCGAAGGCCAGGTTGCACATGAGGAACCTGGAGATGGTCAGCTTGTGGTGGCTTATCAGCAGCATCGCCAGGACAGTCAGGTTACCGGCCACGGCGAACACGGTGATGATCCAGGTGAGACAGCGTAGGAAGGGAAAGCCCAGCAGATCCTCACAGGGGTTGAAGGCTTCGTCTGGCTTCGGCGTGCACTTGACCAAGGAGCTTTTAAGACAATCTGATTCCAGGTCCGGGTACTGAAAGATGATGTAATCGTTGAGGTCCTCGCTATCCGCAGTGGGCTCTCTGGAGAACACACAGATATCACAGAGCAATTGCAATTGGAGAGGAGTCAGAAAAAGGTTTATATGTGTGTGTAGTTATTTTTTGGAGGTTGAGGGACCTTTTCTTAGTCCGATTGTATTGAAAAAGATACAGTATTTTAAATAATAGATATATTTTAGAAGTTGAAACGTGTTGATGTTGAGGGCCAGTCCTCCTTTTTGTCTTCTGTGGTTTGTGGGCCTCATATTAATATGTATATATTAAACGCAGAAATCCACCGGTCACACAGCAATCATTGTGCACAGTGGGCAGTGAAGCAACTTACATTTCAGTTTCCATGAGATCACACAACTTTGTGAAGTTCTTTAAGGCACTTTCCCTTTAAATACAAAATAAAGAAAAAGGTTAGAGCTTACAAAAATCCCCAAAACTCTTTGCTAATTACCAAACCGCTCATGAACAGCATTCACCGGGCGGAGCTTTTGCTCTTTGTGCGGCATGTGAACGGTTTTGCTGCACCTCTGGGCAGCGGCTATACCTTTGACTCCGTCGCCACGTGTTGAAGGCACAGCAGTGGCTGGAGTACGTGAGTTCGGCCTCCAGCAGCTCGGCCAGGCTCTCCAGCGGAGGCAGCGTCTTCAGAGCAAAGGCAGAGGTGGCATTCAGAAACGTCACCTGCCTCAATCCGGTCGGTGGGAGGGAGCTCAGAGCGGTGGAGGAAACATCCCTGATTCAAACACGCGGAGCACACAGGCATGTGTTTCAGTGAGGGTGACTCCAAACATCCACCAATGAAATACTTCCTCCCCCGCCCCAAAAAAAAGCATTGGACTACTTCTGGTCACCAGAGCGGCTGCTCTAACTGGGCCGGGATTTCTCATAGATAGATATAGATACAAAGGCAGTGTTTCCCACCATGAAGGGATTTCTGTAATAGTGGTAATGCGATTCCTCTGAAAGTTACCGTGACTGTAGCAGCCAAGCGCAGATTTAAAGTTGTTGTATTCATCAAGACGCTCATCCCCAACAAAAATACCTTTTTTACATTAAAAGAACACTCGTTAAATCTGAAAATAACCAGATTAAAAACGTTAAAAACAAAGACCTTCTTTCCCTGCGTGTCAGGGAATAATACCACAAATCCTTCTGTTACTCGCGAGGGGACATTTCATATCAACAATGCAGAATTGGCTGCAATCAGAGACTTGTGAGCTGCAGCTACATCAGACTCATCAGCATTCAGCAGTCCTGCCTTCCTTGTTGGTTGTTTACACAGACGGGCTGCCCTAATGTTTATACAATAAAATGATAAACATTGTCATGAATATTAATCATGCTACACTGGCCCAGTTTAAATATTAGCGCCGTAATGCTGTTGATTTAAACAACAAAAGATAGCAAATTGCTTTGGTATTTAACTTCCACAATCATAAATGACCTGGTGTATTTATGTCAACCTCTTATCTTTAACTTTGGGACCGCTTCATTTTTTGTATCTACGTAAGTACAAGTCTCAGCTATAAGTATGAGCATTTTTGTTTCTTCTTTTTTGAGTTTCACAAAATGTTCTTTTTATTTCACTGGATATATTTGACAGACTCTAGTTACTCTAAGTGAAGGTTTTATCGTCAATCTTATATTCAGTTTCAAAGTATGATGCATTTTTAACAGATTTAAATGCCCAACAGTGTACTATGTATTGTACCTCAAAAAACTCTTTAAACTGTTTATACATTAACTCTGAAAATGCAAAACTATAAATGAAAGGATTTTGAAATCAGCTATTCTGCATAACAAGTTTTAACTACTCGTTAAACTCGTTAGTAATAATTCAAATGCTGAATGTTTTACTTTAATCTCATTTAATATTTTAATTCCACCTCCGTCAGTCCATCAGATATTTTATGGCTGGAAAGCGAGTCGGACGCAGAGAGTGAACCAAAACAGCAAAGCTGTGGATCATAACATGAAAAACAATGAGCTGACAGATGCAGCTTTAAAACAAAAAGATATGTATAATTCTATCATCATTCATTTTGAATGAGACGTCTGGCAAGTTGTTTAGTTTTATTGGTTTCATCAACTTGAATTATTGCCACTCACAGAGAACTCGGACCTGTGGCTCCTTCAAAAGCGTCTTCTTCAATGTCACTGAGATACCAGTTGTCTCTCAAAATCCTACAAGACATAAACAACGACCATAAAACAAGCGATATCCAGTTTAAACAGCAGTTTGGCAGTTAACATGCAATATCAATGAGAATGTAAGATGACACATTAATGGCAAACAATGCCCCTAAAGTCACATACTTTTTGTATTCTCAGGGTGACACTGAGCAAAATGAGCATTATTCATAGACTGCAGGGTGTCTGCACACGTCTCATCCATACGGGGCAGAGCAACAAGAAAAAACAGAGCAACCAATCTTTGTTTGGTCTGACGTAACGTTTGCTTACTGGTACGCTGAGTTTTCTATGATTAGAAAAAGAAAACTTATCCACACTATCGACCTTTTGGTTATTTTTTTGTGGGTTTATTATGAATGTTTTGAAGTCTTACAGTGTGCTGATCTTGGTTCCATTGAATGCATGAGATTTGATTTTCTTGAAGCCGTTTCTGAACAGGTTCCTGCCAAAGACACGATGTTATACGTTTGCTGGACACACCGCCGAGGTCAGAGAACTGAGCACCCGGTGACGTAACCGCATCGAACCGATGTCAACAAAATTGCCGCGGGCGGCGACAAATTGTTGCCCTCGGCTCTGATAATGTGGCAAAAATACTCACAAGTCAACATACTCTTCTGCGACACCCTGGAACGAATTGGCGGGAATGGTATCAATCCCCATGTTGTCTACCATTTCCCTGCACACGGAGGAGAGAACACTCACCGGGGTTATTTGCCGTGATTGTCAGACAAAATGATGACAAAAAAAAAGCGCCGTTTGAGGAACTGTGACCCAGTCGGGGGTTTCGCGGCGGTGTGGGTGGCACCATGACATTGATAGATAAAGGTAAAAAAACGGGCTCAGAATAAACAACTTGGGCTCCACTTAGCGTCATATTGACACACTAATCCAATTCAGAAACACGGTTACTCACAGGATGACATTTGGCACCAGGGAGGAGACGGTTGTGAAGTCTGGGAAGTGTTTCAGGCCCGTGTTAGAGACGCTCCTGTTAAGAAGACAGATGATCACGAGCGGATAAGAACAAATCTTTTAAAGTCCCCACAAAATGTCACAGGGTTGCAGATGAGCAGAGTTGGTGAGACACGGTTCAGTTTAAATCTCGTTCATCACCTAATTTTTACAGCCTGTCGTGACCTTTAATGCGATTCTTCCCGGTTTAATGTGCACCGACGAATGCTGAATGCCAGATATCTCCAAGGTTAAACGACTCAAAATACTGGATCGCACATATTCACAGAGTGCAACAGCGTTTTTCCTGCAGACCCTCCCTGCCTGTTTGAATGTGTCTCTGACTCCATTAACCCGGTTTCTATAACAGGTGTTTGGTCAGATATTTGAAGTCTTTGGTATAAACTCAATACAACGTTGACGAGATCATTGGCTTGTGTGCTATTTTAACACCTCAACATCCCCTTTTCCCCATTTAATATCCCTGTTCATTCATGTAATATGTATACTTCTTATCACTACTTTTTGATACTCAAGTACAAAGCTGAGGCCAACAAACATACAACAGCATTCATAGCCTAAAGCTAGTTTGGCCGTTTCTTCTATTTTTAATGCTTCGTCTCAAAACATGAATAGTAAATCAAATAATGGCATCAGGAAAGATAACAGTATTATTTGCGGAAAGCTAGTTTTTTTGCATTTTGTTTGAAATGAAAATAAACACACAATAAGATGTTAGTTACATTTAAGTGGTCCGAATGCTGAAAAATACTCTGAACAGGATCCATGTCAAACATGGTGTCAATACCAGGATCCCAATACAATACAACTAAAACAGAAGAAAAATGTCATGAATTCAGTGGAAACAAGTTGATCGACAAAGTCAAGACTTACAGATGTGTCAGTCTGGGGAGGTCTGTGAAGGCCCCTTTTTCAATAACTCTCAGACTTTTGATATTCTGCACAGTACTGTAGGGAATAGAAATGAGAGAAAGGCCTCAGTAATTACAATATTACTGTCAGTGGCTGTCAACAAACAAACACGGCAAAGCCTAGTGGCCCGTCAGGCCGCTCTCGGCACTCAAGGATTAATCAGGCTGCTGAAACTTAAACGCAAAGCACAAGTGATCCAGCGAACGGCCGGTTTTAACGGTGCAGCTTGGATTCTGGGAGGTGCGGTGGAAGGTGAAGCGTTTCTTACATTTCAATCAGGCTGTGCAGTGAGAGGAAGGCGTGCCTCCGTATCTTTGTGATGCTGTTGCTCTGGGAGATCTCACTGCGGCACAAACAAACAAACAAACAGCCGACAGATTAATAAGCGCCCGGAAAACACAAATCACTCCCCTCGGTACGCGGAGCCACAGCAAGTAATGGATCTTTCGTTCCTTACCAGCTTCGCAATGCGCTTCTTTTAGAAAATAGGACGGAGATGATTGATATTGGGATACAAACCGTGGGAGAATATTCAAAACTTGTAGGGCACCACGCGCATCCTGTTTGGAGAAACTCCAAACGCACAGCAGGGATGTATCTGGGCCACGGGGAGGGGGGGGGATTGGACACAACAAGACTAAACAAAGACGCTCAGACACAAACGAAGTCAACAACAGTCCTCCACTTGTCCTTGAGCACTTTGTTTTCAGATGAGACGCACGGCCGACTCCATCTTCTTTTTGTAATCATGTTTTCTTCCCCTCCTCTGCAATCAGCGCACACTTTTCTTAGGTTAACGACTCCCTGCGTCCATCTCAAACAAAACCGGAACAATTAAATGACTCTCGTCTGTCTGCGCGTCTTAAATTCAGTTTCTATCGCGCCCTCCTCTGATTGCATTATGGATAGTATCATAATTACCACTAACAGCTCATTCAAAACCTTTTTGTACGTTTAGCTGTGCAGTGATTTCTAGTGTGCTTCAACAATGACAACCCAACCAAATGGAGGCGAGATTTGAAACCGATGAAGACACAATGTCGGTGCTGCGAGTACCGGAGACTGATAACACTCGTCAACACACACTCACCACGAAACCTCCGGGAAAGGATTTACGCTTATCTGTTCATGGAGCTGTGAGTGATATGTTAATTAAACGGTGAAACGAGTATTTGGAAGATCTGAACATGATAAAGATGAGATCAGCTACTGTGGTTATGTTTTCACTTGACTGTCGCTTTTTTTTTTTAAACAAGATAAATCATTTACTTGTGGGACATGTTTTACAGCTTCCTTTTTAAAAAAAGATCATGTATATGAATAATTTCCATCTGATTCTTGGTTACGGGTCATTTATTTTCATCATCGGGCTCTCATGAAGGAGAGAAATACCTGCAGCAGGATGCTCATGTTGTGATGTAAGAAAGTCTTACATTGCTGTTAAAACTCTTTGTAGGAAGTAAACTCCAGAGCAGTGTAATGTTAGTGAATAAAATAATCCCAAACTAGTTCACCCCGTCCTTTGTTGTTATTGCTGTTCAAGAATCTAGCAAATATATGATGTAATATCTTTATTGGTTCTTTGTCACATAACAGAAACAATGCATATTTAAAAAAAATGTCTGACATAAATGTACATACAGTTCTAATAGAGTTCTAATAATTATTCAATATCATTGATCGAGACCACATTTTTGAACTGTGAGAGGCAAGTGGGTGTGTTTCCTTGTCTAGCAGCAAGTGGTGCTACAAAATGGATAATTGAATAAATGATCGGATTTATTATATTTTCAGGTTTTGTTCTCTAATACAAAATTCCAAAATTGCGCACACAGACGCCAGTAGGTGGCGCTACAGGGAAAAGCACAATCGCATTTGGAGGTTTATTCGCAAAGGACAACTAAGAGCTCCATTGATTGTTTTTCTTCTCTTGTCCATTTCATTACACTTGATATTAAAATATCATATAAATGTTTAATGCTTTTGAATGTTGGGCGTCCTCCTTCTCTTGAGCCCACGCGAGTGACCCAACAGAAGCATAAAACACACAAAAGCACTTACATGTGTGTGATGTCGATCAGCTCCTTGAAGGCTTGAGCGGGCACTTCTTCCAACGGCAGATGTTGGAGCCGTCTGCGAAATGCACAACTCCTCAGGTTATCCACAGAAACATCGCATTAGTCCTGAAATACGTTGACAGCCAAGTTGACCACAAAGCATTAACTGGGCAGAGCCGGGCTACTTACAGGCGGCGCACGGAGGCGGCCGCTGCACCGGAGGCCCGCTGCGTGTCTCCGCTGCACTGGAAGGTGTCGGCGCGGCAGCGGCAGACGGCCGGACAGGTGTAGGCGCAGCAGGAGCGCGCGCTCAGGGCGGCGGACAGCGCGAGCAGCAGACAGACCCCCCGGGGAGCCATGCGCGACACCCGCGATTTTAAAAGATAAAGAGAGAAAAACAACGACAAAAACCAAAGGCTCTGCTGAGTCTGCGCTAATTTATCTTCAAATCACAGCAGATCAAAGGCAAAAGGTTAAATATTGATAGGCTTTTTTTTTTCTTTCTTTCCACATGCGCGCTTCACGGGATCCAGTGCTGCCTTCAGGTGCTGTCGTAATTATGAAGTTGCTGCATGTCTGGCGGTTTCAAGTGAAACTCACGCGGAAATGTCTTTGACAGCTGAGCTGCAGAGAAGTGACGTTTAGTGGGCGGAGATCACATGAAAGCTCCGTCAAGTATTGGTGTCAAAGTGATGGAGTCAAGCTGTCACTGGGTTTTTCAAGGGAACAGAATTTAATTTGGTTATATTTGTTTATAATAACAGTATTCGGTATAATTCTTCTATATCTTTATTTTTTAATGGATATTTGGCATTCTCCAAATATATTTAATAGCTTTTCATATAAAACCATAAAGAGCATTCAAGTTATCCATGTTGTTGTTTTGAAATCCTTCTCGGTGCCGATTGATTTGAAAGGTCTGAACTGCATCAACTCTCAAAATTTATGAAACTTGATGTTCACTTGTGCAGTGTTTATGGAAATTGATGCCTGGTAGAGGAAACATACATATTTTAATTGGTTAAAGATAATATATGTTTCTTGAAAGTTTTGTTTAAGAGCTAAATCATGTAATTGTAATGCTTGTACTGTAATGATACACTTTCTATTAATCATTTTGTTAGTGCTCCGCTGGATATCCAAAAAGAGAAAAAAAACAAGAAATGTAGACTCCTTCATCAAGCCAAAAACTGAGCTGTTCAATGGAAAGAAACCAACTTGGAAAGAGGATCATGTTCAAAAAGAAAAAAGCCTTTCTCAAAGCCTCGCAGGTGTGCCTTTTAAGATGACGCAAAGGAGCAGAGACAAAGAAACGGCAGAAGCTGCAGCTGTGTATCTTTGTTATGGCCCGGCCTTCTCTGCAGCAAAATATGTGTTTTTACACATATATTATATGTACTACACATTCATTCTTCCAGGGAGAAACACTGAAAACTGGGAAGTTCCTTTCTTCACGGGTTTTGCACAGTTGCCCGGTGTAGCTCATGTCTGTGGACAGCCAGAATAAAAAGAAACATACAGACAGACCAACTAAAAGCCTGATGACACAAACAAACAAACAACCCTACTTAGTTTAATTTATATAGTCTAACAATGGGTCTGCTCAATTGAAACTGTACAACCTGGTCTGTCTGTATGCAGCTAGTAACAGGAACCTCCAAGGATGACATCAAAGCTCCGGCAGAGTGCTTCGGTTTGTTCCACTCGATAAAGCCGTAGACACGTAGACCCAAGAAAAGGAGAGTTTTATATATCTAAAGCTACCTTCCTGTAAAACTATCTGTACTTTACATCACAGGAGACAACAAAACGACTCTGGCTCCCATTTACACCAGTCTGTGAAAACGAGAAGCTTTTGTGTTGGCGCCGTCCCTGAGCTACATCCCCTCCTCTGCCAGGGCCCCTGACCCCGTTTACAGCTCTCTCATCCTGCTCCTCCACGGTGCCACTGTCACCCCCGACGACACAGCAGCAGCACCTTCTTCTCACTCCCGCTGCGTAACACACACACACACACACACACACACACACACACACACACACACACACACACACACACACACACACGCTCAGTCCCCTGGAGAGGTTTCCACCCGGTACACTGTTTGCTAAGACTCTGGCGTTCCCCGGCAGCCTCTCAGCCGGTCACAGTGTCGAGTTCCTGCATGTTAAACTCTGTGGAAGACCAAGTAAATAAAAGAACACTGACAGCGAGAGAGCGGGAATAATTTATGCAAGTGGACTTCAATGAGTCAGCCCACGTCTTCATGCTAAACACCACGCTGTGCATCACATCGCACCTCGAAGGTCACGCACAGCAGGAAGAAAGTTTCCAGGAAAAAGCATACGGACACAATTTCAAAATTAGACCACATTAAAGTTTCATATTTTGCTCGACAGGATGTGAAAAACAAGTGGTCACAGTCATCCTAATAGTTGACCTGGTTTATCGCACGCCGGAAGAGCTACTGGGGGACTGTGATACCACACGTTACCCACTGGATTCATTGATCACGGATATTCTTTAAAGTTCAGATGGGCCCGTGTTTCAAAGAGGGGGTCACGTGGATAAAGTAATACATATGTATAATCTGTCAAGACTCCGGATTTAAATCCATGGGTCCTCTGCATTGTAAAGGACATTTATTAGTTGGATTGTTTTATTGTTTATTCACTGTTATAAATTAAAATGAAGACAAATAAACCCCATTAATTAAGATACCCTACAAGGACAGTTCAGTTTACTTTATGACCTTCATTTTTATAAATTTGCATTTTATTTAACAAAACAGTTCTTGACAAAAGACCTAAAAAACAAACAACAATGCATGTGATAAAAATAATAGCAAAAATAATACAATAAATGAAGAAGCTTGCCATCGGGTAACCACATTGATATTTCTACTACAGTACACATGCTTGTTGTTGAAGTTAACAAATGCAAAGTACTGCTACTTTTATCAGACATCCTCATGCTTCCTTGCACCAATAGAAGCGCTCGCTCTCGTGCAGTTTCTTTGAATAGTCTCAATCTCAATAGGACCAGCAATGTAACCAATATGGTCCAGCTAACATGCTAAATGCTAACATGCTGGTGGATCCACCTGGAGAGACTTTGGCGTTCACTCTTACCTTCAGTCAGGTGTGTGTGGCCTCATTGCAGTTTGTTCCTCTTGGACAGCCAGGCCTCATTCCGCTTTATTTGAACTCCATAAGCCCAGTTGGACCAGAGATTTGACTGCTTATCCTGTTTTAGGATATTGTGCTCTGTGAATGAACTAGAAATTGAACGTTGAGCAGATCGTGGGGCAGTTTGCATTGCTGTTAAAACATCTTAAAACCATGTCCACTATTGCAGATACAATTTTAGAAGCCACTTATCCCTGCTGGTAAGAATGTAGACCAAAATATATATAGAAACAACTTAAAGGAAGTTGGACAACTGATTCTTTTTAAAGTACAACCATTCTGGAGCAGTGTCACTCAGTCCTGTGTGGATGTTGCATAACAGACCGTAGGTGTGATCGCGCCCCGCAATGTCACAGTCACATTCTTTGTTTCTGTATGTAGAGGTTCCTTTTTTTAGAGACGAGGTCTGTCTTGCCTCCGGGTGGGAGGCTGTTGACCTGTCAGCGTCCTGCTGGTTGTCGGGGACCACGACCAGAGTGTGAGGAACACAGCGCAGCACAACAGCACAAAATGACATGACACACGCGAGACACAACGCAATCTAAAGCAGTTTCAGACAATCAAGTAAATAACAATGGAGCACAAATTAAGACACACAAACCAACATGACGCAGAAGGAGCCCGAACATCAGTAAATCCCATTCGGAGTAAGAACAGACCTGCAGTAATTACTGAAAGTGGTGGAAGCAGCAATTGGTGTCAAATGTTTTTTTGCTATTTTCCCAGGTGACATTTTCAGGGAGCGAGTTCAAAAACGAACACACATCAGTGTGGCATTTGAGTTAATCGGCAACAGGGACACTTAGTCTGTGACTTGTTGTGGCCCTTTTGTTTTATTCTTCGAGGTAGATGGGGCAAAGATTATCTTCTTTCCATCAAACACAATCGAATTAAAACAATCAGTTGCCTGTTTTAAAAATGAAACCACAACTCGGTGGCAGTGCATTTTAAGCCCTTTTTCTAATTCTGCCAAGTTAAATTCAGCAAAAATGAAGCACAGCTTTACTTAAAAGTAACACAGTGCCTGGTTTTTAACATGCAATCATACTATAATTCGGTGCAAAGTGAACTTTTCACTAACTCTTCTAACCACACTGACGATGACACCAGTTCCCTCCACCTCCTCCTTATGTGATCAACTGTTTGTTCATTTGCTCGCTTGATGATTTTAGTTCATATCTGAATGCTCGTTGGTGCTTTTGATATTTTGAGAGCCTACAGAGAACCTTTATATTGCAATTATAATTGCAAATATAATTAATATTGAAAATACAGTATATGGCAGCTCGGTCACTGTAGTGCGGGTGCTGACTTTCCAAAAGGCCTTGTAATCCGACAATAGTTTGAGAGATGTCTGGTTACAACCACAAGGTCGAAGCCTGCATCTCTTCTGCGGGTCATTGGGCTTCAGGATGTAGTCATTAGGAATTGGGTAGGCAGGGACACAACGTTCATAATCTGTATGTCCTTTTCTGAATATGTTTGCGTGCGTCACTGAAAGAAAATAAGCTACTCCAACGTATGACCAAAACAATAAAAGTAATGAAAATGAATGAAGCGAGTATTCTGGTAGATTGAATCGGGATAAATACATTTTATGTGAATAACAGTCTCTTACTGATTTCTCCTTCCGTATCTTAGTTTAAGTTACTTCGCTGTAGGCATTTGAAAAATATATTTAGCTCTTATATAAATTTTTTCATGTGTTCTAAGAAAAAGATAGCTGTCAGGAATGTTTTTCTTTGTCTTCAAAAATGAAGGATAAAAGCACCCGGGGACACAACAGAAGTTTCATATCACAAGCAACGAAGTGACGGCCAAGGAGACAGAAAGAGAGCCAAGAGAGTTCAACATGACGGAGCAGAGATAGTGACACAGATGTGCGCATGCACACACACACACACACACACACACACACACACACACACACACACACACACACACACACACACACACACACACACACACACACACACACACACACATCCATATGCACACCATTAATATGCCTTCAATTTACTTATTTATTACTTAATCGTTGCTGCTCACAAGGGGTTGTGCATGTGGGATACTTCCCCTTCAGCAGGTTACCACCATTTGCATATGCCCTCTAATCATTCTCCTGCAGCCACAAGACGTTTTGCAAAATGTGCACCATGAGGCCGGCATGTAAATGAATGTGGTACAAACAAGCAGCCAACAAACACGGTATTCATAATTATGAATTATTTAATTAATTTATACAGCCTTGTTTTAATAGCATGTAACCTTGAGGCTTGTCTCCTCACTCATTTCCCAATTGCATGCACGCACGCACACACACACACACACACACACACACACACACACACACACACACACACACACACACACACGCACGCACGCACGCACACACACGCACGCACACACCACAATTTGACGAGGCAATGCTCCTGACAGCTTATCAGGGCAGGAATTCTCTGGTCCTTGGACATCTGAAATGCAGCACAGAGATATCAAATTAAGAACGTTAACCCTGTAGCAACCAGACAGGACGTTAACCTTGTTCACTGCATAGTCACAAAAAAAGAGTGTATGAGCAGGGACCTCAATGACCTACGACACACCATCTTACCTACATTGTTTGATCATGCACTCACCTGTTTGACTGTGGCTGTAGTTCTTCAGTTTCATCAACAGATGTCCGAGAGCACTTTCGTATTTGGGATTGAGTTCAGGAATCCTGCTGTGAAAAGCCAGTTGGTTCTTTGATCACTGATTCATTCTGATTTAATGATAAAGAATAATCCGTGTTGTGAATATGGGACGCGGGCCTGGTTACAGCCTCTGTGGAAGACAGGGAGCTCAAATGTTAAGTGTCCAGAGAGCTGTGCAGTATATTTCAGTTGTTTTAGATCAAGTCCTTTAAGTATGGAATTTCTGGTTGCAATTACGGTAATAGACCGTAAAGCAGGGCATGTCCTGTGACTGTGATTGACAGGCTACCACGTTGTTGTCTGGTGGGGGATTTATCTGTTTTCATCTTACATCTTTAATCCTTTCATAGTGTGTTATCAGTTCATGAAGGTCAATTGGAACATTGAAGCCTTGTTCAAAATGTTCAAACCTCAAGGTTTTAAAAAACATTATTCACAAACTAATGGGAGACGTCTAAGTCCACTTCTTACACAATACCTTTGTCACACAACTCCAGGCCAATGCTTTAATAAGTGTCATTATGCATCAACTGTGTCCATGTTGGGTACCTGTACGCTTGCAGATTTCTAAAAATCAAAATGGCCCCTTGTTCATTTCAAGTCTTGAATATGATCTAATTGTCACCAGTTATTAGTTATCGCCATCATTGACTATACAGCACACTTGTTGAATGCATGTTGGCTGTCTTAAGAGTCATTTGAATTTATTATCATTTGGATTTGTAACATATGCGTTTTAAGTTGTTTTTTCCTCAACAAGTTCAACGAGTTCAAACGCATTTAAATACAAATGTCTCTCGTATTTCATTTAATGACTGATAATCAGTCAATAATTCACCAAGTACCTCTTCTGCTCCGTCCTCAGAAAAAACAAACAACACACACACAATGCTACAAAAAAGATCCGAGGAGTTTCTGCCTTCATTTGAATGTTTTTATTCTGAATTACCCCAAATTATCTCCAGCACTGTAGCTAAAATAGATTTACTAGAGGCAGAACCACTCACAACTTACACCCTTCGTGCAATTTCTGCCGACCAACATCAAAGCATCCCTTTCAGTGCCAGCTGGACTGCAACAGCAGTGTTGGAATTGGCTAGGTGTGAGTGTGTGATTGCGTGTGTGTGTGTGTGTGTGTGTGCTTGTGTGTTAGAGAGTGGGAGACCTGGACTGCAGCCCAGCCATCGGCATATTTCTGTTGATAGAAACATCTTCACGTATCGTTTTGTCTGGATGCTGTGACGTTTGCCCAGAAGCAGAGGTTTAGTTGTCTACTGAGGACAGTCCTGAGAGGAAAAGACGTGTCAGACACTGAGAAGCTCTACAGGTCGATCCGCTTAAATCCCCGAAACACTCCTCACCACCGTGTGTTCCACAGGACGTCTGAGGACAGCACTTCATGTACCGTCGGTGCACAGACTGAGCTGCGTCTGGCCTGGACGTTTAGCACCTTGGATTTATTAGCAACAGAACAAAAATGCTCTGTTTACACCCAACATTCCTTTGTTGCAGACCGCTCCATATTTTTACAAGTCAGACCTAGAATTAGTAACTATTTGCGGCAGGCAACTTGAGACGAAAGGGGACATAGAAGAGTGACGGTAAACTGCTCCATTGATGACCTGGTGTGATGCTTTCTTTGTCCGCTCTATAGATCATTTGGGTTTTTTATTTAAACCTGAAAAGTCTTTCAAAACAGGATGATGCAGAACTTTCTGTCTGTGTGTAAAACAGACTTATGAGCAGTTGCACAAAAGCAGATACAAAAGCAGCTGCGCCTCCTGGTGCCACCTAATACGCTAATGAAAAATAAAAAATCAGAATGTCTACGATTTTAATGGGATGTGAAACCTCAAACCACAATTTGGACAAAGTGCTTAGTGCAGTGATCAGTTTCATCTGGTTGGGAACCAAAAGTTAATTACTGTTTGCTTGGCTGAGTCCCTTCTGTTGCATTCCAATGGATTTTTCTTTGGGCGCTTTGTTGCAAAAACATTTTTTTATCCCTGGTATGATGCAATTGCTCATATATCAATAGCTCAACGTTTTCCCCTTTAGTAAACAGTTGTTTACATTGTTTTTTCACATTTTGAAAGGCAAGTAAAGTCAAATCTTTGTAGCAACTGGTAATCTTGCTAAACTAGATAAACAAGTCAGTTTTAATTTTCAATTTCTCCACATACATTCCTGTTATCCAGTTGGGAACTGACTATTTGCACAATAATAAGCCTGTGGTATCCTCATTCACTTTTTGTATTTTTTCAACTTTTGACCCCAATCAGCCACATTTGTAGCGCAATGATTAAAGAGTTTTCCGCAGAGGCCACGCCCTCTGTTCCGTAAACTGGCAAATCTCAGCGAAGCTGTGTACAGTTTTTGGACCTGCAGGTTGAAGTTGGACAGAGCTATGCATGGTTCAACACTCAATACCATAATAAGAGTGATGAACATGGAAGCAGCCTCAGAAAAATTGACAATAAAGACGTTTCCGACAGCTACAACAGAACAACTAGAAGGGCGAGAGAGATGTGAATAAGTCACAGTTCATCCATGACCAAACAGCTCTGAAAAGAGTCTCATCAGGAGCATTGGGCAGAAACTCCTGTGTGGGTAGACAGGAATGTGCACAGGTTTTAAGAAAAAGTTAACTAAATGCAGTTGTCTGGAGAAAATAAAGGCAAATAAATTAGCTGCTGAGTAGTTTGTAGCCGAATTAAGGATTATTAGGCAGTCTGCTAGATACCAGTGTATAATAGCTTCTTATTTACTCCCTAAAAAATTATTTTTAAAATGAATAACTTCACATTATATGATGAATATCAAGTGGCCGGCCGATCGTCAGTTTCATCAATTAGGCTAATGATGTCATTAACTGTTTTGGAGATTCCACATTGACTTACATACAATAGGCCTTTTCTTACCGGAGCCTTTCTGACATGTCACAGGGAAGCAAAGGTGTAAATAGAACAACTGGTGATGGCTGAATTCCACTGAGCTGCTTATGTTTCAGGGAGCTGGTATTGAGCATGCTGGCTCAATGTGACACTTGCATAGTAATACTGAGATGTTGCTCGTGCTCCTTGTGCTTTTCCTGCTGTGACAAGTCAAAATGTTGCCATGCTCTCAAAGGTCACTTACCTCCTGCTCACAGCCTGACCAGTCACAGGCTCGACCTACTGATTGCACAAAAAATAATGATATGAAACTAACAATAGGGTAATATGATGCATATATTAATCATATACCCTATTGGACCTCACAGTACCTTATTGTGAAGATGATGCAGCTAAAAAATTTGAAACACATCGACTGCAAAGCTCGACCTTGAAACAGAGGACAGTGATGAAAAGAATGTAAACAGCATGTGAAACCACACAACGCTCTCAGTCATAGCGCAGAAAGAAGTCCACCCAGCCAGCTGTCAGCGAATAAAACTGTAATTGCCGAGCACAACGGTGAGGACACCACCTTCACTTTAGGCGCCCTGATCTTCCATTTATTCTCAGAGGTTATTGAAATGCTGCTTTGAGCATTATACCTACATGGATTGTGCAGATTTTTGTTCAAGGTTTCTTGACTGATGAAAGGCAAGCTGTGGCTTTGATAATTATGATGCACTGGAAGGGTTTTTAAAGCGAGATGTACGAAGTTATAGAGTCGTGCCGGTTTTATTGGACGGCGCCACACTGATGTGTCATAAGCCAGATGCAGAATTATTAGCCTGCAATGACTCATTCTTTTCTGTCCTTTTCTCCTCCTGCTGTTATTGTGAAAAACGTCATTAACAAAATATGTCAACAAAACACAAACCAACACCCACCCACACACACACACACACACACACACACACACACACACACACACACACAATGCATGTACGTGTGGTCAAGGAGACACATTCGAGCAACCTGCAGAATTGGTTGCATGATGGTCTCGTCTCTTTCTCTGCGACGGGCTGCAGCAGGGCGCTGGAATGGCTGCAGCCACACAGCTGGGCCTGCCGGTGGTCAGCTACAGTTAAGTGGCTCGGGCAGCAATCAAGCAGCTGCAAAACAAACCAACACACACACACAACAAATGAAGGGCTGGCATTCCCCTGCTTCGAATTCACAGTCTGTTGCTGTAGATCCATCCAGCAAATCTGTTCGTCCCCTAATTAAGTTGAAAAGGGGGAGTGAGAGGGTCATTAAACACTTTATTTATTTGGCAAGCCGCTGATACAGAACGGCAATCATATACTTCTCACCGGGTCGTATAATTGGTCTGAACAATGATCAGCGCAGCGCCATGCAGAGTGATGGCCAAGGGCGCTTGTGGGTGCTGTAAATTCCGCTAGGCCTTGTGGCACACAAAAACTTTGATCATTACATCCACAGCGGGGCACAGCGCTGATGAATACCCGTGCTGACCTCCAAAAGCACCAAATGTGTTTTGAGAGCTGCTGCTGAAGTCGACTCGCACATTATACTTTATTGCTGTAAATGACAAGAGGTTAGGTGTACGGTGAGAAGTGGTCGGTACCAAGTGCGATTGCATCACAAACAAGAAAGGAGCGCAGAGGATTCAATTTGGGAAGAAGTGTATCACACGGGGAGAGTGGCCCTGGTGCTTGTCAGAGATTGGGAGCGAGGAGCGTTAATCACAGCTCACAAGCTGCACCTCCGGGGTTCCAGCTTTGGCTGTTTAAGCATTCTGCAAACTAAAATACAGCCCGTGTCACAGAAAAGGTCAATGGCGTTGTTAGGAGGCCCTGTGAGGACACTAAATATAAGACACCTTGCTCCTCTAGACTCTGGAAAACAGAGTCAGAAATCCGGCCAAATCCAAACAAGTAGAAAGATAATGCAATTTACAGCCATGCGTTGAAGGCATTATAGTATAACTATTGTATGACTTTTAATTCAAATTCTGCACTTGAGTGCAATGTGTGCAAAGGCCTTTGCCTTTGCACACATTTGTTTTTGCCTTTGTTTTTTTTTCAAGACACAACGGGAAGCTGTTATTGGATCAATCTGCAGTATTGCGTTGAGCATCGTCGTTCTCCAAGAGGGAATAACAGCAGTCACTCGTCCATGGAAGAGAGTGGAAGGGGGCCAATCAATCCTGATGGGGTGAGACTGGGAGACAAGAGGGATGTTGGCCCTTTTGATATTTAGGGGGGGGGGGGGGGGGGGGGTCAAGTGCCATCAATCGCAGGCTCGCCATGGAGACACAGACCTGTCATCGATTAGACGGATTAAGCTCTCCGTGGCAGCACAAGTTTCTCCACTACCCATCATATCATCACATCCTGTCTGGAGCGCTCGCTCTGTGACTCACTTTCCCATGAGTTTTCTTTGAAGGTCCACCGCTCCTGTGAACCGCTCACTGAAGGAACTGTATGAAGGGGATCTGAGACTTTTCAGTGGGAGGATATCGATATAATGAACAAGCAAGAACTAACTTCTTGTTGCTTGTTCATTTAGAATACAAACTTCATTGTCCTTGAATGCTCAATATCCCGTCTTGTTACAATACTTCAAAATACTAAGCTGCACTGAGCAATATTTGTATCGGTCTAATGGGAAAGAGGTTGTTACAATTGATGATTGATGATAATGATACTCATTATCATCAATCATCAGGCAGCATGTTTTAGCTTATTGTTCTGGCTTTGATAATGTTTGCTAGGTAATGGCACAGAGTCATTTTTTTATCCTGCAGTGGTTTTCAGTAAGAAAAGCTCTGATTAAGCCCCTTGCTACCTGCCCAGCACCAGACGTCAGGCACAGTTAGACTTTTTAAGCAAAGGACTCTGGAGTTGTTGGAGATAAAACAAAGCTGAATAACTCCCAAGCTGGACTCCATGTGGCTCCGTACCTGCTGGACACGTGAGCCTCACGTAACGTAAGTGTTGTGTTTACAGATCCATTTCAGATTCCAACAATTGGCCATAAAGTAAGTTATTGCAGCTGAATAATGGCCAAAGAAATTTAACATTTGAGTGTGTAGGGAAGCCGTATGCTAGTCAGTGATGCGCTGACTTTGAGTTTAAAAGAGTTCCAGTCCACCGACAAATATTCCTACTTTTTACTGCTGCTTTTGCTGTCAAATTACTTTTTAAAAGTCACTCCACCATTTTTAAGGGCCACTACATAACATCCGCCTCCAACCAACTGCCTTTTGGTTCCTATTTTAAAGGCTATCTAGCCGAGTATTGTCGAGGCCCGTTGTTTGCGATACTTTACAATCAAACATCTACAGGCTTAACTGACTTTTCCGCGACTTTACAAAGCACTGCTATTCTGCAATGAAGCATGCTGTGGAGAGGTGGGAATTGGTGCACACAAAACACCAAGCAGTTGGATGTGGATATGTTAATTCAGCAAACAGCTGCTCTCTCTTTCATGAAATACTGGCATGGATCCAGATTTGCAAAAAACACAACGCAGAAAAGACTCCATCTCACAGTCTTCTGTGAATTCTCATTTTCCTCTTCCTCAAAAACAAACGGTACATTGACATATTGAAACTCAGGTCTCTGCGGCCTTCATTTCTGATAATATGTGTATGATGACACATTAAGTGCAGAGAGAGATGTTTGCTCCAGGATGAGTCTTTCTGACAGGTGTTACAACACCCAATGACGTATCTGTAATTAATGAACCAATCTGTTATCTTTACAGTGAAACAAAACAAGGAAAAGCTTTCATTTTGATAGCTTATAAATCCCCTAATTAGTGCAGCTGAGAGGTTGTGGAGGAGTAGGCTGTTAAAGAAAGGATATCTCGCAGCTCTCCACCTTTATCCCGATGTGCTTTCACGCTGTACATAGATAGTTGGTGCATTTATTCATACATTTGTGTTCTTGCTCTTTTTAGATGCAGGTGTAGGTTGACTAAAAGCAGATTTGCACTGTTGAATTTGATGATGCTGTTAAAATAACAAATGACATGACAAACATTGCCTGTGTTTTAATATATGCGGGATTTATGAAGATTAATTGATGTTGATGTCTTTTCTGCAGAGCATTAATTAGTGAATTAGTCCACCACATTTGCCATTTCTGCTTCTTCGTGCCAGTATGAGCTTTGCTCCATTTATCTTACCTTTGTCTCAATATTTTGAGGTTCATGTCCCGACCAGCAGATGTCAGAGGTGTTCCTCAAAACCTGGGTGTTCTTCTACGCACTCACTTCATATTATTGTCATCAAGCTCGTTTCTTTTTACATTAAACATGTAAGATGAATGTTAACAAAATACACAAAAAAACACAAGGTTTGGCTTTTGTTGAGTGAGTAAACAACTAATTAAAAAAATACAGTTTTTGATTCTTTTGCATGTGTGTGTGTGTGTGTGTGTGTGTGTGTATGTGTTTGGTACTTTGGTGATTAATAGAGAATGGGTGCAGAGAAAAGTGGCTCCAGATACATTAAGTGCTCCAGCTGTGACACAGATAAGGAGGCAGATGTGGTAAATGCATCGTCGATGGAGGAACAGTGCACAGATTGACTGGTCAGAAGATGAAGAGAGCAGTTGAGAAGGAAGGCAGACTCCTGGTCGAGGCAGATAGACGAACTGGCGGACGGACAAATAGAAGGATGATCAGGCAGGTGGTGGCAAAGAAATAAACAGCAGTACCTGCACCGTATGGATAGCGACATGGTTTTAGAGATGAAAGCAGAAACAATGCAAAATAGCCCTCACTCTCAGCAGTTACCATGACGACCAACCACCTGAACTTGGAGGTAAGTCCCCGGAGAGGTCTGGCAGGAGGGAGGAGGAGAGGCGTGTGTGTCCTGGTTCTACAGCGTGCCAAGTCCCCCACGTATCTACGCACTGCACGCAGGTGTCGTCCCAGCGTTGCGCAATGGCTATATATGTATACATATATATATATATGTATATATAGAACTACTGTTTGGTGGCAAATCATTTTCAGGAAAACACACAGTCAGTGTTGTTTTTGTTGTGTTGTTATCAGAAACTATACAAAGCCATAATATAACTTTCATCTAGTTTTGTTTGCTGCTTGTCTTGATGGCCACAGAAGTCTATTGTTAAAATGCTATTTGTACTGGAGGAGCCAACTTAATCATCTGTATGAACACTCAAAGCTGGACTGTGTGTATCGTGGAAAATATTTATTTTAAACCGACATCATCATCATACATGCCATGACCATTGTGCTTTATTGGGAGGTATGACAAAGTAAATAATACAAATTGTGCCAGAAACCAAGGCCGTAATGGAAATAAATATCATTTAATAAATTTAGTTAATCGTTTATAGTTATCCGTGCTACTACACACTTTCATTTCCACACTATCATTGTACTAACTAACTGTAACTGATCGCTAGTAAAACTTAAAGGTATAAACCTTTCCGCTGCACCTATATATGTTTGAATACGGTCATATGCCAGCACTCTATAGCTATAGCTGCAACAGCAGACAATTATTGTCCCAATCAGACCATAATTATGTGTGGGGATGCAGCCAATCACAACATGGCCCAATGTCATTACCTTGCAGCCCACCTCGGACTGAAAGAAGCTACGTGGTTGTCATTATTTTCTATTATTCTGTCCGGAACGGAAATCCAAATAGGCACAGATAACAAAAGACAGAAGACGAAATGCAACTAAGCTTGATTCCAAAGGCTTATCCAGCTGTTTGACATTCAGCAGTTAAACCTCGCCTTAGTGAAAAGAGAGGGGTCACAGGGATAATATTGCTTGAAGAACAACGTGAAATTTCATTAGGTCTGCTAATGCCTCCCTGACACCAATGATAAATCCTCGGCTGCCTGCTGATGGGTGCTAAGGAAGCGGATATCTATGGCCTGTGGTACCGCACCATGTCGGATGGCAGGCCGCCAGGGGATTCGCCTTCATTCCAGAGCGCAACAGCAACAGGTTGCTTCACCCAGTATGTGACTTTGGCAGCTTCGCCTTACCAGGAAACAAGATATGGAGGCAATGAGACTTTCTTCTTTGCATACACCTCTGTGGTGTTACTGTACTGTGCCCTAAACAGTGTACAATACAACTACAACTGCA